AATATACTAATAATTTTTCCTACTACACCAGTATGTATAAAGTTTATAAATATGTTAACATTAATAACTTCATGGAAAGATTTTTGAACATCAAATCACAAGAATATCAAGATAACCAATTACAAATATGGGGTACTAAGAAAATTACGTAAGGTGTAACATGATTACCTGAGTCATCGCCATCGCTTTGGGATCTCAGCTTGATAAATTAATTATTAAGTCGAGGATATGCCTTTATATTAATATTTCCATCCCATATTGAAACCGACTCCAAGTCAAAAATTTCAAGCGTGGGGGCTGCGATTTCGGTCGAAAAGTCTCAATTCACTTGTGTCAGCCCACTCAAAATTCCTGCATACGCACATCAATAAAAAAATATTGCTTAATGGAGTTTCAGCGCGTAATTTGCATATTGAGCCGTCTCTCATTTTTATTAACCTGCACGTTTTGCGCTGATTAGAGAGCACAAGTTAACGAGTCGGTCCGCCTCCTTAAAACTTTAATACACTTTAATCATCGGCCGCGTCCGTCGGATTTTAATTTGCTGGCGCGGCGCAGTGAGAATATATATTAAAGAAGCAAAGGTTGTTCAACCTCCAACCCGAGGCGCAAACGACGAGAGAGTGGAGTAATGAAATGGGAAAAAAAATATATTTATAAAGTATATACGGTGCCCAGATTAAAGCAGAAGTGTAACACATACGCAGAGGGCATTTTATATTTATGGCCTCGTGATCCCACAAAAGTGATGGCACCTCGCAATTTATTTTATTTTATCGCTGCTTTTGCGCCAAAACGCGCGCGCCTCTCTCGCCAAAAGAGAATAAAAACTATCCACGCCTCCAGCAGCCTAAATATTTATTCCTTTGCTTGCCCGCCGCCGGTGTACAGTTACAAATAAAAACCCCGCGGATTTTATTTCGCCTTCTGACCCTCGATCGTAAATCGGATGGTCAAGCTTCAGGCTGGATGTCTGCGTGTGTGAAAAACGAGCTCCTCGCGTTTCAAAATACTTATTCCGTTTCGTATAAGCCTGGATGACGAAATGCAATCGAATCGAATATCGCGGTGTTTGTCTTATTGTGCGCTCGCTGTCTGTCACACGCACAGTCATGTGAAAACGAGATGTATTTTATGCCTGATCATTGTGGAAAAAAAATGATTCTGCGCGCCTGTTGGGTAATATTTATTTATTTATTTCATCTCCGCAGAATCATCAGATAGTGCAATTGTGAAATTATTCTACAATCGGAATTCAGCCGCGCTTCCTCCATTGATGATTATTAATGACTGCTAATTGTCTCAACGCCGCCGCGCATTACTAAATAATGCGAACACACACTGCAATAATTGAATTTTATTTCCTCACCGGTGACTCATTCTTGTAAAAAATTGATTTATTTAATTGATTTGAAAAATGACTTTTATAACAATTTTATAATTAACAACTTTGATTGTTTACAAGTACAAATAAGAGAAGCTGATATAAGCAAATAATTGTAAATAATATCGTAGGATTGTTGCAAAATTGAGGATAAATAGGAAAATTTATGAAATTTAAAGTATAATAATAAGTAAAATAATAAGCTGAGATAATTGAGCAAAATAAAATGTGTGAAAAAGTATTATTTTGACATACAATTGAACAATATTTGCAAAGGCCGGAAAAAAAATTATTTTTCATTAATAATAAGTTTATTAAGTTATTTTTTTTTTTAATCGAAACAACTTTTGCCAGAGTTTTCCCGTTTTCTTTGCTTTAATCTGCAAGCAAAATAAAAAAAAAATTACAATGTATCGTAAGCCAAAATAATGATCTGATATGTTGACTTATTGAGCAATATTAAGATTAAGAATCTGATAAAATTGATTGATCACTTTTTTACTTCTTAATCACAAAAATTAATAAATGATTAAATATTCTTCCTGTGTGCTTATAAATTGTAAGCACATGTGCTATTTTTCAAGGAGAAGATAAGAAATAAAGAACGCCAAAAATTTAATTCCCGTTGATTTGATAATCCTTCTTGCATGGTGGTATCTGCAAAAGTTGATTTGATGATTGAAGTAATGAACTGAATTAAACACAGCTGTGCAGGCTACGCAATAGCTTGCTCGTTATGAGACAAAAATTATAAGTGCTACATTATTATTTGAGGTCAGACATAATTTTATACATAAATATGGAAATTCAAGGTTCTAATCTAAGTCAGCAGAATTATGAATTCTCTCGCGCGTTCCTTTCTCCAGTCAATAGTGATCCATAATGATACATTTCAACCGCGAATCTATGCGTGCAGCCCAAGTCAGTGTGAAGGTTTTTTCAATTCACATTAGACGGTATCTGCAAGCTTTTTGCATTTATTCAAATCGGGCGGAATGGGTGTATCGAGAATACGACTTTTAATCGCCCCCCACACTTGGCGGCTGAAATCAACAACATAATTATCATCATAAAAGACAAGGCCACCTCACTGAGACTGACTATAACTGAATCTATATATACACAATATCTCGCGTACAAACACGCGCATTTTGCAACTCGCTGCTACTTCCATGATCGGCTCTGTGCTGACTTATTTTCTAGCCATTTATTAAAAAACGCTCCGTGTACGTGTTCGCCGCAGAATAGGCAAGAAGTCGACGCCATAAATTAGCGCAGAGGCCGTTACGGCAGCCGCTCAATTTGTCTGCGTATTAATGCGGCTCAATCTCATCCATTCGTGTACATACGTGTGCAAATGCATTCGTCCGTTCGTTTTATTTATTTATTCTGCATCCATAGAGTGGCGCAATCGCCATCCTTGCGCTGCAGCTCGCGGCAGATCCATCATTATTGCTGCAGCCAGGTTGCGGTGCCCACTTTAATTTATGGCTCCGCAGCACTCGCTCATCTCGTGATGCAAAGTGACCCTTAACACGAAACATGTTGATAAATATAGTAAAGCATAATAAAACCATTTCACACAAATATTATATGTTATATGTACTTCAGTAAGCAAGTTTGAATAATTTTAAAAAATAAAAACGATCGAATATTACAAAATAATTTTTTTTTAAATCTAAGCCAATAGTCAAAAGTCAATTCTAATTCTTTTTCCATTGATTTTTTTTTATTGATTTTTGAATAAGTCACAATAATTATGATGAATGGTTAACAAATAAAGACAGAAATCTAAAAATTAGTGCAAAAGAGCTTAAGGACTCCTTATTGACATAGTCAATTCCAGTCTTTACAACAATGGTTTGTTAAATTTATATTAATTGCCTAGTAAGGCTTAAATTGTTGTAAAGACTTGATATGACTATGTCAATAAGGAGTCCTTAATGTAATTGAAGCTGCTAAAATAAGAAATTGCAGCGTCATTTTTCCTAAAAGTCCTAAAAACTTATCGCTTTGCCAATTATTCCTCCTTTTGAAAAATTGTTGGAAGTGAAGGCATTAGACATATTATAAGTATTTGAAGGGCGTCGACTTATAATCACTTCTTGCAGCTCTTCATTTAAAAATAAATGAAGTGGATGAAAAAAAAATCCAAATATTTTGCTATTTAGCCTCTCCAGAACTGTATTTTTGACACAAAACTAAAATGCATCAAAGTACTATACAAATATTTTGAGCAGAGGAGAACAAATAAGATGTAATCATTTTTACAGAGTTTTTTGGAAATATTTTAAATTTTTAAGTTGTACGGAAACTAATGAAATTTAATTGACGTGGATTAAAAATTCTATCAAAATAAGAAAATTTTAAATTTTTGTAGTATAAAAATAATTATTTTCATATTTTGGTTCGTCATTATCCTTGTAATCGTAATATTTACTTTAAAAATGAAAAAAAAATCTGGTTTAACAAAAAAACCCAACCTAATTATAAAAAGTGGGGTGCATATTGATCAATTTATATTTAATGATGTTATTTTAATTTTTTTTATCAAAAATATTCGTGAGTGAGGTAAACATTACATAATTCTATGTAGAGCTAAAACCCGGTGGATATCATGGATAAAAGTATACGTCGGAACAGTCCAGTATGCAACCGGCACGACTTCCCTATTGAAATGGTTGCATAACATCGCTGTCTGGGACGGTCATCTAAAAACTATTAAAGCCATTCCCTGGTGTTCGATATTTATGTTTTGAATGCGTATCCAGTGACACAAAAAAGTAATGGCCGATAAAACCAAAACAATTAGCATCTTTTGTTTTTCGACCGTCGCCCACACTCGAGTCTGAAAGCCGGCGCGGTTCGTTCAAAGAAAAGCCCGTCCTTGCATCAATTTGTAGCGTTCGTCGCGCGAAAAGAAGCGAGGTTGGTTTCACCTGTGTGGGTGAACGCGATAAGCGAATATAATAATGTGACTTTTTATCGGGCACGCCGAGCAAATAAATGTCAATCAGAGCGGACCACTCAACCAGCAATTACATATGTCAAACAACAGAATTAACGGTTGATAAAATGCGGCGAGTAGCATTTTCATGGAAACATCATTTGAGGCAATTTGAATAACTCCAAAGTTCGATCGTAGATAAAAAAAACTATTCGGCAACTGGTCGCTGCCAGATTGAAAAAAAAAATACTAATTTAATTTCATTCCTTTAATTTTGATTAATCGTTTTTTTAGATTTGAAGAAGCGAATCTGCTTTCTTGTAAAAAGCGATTAGCCGATTCTATCTTTTGCATGTGAAGAGTGTGCGAACAAACTGAGGAATGCACTCTCGTTGCAGCAATTAGGGTACTCATAAAATTACGCAAAAAAAACGCCACTTTAATTAAGTTGAAAGCATTTAGTTATCAAAATGTTACAGGCTGTCATTGTAGGCGGCGCAGAGAAGCGTCAAAAGGGATTTCGCTTTATCAATAATTTTTAAGTAGCGGGTGACCGAAATGCTGATGCGCACCCGTTTTCTTATCAACATATCGCAAGTGAAATAGCAAGAAGTCTGCATTTTAAAGTCCATTAGCTTCTTACGTTTCATAACTTATCAGTACACATCGTTCGTTTTTATATTAACATACTCTTTATTTGTCATCGTCAACTTACGCAAATTACTATAATAATACTTAAAAATTAGAGAATCAAAGTTTACAACGTCACGCAAAAGTCACAATCGCGTTTCCTCCGGTGCAGAGTCGCCGTTGATATCCTGGTTGTGCAGCTCGATGGCTCGCAGCAGTTTCTTGCGTGGTCCGGTGACGATGCCCGCCATCTGCAGATCGTCATCGTTGGCTACCAAAAGGGCCTCCAGGTCGTCCTTGAACACTGGGATCAGCTGGTGGGCCAGGTCGCGCAAGCCCCATGCCACCAAGAACGAAACCAGCGGCGAAACTTCCTCGTCGTCCAGAGGCAGACTGTCTTCGACAAACACGTCGTCCTTTTTGCCTGCCGAGTCTACGACGTCCGGCGCTTTGAAAATCCAGTTTGCGTTTGGAGTGTCTGAAGTGGCAACGGTTTCCGTTTCCAAACCGGTCAAGGAGTGTCTGGAATTTGAAAAAAAAAAACAGTTAATTAAATTGTTGAATTGAATATTTTTTCAAACTTTTAAATTATAATTAAAATTTCCACCAAAATTTTTAATGAAAATTTTTATTATTTGTAATTATTAACATTTTTATTACCTAAAAGCAACACTGCCAAAACCTGGTCTGTCGAAGAGGCTGGAGCGCCTACGTCCTGATTCAGAAACGTCGTCGTCAAGTTCAGGGTCCGAGTCGGAAGGGGTTGCAATGATGCTGACGAGCCCTCCTTGGTTTCTTTGGGCCAAATCAAAAGCGTCTGTCACTGAATCTGTTGTCATCGAAGAGCCTATAAAGATTTGTTTGTGTTAAGTTTGTGTGCAAAAAGGATGAGGTGAGAATCCAATAATTCAATTATTAATTTTTAATCTAAAATCAGAATTTTTTTCTATTAATTATTAGTTTTTTTAGGTGCATATTAACATGGTGTGCAACAATTGAATAAATAATCCATGCAAATTGAATAAGTGTTACTATTGTGGATCTACATTTTAAGTATGGAAATCATTTATTTTTGCTTTTGCCTTCTAAAGTTACGTCTGGACGTTTCATAGTAACTAATTTTACTGACTGTTAAGGCCAATCGTTTTTTCTAGATTTGATAACACCTTCTTTAACTTAATAAACATCAAATATTCGACAAAAAATAAAGTTTTCCAATGCTATTATTTTATTAAAGATCACAGTCTCTTAAAAATAAAAGCATTGTTGATTATTTGTTGCATGCTATCTATGTCTTGCACAGGGCACGTTTCTAAATATCCTTAAACTTTTTGATTTGATTCTAAATTTGTTAACTTGTTTTGATGAGAATATTAATATTTTAAATTAATGAATTTTATTTTATTTTCTATCTGTAATTTAATTAATGTTACAAAGACTTTCTCGTTTCTTTTCTATTCAAAAAATTTAATCTTTTTTATATTCTTGAAGTAAAAATAATTACCCGTGCTCTGCACTGAAGAGCGTCGGGGGCCCAGAGCGCCACCCGAGTAAAGAACCTCGGTGCTGGGCGCCAATCCGGACAGCGGTCGGATCGTCCTGCTGCCGTCGGAAGCGACAGACCCGACCCCGAAATTGAAACTCCTCGTCGCAACCGACGAAGTGGTCGTGCTGGATTCGGCGGAGGCGCGTCTCTTGTTGGTGTTGCGGACAACGGCCCACAACGCGGATAAGGTGGTGGACGCGTTCGACGAGCCGAGGGACGTCGCGTCTTCTTCCGGCGAACTGGCCGTGCTGCGTTCGAGCAGACTGCGCGTTTCGTCCAGTTGTTTGCGCTTCTCTTCGCTCGAGAGTCGCTGGAACGCCTGCAGGTGTTTCTCGGCGCGTTGACGGGCGCGTTGGCACTTCAGGTCGCAGCGTTTTGGGTCCAGGGCCATTTCGCGCGCCATGACCGCGTCCAGCAGACGCAGAGAGGACTCGCCCCGAGCGTGGGCCGCGGCCATGTCACGAGGGGTGCGTTTGTCGATGTTGAGGGCCCAAACGTCTGCACCCATCGTGCAGAGAAACGCCACGCATTTCGTGTTCGCGTTGGCCGCGGCCAAGTGGAGTGCCGTGTTGCCCAAATTGTCGTATTTGTTAATCTCTCCACTAAAATTGACCAAAAATATTTAAGTCAATATAAAAAAGTTAGTTATGGATGAAATTTTAATTGAAGTGGCTAAAGAGATAAAAAACGTTTATGATATGAGGGAACTACAGATCAATTTAAAAAGAATAGTTAATCTTGTGTAGCAAAATTGGAGTTTTTGAAGTTTTGATTGTATAAAAATTACCGAAAAATAATTTGATAGCATCTAAAATTTATGACAAAAACTTTGCCAAAGGAGTTTTGATTGATGCATTGCTTTGGAAAATTGGGGGTTACAAGGAATATTTTTGAGAAAATATCACTTAATTGTTAAAACGAACGTGGCTTTCTTTTGAACATGAATATTTTTTACATTCATGAATTTTTAAATTTCAACGTCTTCTTTGTGTGAATTTCTTGATTAATTATATAATTTCTATTTACGTTACAAAAGATTAACATTTTTTAATATTCTATTTACCACTACGGATTAATTAAATTGTGCTAATTTTAATACACATTAATTAAGCGATTTAGACTTTAATCTTAGCAGTATTTGAGATCTAAAAAATAGCAATCGATCGGCTTAATAAAGCTGTGAATTGGGGGCTTGTTTGACTGACTTCTAAATTCAAAATTTACAAATTAATTTCTTAATGTTTTTTCTGTGTCTATGACCGAAAATTGTGTCTTTAAATTTTTATAGTTCTTTATTTAAATTTAGAAGATTCTTTTTATAAATAATTTAAACTTGAATAAATGATTAATTTTTCTTATCGGTTTTTACCCTTTGCTGACGAGCACCCTCAGTACGTGGCTATGGCCTGCGAAGGAGGCCCACATCACTGGACTCAGGCCATGCTCGTCCTTTTGGTTGGCTTCCTTTGACGATGCCTCGCGGACAACATCCAAGAGGCCATCGCGGGCCGCTCGATGGAACCGTGTACTGGTGATGGTAGTGGCGGGCATAATTGTGCTCAAATGTGAGGTCCACCTCCGCACTTTAATAGCCTCACTCCCACACGATAAGGCTCGTCCACGCGAAGATAAGAGATGTTATCGTATAAGTTGATGTCAATTTGTCGCTGGTATGGAAATCTTTCAGTTTTATTTTTTGCAATTTAAATTATTCAAATTAATTTGATGGAATTGAGAACGATAACTTACAATGGTATAAATATTACTGTCGTCGGCATGAGCAATTTTTAATTAATTGAGAAGAAATATGTAAAATTTCTGCATCCTTAAAGTCATTCAAGTCAATATTTATTGATTAATTCTTACAAAAATCAATGAATAAATAAATATATTTTAACAAAAGAATATTAAGTGATTAAATAATTTTCGTTTCAACAACTGAAATGAAACCAAAAGTAAGAAAAGATGACCATTGTCTAAATTCTCAATTTAAAACTAATTATTAATTGAAATTATTGTCAATGTAGGTTGATGACCTAATTTAATTTGTTGATAGATTTGCGAAAAATATGCTCACTAACTATTGTGAAAATTAATTATCAAGTAGTTGTCTCAAATTTACACCATCGATTGATACTACATTATCAAATAATGTCAACGAATTGTTTCCACGGTCGAAAAACTTCAAACACGCTCCAATTTTTAGCCAAACTACGCTTCATACACAACTGTCTGTTTAAATCACTCTCTTCAATTTTATTTTTCTTTAAAAGTCCTTGGAAGAATCTCTCGAACCTCTTGGGACTTGCCATTGCTCACAAGAGGGCTAATCAATTCGATATCAGAAAGCCATGCTGATTAGCACGCTCTCGCCGCACTCCTTTGACTCGTGTTTATCTGCCTTAATTAGTCATTTCTGTCCGCAGCGCTCCCTAATTGCCGACGACGATTTTCGCACGTTCAAAACTGGAACGCGCACCGTGGAGATGGCGCTCGGATGTGTTCGGCGGAGGCCGTGTTCCGGACGAGTGGCCACCCCCGCGGGGGCGCCACCTGCGTGGGATGTGGCCAGGTGTGACTGAACCGTCGGTCGTGCAGCGTGTAATGCAGTAATTGAGCAGTGAGCGCGGTGGGACCAACAAAGCACCAGCCATGGCGACGGACCGCTTTCACAAGTAAGTCGAAAATATACTAAATCACCCTAGTTTCTGTTACAAAATTTGCTTTCCTGCCTCAATATACTAATTAAATTAATCATATTTAAGCAACAAAATAATAGAAATTGATTAAATTTTTATCTTTAAGAGGATAAAATGAAACATTGAAGGCAAAATATCATTTTCCATATTTTCTATGATTTTTCCTTGTAATTTGTTTTTCCCCCTAATTTTTTTATGCATAATTTTGTTTAAAACTGAAATTATTATTAAATAATGCTGCAACAGAGTTTGTACTTTGATGTGGAGATATATGGGTTAATATAGATTATAGATCTGCACACTCTACTTGCACAACTACCGACGTAGCAAAAAGCTCATTGAAGTTTATGAGGATAATCTCCAGATGTGTTAATAACGCGATTTAGTTCATTGAGCAACTTTCAAATCAATTAGCACGTCATAAATTAATACAGGGCAATACCGATAGCCTCAATAAACTTCATTTGTAGTTTAAGCCGACAATTGATAATAAACATCAATAAAATTATTACTCGAGTATTAATCTTTACCGAATAGTTTTATAATTAGACATAGACTTACCAAAATCAGATGATCAGGGACAAAAACAAACCACTCTGAACTTGAAGAATTCAGGTATTTTAAGGTTTTATCTTTTCAAGTTGCACGCAGACTGTCATGTGAAATTGCTCACCTTAATGATAAAGATTTTACAATAGCTGGACGTACCGATTTGCATCTTGATAGAATTTTTAATACACACTCCTCTGATTAGAGACGAAAAATTACTAGTTTTATATAACAACTCTGAATTAGCAATTTAAATTAATTAGGTCCGTATGTAAACACGTGGGCAGCCACTCGAATCAAAACTCTTGCTCGTTGAGCAAATAAACGCATTATAAATCTGCCCAAACAAGCAGTTCGCAACTGTTAATTTTGCTGCACCGCTACGATTTAGATCTCTGTCTTTTTTGCATTTTTTTGGTGATCGCTCTGAACGCACGCGACCAGCAGAGCGCATCGTGATTGTGAGGAGGAAGTGATTTTTCATTACGTGGGCATTTTGGCCAACGTCAGCTGCGGCGATCGCCGAGTCTAGATAATTTTTTGCGATTTGTTTTGAATTTTAAATTGCGTGATGAATAATCCACGCAATATCCAGTTCCTCAATATAAGCATAATATAAGTAATATAATAGATGGAGAATTAACCTCAATTTAATAATCCAAAATATAGACCTCAAATTGGCCCTGGACTTGGAAATGATGCTACTCATACTATAATTGTAACCATCTTAAAGGCTTGCTGTCATTTATGCTGTCCTATACGCATATCTGCAATTTGAAATAAAATTTTTGAATTGTATTTTCCTCACTATATTATTAAAAAATTAAATTATCTACGTACAGTTTACTAAAGCACAATTATTGGGAGGACATAGAATTTGTTTAAAAAGTATATCGTGTTAGCTTGGTGCTTGTTCAATACTATTTATTTTGTGACTTTAACATAAAGTATTAAAAATCAATTGAACTCAAAAACGAAAACAAATTTTTAAATGAAAAATACAACAATAATTATAAATATCAATTATAGGTATTTTATTTAATTTAATCATATAATTATATAAATATATTCAGTCATAATTATATATTTATATGCAGTATTTTAATAATACGATTTAAATGTTATTCCATTTATATTTTAATCCAACATTGCAAGTGGGTACCAAAATGCATTTTTTTTTTTAATTTTTGAAATCTAAAAATAAATTCTGTGTTAGGGGACTTACAATTTTGATTCAAATATGAAATTTTGGTACATATAAATTCACTTTATTGGTTTTCTTGTACATATCATGAATTTCTCGTCAAATTTCTTCCAGTAAAATAAACTTTTAATCATTTTTTGTTGATAGAAATTTCAAAAAACTGCCCGTTGGAGCGTTAGTTAAACATTTTTTTTTAACAATGATTTGACAAGGATGAGATCAATCCTAAATATATAATATGTATTAATGAGAGGTGCAAAACCAAGTACAATAAACAATAATATTAAATATATTGAAATTAGTTTTCTTTACTTAAACTGCCCGTGGAAACTCCAGAATTGCAACAGTAAACAATAAATAAAGGCCAAACAAATAAACAATCAATCGATCACGATAGATATAAATTCATAATATAATCTCTCAATAGTTTTCACGCACACAGGATTAAGAGTTATTTATGAGGCAAATGAATATTACAGAATGACGGTCAGATTAAGGGCGTCACCGTTTGAGTAAATAAAAACGCCGCTAATTTACACCAACCTTTAATCAATATCGACAGGACAATTTATCATATTCATCACGTATATGACTTTTATATTGCGCCGCTCTTTATCTGGAAGCGCGTCACTTTGGCCATTTGCACATCACTCTCGTCTGATAATATTATACAAGAAGATGATAGATGAACATACGCGAGAGCTCGAAAACGAAGAGCGCGTTTATCGAAAATCACAAAAGAATTTCAATGGTTTCGTGGTCTTGACGAGAGGGCTGACTCAAGCGCAATTTGATATGCCCATGGCAAGTAACAAAGTAAAAGACGAGAAGCGCTGATGCGACCGTTTTATTTGTTAAATTGACGCTGACAGAGTGAAATTATGATAAAATTGCTCTTGATTTACTCCGTCTCAATCAGAACGAAAAAAAAATGTAGAAAGGAGAAATCAGGATCATGATAAATCAGTTAAATTATTGCGAAAACTAGTCAATTTTTACAAATTTATTTTTAAATATCGTAGTCGTGTTTCTGAAGAAAAATAAAATGAATATAATTGCAATTAACTTAATTTTTATGATTAATTTTAGGATTTTGATTTAAAATTTAGCTTCATCTAGATAATTTTCTTATCGACTATGTTTGCGTTGTTTCATTAAAAAAACAGGAAACGGCAAATTTAATTAAAGCTCAATTAATTAAATTCATTTATTTATTTATTTATTCTCTACTCGATACAATCATGAACACACAGAAAAAAAACATACGTAAAAAGTATAGAAAAAGTTGAAAATACATTTAAAAGAGACACATACTGTTAATTAGGGGTAAACTGTTATCATAAATCAACTCTCAGCCTGAAAAATTCCTAAAGAAGTTTAAACATTTCAAAATATTTTAACAACATTATTATAAAACATCTAAAATATTGAATATTTTAAGTTTCGTCAGTTCATTCCCTCTGCAAAACGTTGCATTATGCAAAACAACAATTGGCTTCTCCGTATAATTGGAGATTTGTTTCTCACAGATGGAGTGAAGAGCCTATTTAAAGCACTGTTATGTTTATGGCCAAGTATACGTGTGAGAAAAGTAAATCAATATTATTCTCGTCTAGGTGAAAAAGTTGCCTCTTTCGATTTGCGGTGAGTCTGGATAATAGAATAGGCGACCGGCTCCAAGTGGGTCATTCTCGGCGCAAAGCCAGGGTTCAATCAGGTGCATCAATCGCTTTTGACGCTCCAGATTTCTCTTATGCAACCCAAATGCATCCATCAACCGCGTTACTGCATCGCGATTTCTCTTACTTCATTAAAAAACGAAAATTACCCGCTCTTTGACCACCACGTGGCAAATATTTTACTGTTTTATTTTGGCACAGAAATCAAAACAATTTTTTGAAAAAAAAATAGCCTTTTTCTCAGCTACTTCAAAACAAATCTTATATAATAAACAAAAACAAAATTAAATTAGCAAAAACAAAGGTTTCCATGAATATTGATTGAAATTGATACATTCAGTTAGTTGTTGTTGCTATTTTATTTTCCGCTGTTTGCCCAATTATTTGATCTGTTTTTTTTTATGATGAATGTTCTCGCAACGATCAAAAGCCCGGTTCATCATTTATCGTGATTCGCCCCTCAAATTTCACTTTCTGCAACAAATTTTTGTACTTTAATTGCTAAAAGTTTTGTTTTTCTATGAAATTTCGAAATTTTAGGACGGATGGAATAGTGAATTAATTGCTGAACTCTATTAAACTAGTTGAACCTGAATTTTGGGCGCACTTGAAAGTCGCGTCAATTTCGATCTGAGATAACGACACAGCGCAGTTAAAACTAACGTCTCGTCACGGTTTTCAACCATGTAGGCGGCTGTGGAATAAAATTATCAAAGTAAACGTTTGGCGGCCACACCAAGGCCCAGCAGATGAAATCTCTAGGTACGTTGCGACATAGAACACAGGCAAACACGTGTGTGTACTGCTCACTAATTACGGATATATGCAATCACACTTGCAATAATTACTATTATATTCCTGTGACATGTGAACTTTATGATTAGATTCGCTCCGACAATTTTTTTAAAGGTAATAAAAATGAGCCAAATTGAAGGTTGGGACTTTCAAGGCCAATTAATTTGGGCAGTAAAATTAATGCTCTTAAAGTAAAAGGATTGAAACAGCATTATTATCATTTTTTTTTTAAGTTTCACTCTCTTTTTCTTTTCTTTTTAATATAAATAATTATTTAATTCAATCATGTAATATTTGATTCTAAAAAATGGTGCCCTTTAATATCAAAGCTTGATTGTTAGATGTTTGATATAGTTAATTTTTAGTCTCAGTCCTGCGTCCCTGAGTTTTGAATAAAATTGATATTCAAATTACATTAATAAAAAATGTAATATTACATTTCAAAAATAATTATGAGAACTACATTTTTTAATGGTTTTCTTAACACGTTTCCTTTTTTTATTATTTCAACCCTCCCTGCTGGCCTAACTTGACTCGCATCGAACTCTCTACTTATAAAAGGGCTATGATTTTGTGCAACTTTTTTGGTTGCTGTTGTTGGAACCACGCTATTGCAGGAAACCATTAATATGCATGGGTGTTTCATCGAATTTAGCTTCAAACGCATATAATTAAAATGCCCTCGAATCATGTTTTTTTTTTTGCCAACTTGCATGCATGAACTGGAACTCATTTACAACACTGATAGTCTGTAAAGCACACGTACATATATACGCAGTGAAAAGCGCATGAGAGCGGATAAAGTACGAGAGAGGCAATGAACTTGGATTGAAAATTGCAAACAGACCGTGAACTAAATGATGCATCCTCGATAATGGCGTATCCGAAAAGCGACGTCGATTGCCGGCCACTGTGTGATTCAAACTTTTCCTTTCGTCCGCTGGAGAAAATAAATTGTACATTCACAATTTGCGAGAGCGGAAAGAGGATCTGCTGATGTGAATGAGCGTGAATCTGTTAAGGCGTGATGAGATGAAAATATTGACAGCAGGGGAGAGCTGGCGAACCTTAATTAAGAATATAAAGATTTCTTCTGAATTACAAGATAATAATTATTATTATACTGGCTTAAAATTTGGAGTTTACAATTAAACTAGTTTTTTATTTAGAAAAGCTTTAAATAATTATTATTAATTTAAAAAAAATATCTTTTATGCTTTCTGCTATTTTATTTTTAAATTTTCGTACATTTAAAAATATCAAATTTACGCAACTTAATATTATTTCATCTTATTTATTTTTACTTTGCTGAATATATTTGTCCCTATTAAATAAAATTACTGTAATAAAATTTAAATTAAATAAATATAATTATGTTGTTCTCCATGCTCAGGTTCTGAAGCAAAAGTTGTAAGACAATTAAAAGTAGAGAGGAATCTTGCATGTGCTGAATCGAAAGTAAAATAGCTATTCATCTCTTATTACAAAAATACTGAAATTGTTTGGGTAGCTTTTGTAGAAGTATAAAATCTTGATAAATTATGAATCTGATTATTAAATATTATGACTGCACCAAGTTAATAAAAATGATTGTAAGTAATTTATACACTTTGTCTCTATTGTTATAGGTGTATATTAATAAATCTAATTTATAATTTTGTTTTAGAGCGGCAAGGGACTCGTTGCTGGACGTTTTGAAAGAAGCGACGCGCAGAGACTGCAACCTGAAGGATGAGGACGGCATGACGCCGACGCTGTGGGCCGCTTTCGAGGGCAACTTGGACGCCCTGAGGCTGCTGGTTGGCAGAGGGTGAGTCTGCTTTTTATCGCCGCGTGGCCAGTCAGCCAGCTTAATTAACTAGGAAATAAGTTTCCCTTCCTGTCTGGACCGGAAGCGCGCCCATCCTCAGGGGGAGCACTATCGTATTAAATATATACCCTGATCGGTGCATTTGACGCTATAGGCAGCAGGGGCGGACAGGAAAAAGCAGGCTTAACTGATTATGTTACGTTTTTTGCGTTCGCCACGCTGTGATTTTTCTAGATTTTACAATTTTTAAATGTAATTTTGAATTTTAAATTTGAATATGTTTAAAAGTCTCATTTAAATAATAAAAATAATAATGTGAAAATTCTGGTTAAAAAAGTCGTTCTAAAGGCAAAAAACATTTTTTTTTTTTTATCTTGCCATTAAATTTATTCAGACATGAAATAAAATTAAAGAATTAATAATAGTTGATTGTATTATACGGCACTGCTTTTCAAGATAAGGCAATTTTATTCAAATTTTGAATCATTAAAAAAAATAATAATAATTGGCTTGGGGCTTAAAATGAAACGAAAACTTATAATTTGTGATATTATATTGCCAACGTAACAATTTCAAGGTAAAATAATGCAACATAATTAAATTTTAAAGATTCTTTAAAGTCAATACTTCAATTTTTCTATCTCTCTTGTGAAAGCGTCCAAAATGTTGTTTTGCATTCTATTCGTTTTTAATCAGGAATGTGACAAAATTCATTATCAATATAAAATTTGAATCAAGAGTTAATAAATAAGTATTAAATGAAAAAAGTAGATTTTTTAAATAGCCCTGGTAAACAAAATTATATTCATTCAAAAAGTGCAAAGAAATGTTCCTTTTAGATAGTTTCTGACAACAAATTTTTGGTTCAGAGGACGTTTGCATTTTAGCTCATTATATTTTTCTCTCATTTAGTTCGTACCTGAGTATGCATGAAATTACACAGATGACAGTAGAAATAGCTGCATATGTTTGGTCTCTGTGAATAATAGAGGAATTAACGTAAGCAGAGCGCGCACAATGTGAGGCAACTAAGGATGAAATCAAGAGTTTGCTGCTCCAGCTTCTCTCCTGCGTGCCTTTTCTTTTGTTAATGTTCTTTTTGTGTCTGCACCAAAATTCTCTCACTGCGCTCCGATTCTGAGCTCGGATTATAACTATTATATTATCAGTGTGGAAATGAGACCAACACTTTTTGCCTCGGTGGCGCGCCGATTTAATTTCACCACTCGAGCTAGTTGCAGTGAAAATTCACAGATCGGAGGCGCGAGTGCCTTGTACATTAAAAGTGAATTTGCGTCTTATCTTGCGTGAACGATCCCAATTTCGTCATATATCTTTGTGAGAGAGAGAGTGAAAAGTACTGAAAAATTACAAGTGCCTTGATGAGTCAAACACCAACGCAATAATAATAATGGCTTCATCCTTTTACACTACAACATGCATCATTCGCCTAAGTTAATAAAACAGCCATTAATATATAAGCAGCAAATTTTGTCATTCTCTGTATTATCTTATCATATCGGCGCGGCAGCTCGAAGAATTTATTGAGCGACGAAGATAACACACTCTATTGTGAAACTGATCGAACGTGCTTTTTGGCATTAAAAAAAGATAATTTAGTTTTAATTACTTTTTTATTAGCAGACTTTGAAATGAAAGAAAGTGTGTCGGTTGAATTCCAACTGAGAAGAATAAATTAAAATATAATATTTTTTTTTTTATTTATTTTTTAGTGGAGACCCGGACAAGGCTGATCACTTTGGAAACACCGCCCTGCACCTTTCAGCAGCCAGGGGCCACATGAACTGCGTCACCTTTCTGGCCAACTTCGGTGTGAATCTGTGGGCACTCGACATTGACTTCCACTCTGCCAAAGAATTGGCCGCCATGAACAACAGAGACGAAGTTTTGCGGTTTTTGGACGGTTCGGTGGCCGCTGAGGAGGCGGCCAAACCAAAGGCGGCCAAAGCCAAGCGCGACAAGGCCCTGAAGGAAGCGGAAAAAAGGCTCAAGGCGCTCGAGAAACAACACAAAAAGGTAAAAATATTATTCATTATAATTTTGGTAGCAAAAATAAAAAGTATATTTTTGTAATTTTCAGGCTGACAGACTTGCGGAGAAAGAACAACGGAGGCTGAAAAAGCAGAGGTCAAAAATGGACGAAGGGCCAGAGACGACCATGCCTCACCGGCCATCACACGTCCTTGCAGCCCTCAAAAAAGCTAAGGCTGTTGATTCAGCAAAATTTTCTGATATTGTCCAGGGCAATGGACCAAAGAAGAACGCCGCTGGCGTCCAGAAGAAGCTATTGAGCAAAACCACAGATTTTAAGGTTATTCTTCTATATTTTTGGAGAAAAAAATCGTCACAATTAAATTTTATTGACAGGTGACCAATGGTGATGGACAAAGGACGGTGCGCAGTTTAAGTGGTCTTCGGCGAGACTCAGAAGTGATGTATGTAGGCGCCTTTGACAAAAATGGCAAGACAAACGGTGCCCTGAACTCAGCAAACCGGACCTTGTCCGAGCCAGAGTATTTACACAATGACGCAATGTCCGAACCGGCATCGATTTTCGACAGGCCTGGATTTGGTTCTGTAGCTTTCAGGTAAAGCTGATATTAAAATTGCTCATTAAAATAATATTTTATCATGACAGAAATTCAATAACTGCAACCCTCAATGCTTTACCCACGGTTCGTGACGGAGGCAAGGAAGAGTTACGGAACAGACGAAATTCCCTCGGCAGTGCAGGAAGTTCAAACTCCAGGGGCAGAAGACAAAGTGTCCCTTGGGACGATGAAGATGTTGAAAGTGGTAAAATCAATAACTAAATTAAACCCAATCCTTGTGTTTAATTGCTAAATTCCATTTTAGACGACGAGGATGATGCCGAATGGTCTCCTCTGCAATTATTCCTTCTTGCCCATGGACTCGGCGAACATGTGCAAACTTTCATTAATGAGCAAATTGATTTGGAAGCTCTGATGTTGCTAACTGATCATGACTTGGTGGCTCTCGGATTGCCACTAGGCCCTCGGAGGAAACTGTTGAAGGCTTTGGAAGACCGAAGGAGAGCTTTGGATGAGCCAGGGGAAGTTGAAGATAGTCAGTTATGAAAAAAAATATATACATACACATAATATACTTTGCATATAATTATCTATTGTTAGTTTTGTAATTAGTGTAATTGGGAAGATACAAATGGAACGTTCCACCTGTACAAAAAAATAAATAATCGAGCGCTGTTGATACTTTTACAAATCAAGGGTCTTTTTAATACATTAGCCAACACATGGAGGCTGTCTGGAAAATAATAAGCAACTAATAAATTCATACTCTTTATTTTTAATGCAATCGCACTTCCTAGGAAATAATTTTCTTAAGCTCTATGATATTTCTTTTAACAAAATTGATAATTTGATGCTTCTTTCAACTCGGTGTTTTTAGCTTATTTATCAAATTATATTATAATTCGCATTCATCCGAATGTAATGATAAAGAGAGAAAGGCAAATTAAGTGTGAAATTTTTATATCATGTCTTGCTTCGCTTTTTTGAAGCTTGTTGTTAGAAAAAAAGGTGTAATGATTAGAAAGAAAGCCACGTTGAGGCAGATTTCGAGCAAATTATGCTCGACGGTCACGTTTTGGTGTCCTACAGAATCAATGTGTTGCAGCTTAAGTTACAAAACACACTTGGCCATTACAAAACTATTATGTACAATGTGCTCCAATGGGAAACATCAAAATTTTGATTCTGATCAAATTTTCAGCGACAAAAACAAGTTCGGCACTAATTTAATGCTCACCTATCGTTTGAGAGAAAAATAGTGATCATTTAAATTTAAATGCTTAATTTACACAATCAATAGGTGATCGATCGTAACTAAATATATATATATTTTTTCATCAACTCAATGACCAAGCAAGAATCGCGTTTGATTACAAAACAAGGAGGCAGTAGCTGATGAGGGCAAAAACAAATTCAAAACGTGGCACCCACGCAAAGTGCCACCGCAAAAATCGGAAACAGTCATTTGGTATTGCTAACTCAACCAACCCAATCAGTCACTCAATCAGACAACCAAGTAGGCAATCAGTTCACATGAGACGGCTCCGCTTGTGCGTTGGCGAGTCCATGTTGACGTCGTGCGAGGGACTTGTGGCAGCCGGCCGCTTGCAGTGCCGTGCAAATTCACTGCTGATGAACGAGTTGAGCTCATGCAGACTCTGGGTGGGAGACGAGCGGCGACGAGTGGCTCCTGGAAAACGATTTCAGTCAAAAAGTTGATCAAAACTTGCTACGAGACTAAAGTAAGAAGAAAATACTCTGTTGAACAAACCGTGTCCTCCGGTGGCTTGTAAAACCTTTTGTGAATGAAAAATCCCAAAAATATTAAACATTATTTGTGAAAGACGCCCCCTATATTTCAAATAACATCAATTCCGAAGAAACTCAACTTTAATTGTTGAAACTGAATGCGACACAGTAAATTTTCAAAAACTGAATTCACGAATGCAACGAATTGTTGAATTTTATAAGCCTTTAAAATAAATTAATTGTTAAATAAAAAATAATTTTTGTTGTGACTTTGAAATTATTTCCTCTCACAAAACATGACACAAAAAAGCAATGTACAGGAAATAGGCTCTAGAGATCATTAGCTAAAATTTAATCAACTTGGATCTTATTTTACCTGAGAGAGCCAACGCCTCTCTGAAGGTGTTGAGGTTGTCCTCGAGCGGGTTGGTCACTGGCGGGCCTTCGTGCAGTATTTTGGGCTTGGGGGACGATCTGTGGGGACGAGGGGGCAGGGAGCGGCCAGCCAAGTAGGCTATCAGTTCTTCCCTGCGGATGAGGTGGCGGCGGCGACGGGCCCAGCTCAGGACCTCCTTGTTGCGCTTCTGGTAGCCGGCCTGCAAGCCCATATCACACACCCGACGGATACTGTCGTTCGAGTCTGCAAAAAATTTAGTCGAATGAGTTTTTATTTTTTAAGACTTAAACTATTAAAATAGTCACAAATTATTTTAATAAATCAAGTTTAGAAAATTATGAGCTAATAAAATTTCATTGAGTTTTGAAATGATCAAATAAAATTTAATTTAAAGAAGGGAAATGTCTGTTCTTGATTTAGATTGCTCGCATAAATTTAAATTTGGCACTGTTATCAAGGTTGAATTAAATCTTATGGTTTCTAGAGGCCAATTCAATAATTCAACGCTTTATTTATTTAATGAGCTTAATTTGTCTGAAATATTTCAACTAGAAACTTTTTTCTAAAAGTTCAATTAACATTCAAGACAGGAAGTTGACTGACTGAGGAATTTATTGGTCTTTTTTCCTCATGCCAATTTGAAGATTAAATTGACGCATCTCAAGGCCATGCCCAAACTAAAGTAACGATCTGAACTGCGGATAAATTCTTGAGCGTCAATACTCCAGAACGTGGCTAAAATGTGAGCCCATGTGCAGAGAGATAACATCAGCCTTTGACTTGAAGGAAGAATTAATGAGGCCTACGATGATGCCACAATGAGTCAGCCCCATAGGCAGTTAAACAAAAATAAATACACAGCAAAAGCACTCTCAGCGCCAGACGAAAGCGTTCGAACGAATTCTCAAAATTTCCACAAAGGTTCATTCATTGCCTGACGCTCAAAATTGTTGCTCAATATAAAACCCATCAAAATGTTTTGATGGCGCAAATTCTATGTATAAAATTCTTGGAATTATAAGAACGAAAGAAAGAAAGAAAGAAAGAAAGTCCAACCCACGAGCCTCGTCGGCCATTTCACGATTCGCCGGGTTCGAGTGGCCAAATTCCAACAGAAATTCGGTAAAACTCGAGCCTCGGCGAAAAGTAGGTATAATTTTTTTATCAGGAAAAAACGAAAGTGGAGGTGGGTGACGATTTGTACCTTTGTAGAGGGCCGTGACAGTGCCTGCGGCCGTCTGAAAGGGCAGCCAAAGTTCCGCGCCATGGCACCGCTCTGAAAGTAAAAGCAAAGTTAGTTTAAGGTTTTGCAGGGCAGGTCAAGGGTCAGGACCTCGGTAAAGGTGGGCAATCGCTGCCGCAGAGTTGTGGAATCCAGCCCAAAGGCGCTGGGTGGCAGCCTCACGGTCGATGCCCAGCTGGGCCTCCAGGTCGGGCTGCGCCTCGATCTGGGCCGCGCACTGGTGCTCCAAGTACTTCAACGGCTCCAAATCCTCCTCTTTGTCCTCGCTCATTCTGTCCAGCTGCGAATACAGGCCGAATCCACGCCTCAAATGAGACGCAAAACGTAAACTGGCAGGACAGCAGCCATGACACTCAGATCGCAACCAAAAATGACTGCAAGCAACTCACCTGATTGCGACCAGATGGCGCTTTCTGCACTCGTGCGCGTGCGCGAATCGTCCCTTTCAAAGGAAACCCCGCCAAAGTAATGTGCGAATGCGACAAAAAGTCGAAAAATAAAGATTCAAAAAGCAAGAGACTGGTTCTGCGAGAGTCAGTGCCGGTTTGAAATTAATCAAGCCAAGCACACATTCAAAATCTTAACAATGAGATTAATATTTTAGGAAAAACCGTTAAAAAAAACTCAAGAATGTTTCAACACTGAAAATACGGAAAATACCAATACAAAAAATCTACCGGAACAGAAAATTTAAATAATTTATAATATAATCAAATTTATCAAATATAATGTTGCTTTTGAAAGTTTCAGAGAGCAGTGCAACGAAAACATGAAAAATACGCATATTAACGTATAGAGCTTATGATTTAGTCGTTGAGAAACTTTTCAAAAATAAAAAATCGTACTTAATTTTCTGATACATTTAAAATCCTAGTATATAACACGGCGCAATTGGATTCATTCTGAGTATTTTGGCAACGGCAATGTTACTCATCTCAGGACCTTACTATAATCTGGAACAAACATTATATTTAATAAATAAACTGCGATTGATATAAATGGCCCGTTTTAATTTATAATGTTTATGCATTAAGTTTTTTTTTTAATTTGAGCGGAAAAAATCCTTACAATTAATTTGGTAATATAAAAGATTTAACAGTTGAAATTTTACTTACATTTTTGTATTGAATATCTCGTTTCTATCATCCTGTCCTCTACAATTTGCAATGATGACGGTGGAAACGTATAAGTGCTGGAATCGAAACAGTTTATAATTAATTTTATGCTATTATATTTTTCATCCTACTTAATTCAATTTAATAAATATTTTTATTTTTATTTTTTAAATACGAAAAATAGTTTAAATGATCAATAAATTATAGATAAAGAAAAACCCAAAAACAAAATAAAATAATAAAAAGACTAAATTGTGTGGCTTCCTCTGAGCCAATTGAAAAGAGCACAGGCCGACAAGACTTTGTCTTGGCCTGGCCCAAAAAATAAAATATTTCTAATTTACGCTTTGTCAAAATATAGAGGAAAAAGGTCGGAAAAATTATTGCTACGGAGCAAAAGGTATATTATTTTTCCCACAAGATCTCAGGTAAATAATAATTAATTTAATTAACATCTTGAGAGGATCATTAAAATTAATTTAGGAGGAAATAACATTTAACTAGGGCAAGTACTGTACGTGTAAAATATTTTTTATTCAGTTCTGAAAGAGCGCAGTATTAAATACCGAGGCTCACTGCGGCGGATGGGGTCTTTTTGATCTCGGAAGTTTTAGCAAAATTTTTGCTAGTGGTGATGCCTTTTTGTCCAACAATCTCTTTTTTTCTAAATAATTGTTTTTCAAAAATTGAATGTAAACAATGTATTTGTAACAATGTGGACAAATAAACAACAATAATAATAAAATAATAAAAAGCCTCTCCGTGCAAAAAGCTTCGAAAGTTGGATAAGAGGTGGCGTATTGACAACGAAAGTGCGCAGTAAATTTGCATTACCAACTTAAATAAAGAATGCTAATTAATTATAATTTTAATCAAATTTTGTGCCAATTTACTTCAAAATAATTCAAAAAAACTAAAAATTCACAGCTTTAAGCATTTTTAATTGCAATTTTTACAGCAGAAATTAATTAATTTAAAGGATGGAAGTGTAGGTATATTTTTGTTGTGTTGGTAAAGAAGCACACTCTTCACCTGCTGTCAAATTGATGTTATTTGACTTTGACCCGTCCTGTCGTGCTGCGAGTGTGTCTTTACGTCTTGAGTGACATTTTCTGGCCGTTTCGGCAGTGATTCGCAAGGGCCGCGCTACGGAAACGTGTCGCACGGCCGACGGAGAGTGTTGGAAGCCGAATCAAAGAGGCTGACATCCGTGTTCTTGCATTTTTCATTGGCGAGCGAGGCGAAATATGCAAGCACATGTGCTCGACGCAACTGACTTCGACTAGTTTGATCGGCCACTCGGCGCTTCTGAAGCGAGCTCTGCTCACCAAATCTTCTGCCCGCTCCGTGCACGAGCCTCTCTTTGAGACCAGCATGAAGTTCAAGCGACGTGAGTAAATTAGCTGTCAACTGTCACCGCAGTGTTATTTTGATCTGTCATCGTGCGCCCTCGTTTTCAATCAAACACACATTTCCCACCTCCCCCCTTTGATTTCGGATTTTTTCGAATTTTCTCAGATTGCTTTTTATTTTTGGGTTATTTTGAGATTTTTTCGAACACAATCGGTGATTTTCTATAATTAAATTGATTTGTTTTTGGCAACCACGTGGTTTAGGGCCGCATTTGGTTCGCCGCGGTTGGCACTCCTGACTCACATCTCTCGCTCTCGGAGACGAGCGGTCACGTGTACAAAAGCGTGTGTTTTTAGCCCGACGTTTTGCCTCCCGTGGCTTTTGTGTTGTTCATTTTTTTTTGTGTTATGTATTTAGGACTTAAGTCAAGAGTCTGTGTCAAAATTAGAAGTAACTCTCGAGCTACGAGTGATACAAAATGAAAATAATATTATCTGTTCTCAGCAAATTTCTTTTTTATTTTTATTTTCCATTAATATGTAATTTTATTATATTTTTTTTTTGTAACTGGTGTCACAAACGCCCTTTACTTGAACGCCGCCTGCTGACCTTAAGGACGAATGGTGCTCGTTAGAAAAAAATAGCTTTGCAGTCGGCGAGTTTTAATTTTGGTCGGCAAGCAAAGCAAGACTGCAAAGCATGACGCACGCACGCTGCTGTGCTAAATGTCAAACTGACACTGCTTACACTCGCCTTAAAAATAAGACAAATTTAACTGAAATTGAATCTAATTACTTTAAATTGAAGTGAGCAAGAAAAAAATAACTGAATGATTTTAAAATATCTTTACACAAAATAATTTAAAATTTATATTTTGTGAAAATATTTTCAATGGAATATTTTGTTGAAAGCAGACAAAAATAATTGAGAAAAGTTTATTTTATAATTTTTTTTTTAAAATTATTTTTGATAATCAAATTTTGTCCTTTGCAAACAAATTAAACTATTAAAAAAAAAAATAATAAATAAACCAATTGTTGGTTCCTTTTTTAGTGACAAAATAATTTTTGAAAATCAGTTAAAAAAAAACAGAAGCCCTCAGTCTTCTGCTGCTTTGAACAGTCGAAATACAAATTCTAATTAAATTTTCTATTTTTATATAATAATTTTTAAAAACTAAAAAGCAAGGAATACTTAAGAAAAATAAATATATAAAATATAAAATACTTACTAAGTAAGATTGTCAAAAAAATCTGTAATTGAATGCATTATTGTTATTGATAATTTCAATAAATCCCACAGCAATTATTAAAAAAACAATAAGTTTCACAAAAATTGTTCTATAAATTTAAATTTTATTGAAAAACTGATCAAACATATCCTGAGGCAGTTAGTTGAGAAAAGTGATAATGATTAATTCATTGAAAACATTTATGACTCCATCGTCATTCCTAGAGCTGCTTCAAATTATTTAAATTACTCATTGCGAAATAATTTAATGTCATTGTTAAGTCCCGAGTCATGGTCTGAAGGGTCTATTTAAGCGCTTGCAAAGACGTCTGCCATTTCCCGGCGCTTCTCGTTGCTCATTGTCAGTCGGTGCTTCTCGCGAAGAAAAAAAAAATGTGTCTCCGCCGCTGCAAGTGAAGCCCTAACGGTCGAGAGGTTGATGGATTGGGGCTGTCTCGAGTCGAGAGGTCCTCCTCTTATCTGATTGCGCGGCCAGACTGAGACTCTTGTTATGATGAAATTATACAAAATAATTGCATCGAAACCATTTTTAACTAAATTAGTTGTTTTTATTCGATTCCGCCGTTGTGGCGTGCGATGAAAAGAAAAAAAATGGTGCTCCTTCGCCACTCTTTTTTGATAAGAGTCTCTTCGGCTGATAAGGCTCGCATCTCTCGAAAAGTGCAAACATTTGACTTGCGATGCGAGGGCAAACAGATCGAGTACCACAGATTTTACGACCCTCAAAAATTATTCCAAGGATGCTCAAACTTGTGTAAAAACATCGTAGCATGAATTTAAAATCGGCAAATATTTAGATTCATAATTAATTTTAATATTTTTTTTTCTAATATTAAAAAAAATTATTTTACTTTTTTATTAAAAGAAAAATTGTTGAACAAAATAGACAAAATGTATTGTGAATGACTTTCATATTTTTATCTTGCCTAATTTTTTAAGCTATTATTAAAATTTTGTGATAAGGGATGTCGATCGCCTTTTTGTTTATCAAAATCTGCCGAGTTTTGAGTGAGAAACTCCTTGGACTCTTTGACCCTGGCTGCGATTGAAGCAGGAGACTCGAAACGTGACCTTGCCTCCGTGGCTGCACCGTCAACGATCATAATTTATTCGCATGACCACTCATCTCAAAAGTTGCCCTCTCATCCTCCTCTCGCAAGAAAAAACAGAAGTTCTAACTTCAAACACACGCACCTGCTGGTGCAACGACTGTGTCCGTATTTCATTTTACATTTTAGCTCTGGTCATTTCTTGGATACGGGGCTTTAAACTGATAGTTATAAAATATAAATTTTGTTAATAATTCCGATTAATTCTCAATCATAAAATTCAAATTTTACCAATTTTTGTTTTTTGTAACTAGTAAATAAACAATAAATTTTGATGTTTTAACTAATAATTTTAGGGAAAGAATTTTTTTATATAATTGATTTTTGAATCGATTAGGAAAATAAAGAAGTTCTAAGAATATCATTAAGTTTTATAAAATTATTCTTAAAAATTCATAAGAGTATATTTATGGTGGAGAAAATTATTTGATTACTTAATATTGATGGAATTTTGTAATTTTTTTCTAACAAAACAATTCCACTTTTTGGTTCCAAAATTATTTATGGCAAAATTATGTCCTTCTCACTTTAAGAGCCGTGTTTCTTTATAAACTGAAAGTCTCCGGTGTCGCTCCTCGTCCGAGTCGTCAAAAAGGAGAATCAGGCTGCAGCTGAGCTCCTTCTCTGCCCATGCTAAATATAGCCTTATTGGTTATGCAACTGGGTAAAGCAAAGAATCGTATACCTCTTTGTAAACACGTGAGTGAGAGAGAGACCGACCCTCACAGAATGAAAACAATAGTTGTTAAAAATAGTCTTGATTAGGCCGCGAAGAGAACAACGCGAGCTCTTCAATCACGCCAGAAGGTGCACTGCATTCAGAATGCGATGTAATTCGAGATGGATGTTTAATCGATTGTTCTCAAAAGAGTTTTGAAATGCGGCCAACAAACGAGAAAAGTAGTTTAAAAAATGTTTTAAAGGTGGATATAATTTCATATAATTTTTGTTGGCTATTTTGAAATTAATTGTCAATCAAATTTGTAAGAAAAATTTCAAAATGAAAAGTTAAAAGAAATGTAAACATTAAATTTACCTAAAGTTGTGACCATTTTACAAATTTAAAAAGAACCAATTCAATTTAAAAAAAAAAATTGTCTAATTAAATTAAAATTTTTGATAATATTTTCATAAATGAATTTAAAATGGTTTTTGGATAATTAATTAGGTAGAAAAAAAATATTGAACTATTGAGACTAAACTAAGAATTTTTTTATATCAAATAGATGTAAATTTTTTCTACTTTTGTTTCCAATTTAACATTTCTGTATTGACCGAGAAGAATAAATAATAATAATAAAAATTACATCAATTGTAAGAACACTTTTCAACGATCTCTAAGATTTTTTTGAGAAATCAAACATTGCACTTTCTCCTAAATTCAAACATTTTAAATTGACTGATTTATTATTTTGCTAATATTAAGAATGATGTATTTATTATGTAAGGAATTGTGCGGTGCCGCAGGAATATTTTGTAAGCGTCAAACGAGAGCTGTGCGAAGCACGTGAGCCGAGACGAAATCGGCGGCTCTGTTTCTCGCCCGCGCACACCTTTGCCGTGTGCATAAATAAAAATAAATTCATGTATGTATTCAAATGTGTATTACATTCTTGTGTGGCCGGCGCGAGAGCGAGGCTGCGCGCGACTATATTGGAAGAGGCTCTTGTTCATTTCGCCTATTAATATCCCGCGCCGGTTTTAGCCCTCAGCCTGCGCCGACTTGACTTTGGCTCTCTCGCCTCCTCCATTAGGACAAGGGACGGACCCCTTGCTAGGTGCATGACATTTACTCGGCCGCTGCAATTAGCGGAGGACCCTCGCTGCGACCGCCGCCGCCGAACATGCAGTCCCCGGGGGCGCAAAAGGCATTATTTTCGATTCGCGCAGAAATAGACCCCGAGTCGACCAAACGCCAAAACGAATTCAATTGAAAAATCGCAGAAATCTCCAGAACAGGAGAAGAGGATCAAATTAAATAAATTCTGAGTTAAATGAGGATTTTAAAAAGAAGCATTTAAATGAAATCTAAAAAAAAGTGAACAAAAATAAGAAAAAGGAGGAATCCAGTCTAGAAATTATATGTAAACAACCTAAAATGTTAAAGATAATAATCTAATTTTTTTAATTCTTCTTTACTTTTTACATTTAATTCATTTAATTATTAGCGATTTTTCTCCTCAAATTAAAAAAAGTTTTCAACTAGTTTCTGAATGCCCCACTTTCAAATTCACTAAAGGTACTTTTACCTAATTCAACCTAATTTAATTTAACATAATGTGAACAATTTTTCCCTACTGTATAATAAGTTCATTAAACTGTAGCTCTTTCCCATTGATTTATTTTCTCTTTCCCTCTCTCGAAATGGCTTTTGCCCTTTTTCTCGTAGCGACCCTTTAACTCGTATTATTATCAATGAGCTGCTCTGCATAATAACACTGATACACACTCCCTGCCGCCGCGTTTATAACTCTGAGTGCTCGTATATTAAATCTGTATCAAAATGACTGAGAGGCTCGCACAGCGATTGTTATTGTGAGAGCGCCTCAAAGGTCACCCGCTCTCCGCCAACAAGCATGCTTTCTTGGTCACAAAAATAATAATAATATCAAAATCCGCGGCCACTGCGTCACTCTAGCGACACGCTCCATTAAATGCCGCTTTGAAAACCAACAAGCCGCTTTTATGGTTTATGGCAATTTGTTTTTTTACGCTTGTCAAACTGATAAATTAAAATTTGAATGAATCTGAAAGTTAAAAAATTACCTTGATTTTGTCTCTATTATCAGTGCATAAGTTTTCAAAATTTTTACTAATTATTGACAAATTGCATGTATAGAGGATACAATTCATTCAATAAAAAAATTGTGTTTTTTTTTAAATATTATTAAATCACGCTTTTTATTACTATAATTATTTTTTTCTTTTAAATAATTTGGTAACTGCAAGTACCTTCTCTTCACGTGTGATTCAATTTTGTCGGTTCAAAGCTTAAGTCCCCTCTTGACTGCTCAAACTCGCGAGCCGAAAATGGCCACCAAATTGGATTACATTTATCTGGTCAGTCGGGCCGAGAGGCAGGTTTGGATTGTGCGGGTCGCCTTGAATTGACACGCTCCCAAGGCACTTCCTGTTCCAGCGCCGCGTGCACATTCATGATTTGGAAAATATACAGTGCAGATGCACGTGGCCGCGATATTGTCACCTTTTTTGTGTGAAAAAATCGCTTTTGGTGGAAGTGCCATAATTACGGCACCGGAAATTACGGCCGTTTTAAGGGGAAACTACAACAGACGGTCAACGACTCTAAATTTTGTAAACCTGAAATTCTATTTCGGGGTTTTGTTATTATTTTCATTGGGGAATATAGTTTGGCAGTTAAGTTGGTGGTCGCGAGCTGAATTATGCATGCGACTAAAGAATTCACGCCGGCGCTCGGCCGGATATCGAGCCATTGAAATGCAGTGTCAGGGTTCACGTGGGAATGCCAGAAGACAACAAACACCTGACTCAAACTTCCGACAATCCAGCATTCCCATGGGTCACCCGAGTAACTTTCCAAAGTCCTGTGCTGACATAAATTGCGTGCTAAAAAAATCAGCAATTTTTTTTGCTGAAACTTAATCTTGTTATTATTTAAAAATTGATGATTTGCACTATTTAGTATTTTTAATGCTCAAAGCATTCAATATTTTTTTTTCAAATTTTAATTATCTTACAAATAGACAAAATCTCAATTTGCACCAAAGCCTCTACTTATAACAGAAATGTCTTTTTTTACAATAAAAGACTAAATTTATTTTGGTACCTGAAGAAAGCCGCTTGTTTTCAAGGATCGCCTTGTCAGTTATTGTTTTAGTCAAACACGTCAATTTCGCTAACGAGCAAGACAAATTGGGCTTCTATTTGCCCAAGCACTTATGCCTTCCTTCCAAAACTGGAGTAAAAAAATGCGTCCGTTCTGTTCCAGCAGCACGTGAGCGGCTAAACTCCGACGAAGGTCTCGCGGTGGCCTACCCGCTCAACCTGTCCCTGCCGCAGACCTACCTGCCGACGGACCCTGGGAGCCACGGCGCGCAACAACCCCACCGCAGACGCAGGGGCAATTTGCCCAAGCAGGCCGTCAAGGTGCTCAAGCGGTGGCTCTTCGAGCACAGGTACAATGCGTACCCTAGCGACGCGGAAAAACTTGCCCTCTCCAGGGAGGCCAGTCTCACCGTCCTTCAGGTACATTTTTATGTCTCAATTTCATCAATTATTCACTTCTTTTAATTTTTTACAAATAAAACTTCAAAATTGTATAATTTTTGTTAAAAAAAAAAGGATTTTTAAGTAATTCTTCAATTCACCAATTTCCTTTTCATATAATGCTCTGAAAGTCTTCATTTTTCCTACTAAATTAATCAAACTGTATTTTTTTTTACAATCTTCTATTTTTCCATAAGTAATCAGTTTCAAAAATTCTTACTTGATTTGATATTTCTAGGTGTGCAACTGGTTCATTAACGCACGACGACGAGTGCTGCCGGAGATGATAAGACGTGAGGGCCAAGACCCCCAGCATTTCACCATCAGTCGAAGGGGCAAGAAGCAGCAGGGCAGCCCCATGTTGACCGCCCCTGGAGCCCAAACTCCCTCTTTCAACCCCTCCCAGCGCAGTCACCGCACCCCTTCCGAAAGCAGCTCGGACGAAGCAAGTTCCTCGACGGGCTCAGTCTTCAGTGAGAACAACAACCACCACCCCTACCTGAGCAGTGACACCCTCAGTGAGGACGAAGACGAGATTCCTCGCAAGATCAAGCGACGAAACCGACCAACCCTGCTGCCCTCGGAGCTCAAGAGGCACAAGAGCTGGGAGCCGTCGATCGCCCCTCCGACGCCGCCCAACGAGGAACACGAGGAGCAGTTCAAGTGCCTCTATCTGCTGGTCGAGGCTGCTGTGAGCCAGCGAGAGAAGGAAATGGGCATGTTGACCCCTGACGAGGAGCGCATGCCGGCCACTTTGTAGAGGGGAGCCTCAGTCTAGTTCTTAAAAGTAATGTCAAGTTCAAAAACGGACCCGCCGAGGCCATCTTTGAGAGGCTGGCGGCCTGGGTCTGTTGTAGATGTGTTCAAATCAACAAGAATTAATTCTTATTCTAAACACTCTGGCGGCGAATTTTGCTTGGCTGGGATTTATTTCAAAAATTTTACCATGCGAGAGATTTTAACACTAATATTTTGGCTAATTTTATTTGTGTATAAAAGCAAAACTACTCCTGCCAGCTGAGTTCGTGCCTTGAAACTAAGTTGTGTGTACAGCGCATTTTTGAAATGAGATTTTCTGCTGGAGTCATGCCGAGGGGAAGTGTCCTACCTAGCTTTGTCAAAAAAAAATCCACAAGTGCCATAAGCTGACAAACTTTGACTTTTCCATGCCAGACGGCGTCCCAGCTCAATATTTTAAATCTCTATAATGATGTGTAAAGAAACTTGCATACTTTTCTGTGTAATTGTATGTACTCTGGGAATCATTATTTTCGTAGTATTTGTTTGTAGTACGCGTAGGCTGTAAGATGCCCTAATTACTTCATTTTTCTGTCTCCGTAATTGAAATCATCATCGTGCCTCCGTAATGAAGAAATATTGGCACATAACAATTTTTCTTAAGGTCTGACAATAAAAATCACAAAATGAGCTCTTTTGGCTGTTCACGATGGACTTTGTAAATATTTCTTTTCATTCTTTCCTTTGTATGTAAATTGTCAAATTTCCCTTTGGCAAAGTAAATCAATCTTGAAATTCTGTGCTCATAACGTAAGTTAGTGATAACGTTAAGGTTAATCAATCTTGTAGTTGGTTGGCTCAAAAACGTGGTGGAGCATGATTGCTAATGTCTAAAATATAGGTGTGCCTTATTTCAAGCAGACGAGATTGAGAGGCATATTTTGGACGGAGCGAGGAGAAAAGAGTGTGGAAAGTGCATTTTAAGGAAAGAAAGACGTCACTGAAAAATGAACTACACTGAAATGCATATCACAAAACTAAATAGTGACATGTGAAGACATCACATTGTTTGTGGAAAATAGTCTGAAGATGCCCGAGTTTGCATCTAGTTCGTAGAGGATTTAAAAGAAATTCTAAAGAGAAAAAATACGATGGTAAAGAAACTTAACTTGTAACTTAGCATTTTTGACCTTCGATCGCTCACCTTTCAATGGTTGTGCAATTGCATAGATTAAATCGACATTTCATGTATTTGTTTATACACGTTTTACAAAAATGTTTTAGCTGTAACTAATACAAAAATATATGGAAGATTGTGAACAACCACCCTAGGAACCAGAAATACAGAGAATCAATTATTTTGTAGAAATGTTTTTGTTGCGTCTCCTTCATGGGTTTTGTCAGTTGGCAATTTAATTTAATTTGTGAGCTCTTATTATTTTGTGTTTTCCTGACACCATTTTAAGATTTAGGCGGCTTGTGCGAGATTTTTAGTTCGGCTGCTCATCGCTTACATAATGAGATTTAGATAAGTCTTGCGCTTTGTATTTGTGGTCAATGATTAAAAGAGACCTGTGGTGAAGCATTAAATACCATTTTTCACTCATTAAACAACACCCTAACTCACTGAACTCAAAAAGAGATTTGATTTAAGAATTATTTTATTGATAAAACAACATTTTGGAAGCAGAAACTTGCTCATGCTCTTGTGTTAATCTCGGCACAAATAAAAAAAACCAGTTCATGCAATTCAAACATTCATTCCGGACTAAGCGATTAAGTTTTCTTCGAAGGCCATTTTCTTTTGAGGGGCTGCTTCTTGGGTCTGGTGGTGTTCTGTTGCAAATGAGGACTGAGGGCCTTGTGTAGGGCCATGTGCAAAGAAGCTCCTGTACTTTTGGTGCCAGTCAAATCAGCAAGCTCACTTTCATTCTTGCAGAACAACTCCGCTAGTGATCCGCCTCGGCACAAAACTCGACGCAAGCTTTTGGAGTTGACACCAGGCAAGCAGGACACAAACTCCTTCATGGTGGTGTCAAACTGCTCATGCATCAGTGGCGTGTCATAGCGATGGGAGGCGGCGGCGTGTTCCAAACTGGGCTGCTCATGGCCTGTCTTCAGTTCGACCAGCATCTCTGCAGACGCGTGAGGATTTGGAGACCAGATGATGCGGAGTTTGGGGAACATCATTGTGAGCAGTTGGAGTCTTTGCATGGGCAGTCGGGATATATCTTTGGACTCGTACTCGATGAGCAGCACCGGCCTCTTGTAGTTACGTTGCATTGCTGTGGCCTGCTTATGCAAACGACCACTGTTCAGGGAGCCGATCAGGTCAGAAACGCTTTTTCGCTCAACACAAAGATCTCGAGTGACGATGTAGTCTCCAACCTGAAATTTTAATGATTATATTGGACTAAGCAAACACAACTATATTTTAAATTCATCCATACACAAATTTGATTCATTTTGGAAAAAAAAACATAAAAACTTATCGTTAATTATTTTTTTCTTTTTAATTTTATTTTGCTAAATAAAAGGATTTAATCTACCTTCAGAGTGATGGGATCAACACGAACTTCCTTCTGATGCAGCAGATTGGGCAATTCCGATCGAAATTCACGAACGTCCACTAGAACAATGCCATGCTTGTCAGATTCAACGCCGACCTCGACGCTCACTTCTCCTGCTCCCAGCATTGCCTTTTCTTTGACTAGAGCTTCAAAGGCGTTTTTTTCCTGCCTCAGGGAGGTGAGGTAGAGTTGCTCTTCAACGGAGCCACCAAAGATGAGGAAGTAAACTCGCAGGCGTGGCTCTGGATGTCGAGCTTGGAAAACCTCCAGTTGTCGGACGGCAACAATGTTTGCGTCATACAGGACAATGATTTGAGGGTCAAAGGCTATTAGGAGTTGTTCTAGGGGCGAAACCAGAGGCTCTAGGGACACATGGCACTGGCCTTTCATAAAGAAGGTCTGATCTTCCTCAGGAGTGACTTCTTTCTGGGACAGGTACTGAAGAAGCTGGCGACAGGTACGGCGATCTTCACAGAGGATTAGGATCTAGGGAAAGGAATCATTTTTAGTACCTTATTTAGAAAATTGCTGTTCTTATGAAACAAATTAAACCTTTTTTATTTGATATTTTTATCTTCCATTGAAGAATTGCATAAAAATATAAAAAACTAATGCAGATTAAAAAAATTAAATCAAATTACAATTAATACCTTTGTATCAGCATTTTCCTTTGACTCCTCGTCAAGCACATCTGCAAGGGCGCTCCACTTTGGACAAATTTCTTTTTCGTTTCCGTCTCTTGTCTTTGCCAGAACAAAAAGCGATTCGGCCGCAGGTAGCAAAAGCCACCCTGCACTGCGCTGAGCGTACTCGGAAGTTCTGAGAGGAGCCAACTGAGCCACAAAAGAAGCCCCGTCGGACTGGCAAAGCCTGCGGAGGAGGGTGCGCAGAGTCTTCGCGTCGGCAATAAGCTGCCTGCTTTTGGGGCCCAGCTGGTGCCAAATTGGCTCCAGCAGGCGCTGCAACACTCGAGGGGCAGCAAGAGCTTCTTCAACATTGAGATCGTCCAGAAGTGCGGGGTTGACTCGTTTCAGTTCTCGCACACAGAAAGAGAGCAGCTCCAGAAGGGCAGTTTGGATTTTAACCATGGTTGGGGTCATTTTTACATGAAGCTCAATCACCTCTGGGGATGCGACGCTCAGGGCACTCACCACAACAGAGTGGAATCTAAAACAGATATGATTTATCAATATAGATAAATTGTCAAAATATTTCAAACTAAAAAAATTAATTAATTAAAAACAATTAGCACTATCCAATGGTTCTGAATAAATAAAGCTGAATAAAGTTTAATCAAAATCCAAAAATCACAATGATTTAAATTAAAATCTGATGACAGCATAATTATATTTGTCAGGTAAAAAATATATAGAGGGGAAAATCAGATTCTACTCTCAAAATTTATTTAAAAATTTGGATCCATTGCGGAGCAATAATTTGCTGTTTTAAAGAAATTTTATTTTTTTTTTTTTTTAATAAAAATCAATTTGAGTCTCATCTCGTTTAAGTTTCTATTTAATTAAATCACCTAGGCCAGAGGAAAAGATTATCACAGAAGGTTGTGCGCATGACCTTTCGCACTGTGTGCGATGAGAAGCGGTACGGGGCGTCGCTAACGGCTAAAATAAACCCATTGGGATTGCGTTGTCGGAAGAGGCGCAATGCAAAGGCTTCCTGGGCAAGAATGGCGTGCGCCCTCAGCATCACAATCCCCGTGACATTGGCCAGAGGCACGCGATCCCTCAGAGAGTCTACAACGAGGACCCTCGCAGTCACAAAGACGACGCCACCCTCGTCATAGTTCACCTTCTGGGCATTCGAAGGGACGCCGAGAGCGTCAGCCAGGCGTTGCTCAAGTTCAGTTCCGGTGCCAACCACCAATACAAGGTTGCGGGGGTCAAGGTGGGAGCGCAGAAGGGCTTCAAGGACGCGTTCAATGTCGAGACCAGCGGCGCTGATCATCAGACAGTTGACGCCGACTGCCTCCAGCAGCATCTGGCGCTCGTACTCCAGCATTCTGAAATTTACAATAGAAAAAAATGAGAAATGAGGAGAGATCAACAGACGGAAAAATAATTAAGCAATTCCAAATTTAGACTGTTTGTCTTTGCTTTCTTGGCACACAAAACAAAATAGGTAGCGTCACAATAAAATTGCACGCACTTGCCAAATCTTGCAAGGCTGAATCCTAAATCTTTATAAAGAATAATTAAAAGCTTCAAGTAGCCAAAAATTGTATCTTTTTGATTGCGCAATTGAAAAAATGAACAATTTTAAATATTGTTTCTTCGATTATTATTTATGAAAATAAAAACAGACCAGCAAAATTTCATGTAGAAATTTTTAAAGCAGATGTTATAATTTTTCTGATAGTTAATATGCAAGGTATTTTTTTCCTTTGCATTGAATTATAATTTTAACTTTGAAACTGCAGTTTTAAGATATCTTTTCTCAATCAGACATTCATACCTAATTATTCAAAATTAATACTAAAAAGAGAACCAATTTAATCTCCACCTTGGCATGCCTCCTACAGCAAGAGGCCTTCGAGCAGAAGTTCAGCAACAGACACAATGATGCCCCACAGCAAACTCTGCTCCTCCTGATGTCCAGTGGTTTCTTGTGGCTCGTAGGACACTCGAGGGTCGTCACCGAATTCCCCTCTCTCTAATTGAACCTTCGTAAATAATATTTATTTATAAAAAAAATCAATTTAAAATTATTTTTTAAAACCTCTAGAAGGTATTCGCAGACTTCGTGCGAAGGGTGTCCGTAAACGCCAACTCCCACGGGCCGTTTGAACAGCTCAGGAATGTCGACACGGTCCAGCCCGCACGTGTTGCTGTGCAGACAGTACGTGTGCGGTTCGTAGGTGGGCTTCGAGTTGTGTTGAGACACGTAAAGGTCGCAGTCTCCGCGGTTTGAGTGCAAAATCAGTGAAATTGGCCCATCGTACATCAGGCTGTAGTACGTGAAGTTGCCTCGTCCCACCTCGCCGGCGACTGAATGCAGACGAACTTCGCTTCGAACACTGTCCAGCACGGCAGCGACCAGCACAGCCAGCAAGACCTGCCGCATTTCGTTCTCCGACCCTTCGCGATCGAAGGGTGGTTTTGTTGAAATTGTAAACAAAACGGAGCTGCCGGCGGGTGGTATTTTTGAATGAAATAACCGGTTAATTATAATTCTTTAAAACTGAAGATTTAAACCTTTATAGAAGATTCAATCTGATACTTAATGAATTACTTGATTTGAAAATTATTTGTCCTTTCCAGAAGTAAAGACGTATTTTAATACTAGAATGCGCTTGTAAAATTATCAATTAGGAACAAAAAAATGTGTTTCAGTATTTTCTTTTATATAGATGGCGCTTTTTTGCAAACCGGTTTTTAATCAAATCATCAACATGTGGTTTTACGCAACCCCGATTCGAAGATTTTCCTCTTGGAAGTTACGCTGGTCTTACTACACAAATGCGATCGCTAATGGGATTTAGAAACCACAAGAAACAGCGGCTCTGCGATATTTTTGGAAGCCGCAAACTACGCGGCGGGAAAAATTCACAAAAATATATAAGAGAAAAAATCTTGAATAAAATAATGAAAATTAGAATAAAAATAAATCAATTTGAAGAAGCAGAAAAATCAAAGTTAATTTCCGCCCCTCTCTCCATTCGTGCTTGAGCGAGCACAAAAAAGCGCAGGTGAAACCAGTGATTGAAAGTAGGATTCGCGTAAGTGAGGCTCAAGGGAGGGGCTGCGTTCGCGAGTCCCGACGCGTTCCTCTATCGCAATCGCATTCCAGGGGCAGGTAGATGGGAGGTGACAGTTGATTTGACGCCGTGTGTTGTTGTTATGGCACCGTTTGGCAGCTAAAATCGAATATTAAATGACGTATGCACGCATTGCGAGTCGCGCTCGGTGATCTGCAGACCCTTCGGACACAGCCGGACAGCAAAATGGCGACACCGGAGCAGGAGTCCCTGGCTCAGGTGATCCAGCAATGGAACAGCAACCGCCTCGACCTGTTCGCCCTGTCGCAGCCCAACGAGGTAAACGCCCTGATTTCAACCCCGTCACCAATCTTAAGCCTGTTTTCCGTTGCAGAATCTCGAGTTCCACGGCGTGATGCGATTTTACTTCCAAGACGCCGGTCAAAAGGTGGCCACCAAGTGCATCCGCGTGTCCTCCACGGCCACCACGCAGGCCGTCATCGAGACGCTGATTGAAAAGTTCCGTCCGGATATGAGAATGCTCGAGGTATGAATCGCTGTCACGTTGAAATTCCAGAAATCCTGCTCAAAATACGCAATTTTATTCAACCACTTGATGATTCATCCGTGATGACTAATTTTAAAATTTGCCGGGTCTTTATTTTGTACATAATTAGCAAGGAATTTTTTATATTTTTTATTTCTGTTTGAGAACATAATCCATCGTATTTTCACTTTCAATGGGGTCTTGAGCGATGGCGCATGTAATTTTAGATGTGGAAGGCTTACAAGTTCGCCAGTCGTATGGACACTGCGATTGGCTGGATGAATCATAAATACATCGGCTAACTCTTTCCTTCTACTTATGGGCCTATTCTTTAGATTGCGACTCAATTGGCGTGATATACCGAGTGACTCAAAATAAAATTGCACGTCCACTTTATTGTAATTTATCTATCTTTCCTTGTTAGTCACTTGTCCTCTTGGACCAAGTAGAATTGAAGTTACTTAAATTTGAAGGAAAAATTGTCATATTATTCTTTGATTTAATAAAATAATTCAATCTAAATTTTCCCTTACACTGAAGCGCGTTCATAATATTCAATAATATTAAAAAAAAAAAAATATGTTTTGTTATTCTTATTTATTCAAATTGAATAATTGCTTTTTTGCAATTTTCATTTCTGATCATAAGATTGTTAATTTCTACATAAAAATTTCAGGTACCTGAATTTGCCTTGTATGAAATCCACGAAAATGGCGTTGAGAAACGTCTGGAGGCCGAGCAGCGGCCGCTCATGGTGCAGCTCAACTGGCACAAAGATGACCTCGAAGGCCGCTTCCTCCTCCGCAGACGCAACGAGGTCTCCGTCCAGCCAAGCTTCGAGGAAAGTTCCTTCAAGAGAAAACCGTCCGGAAAGAAGAGTAAAAAGCGTGACCAGCACCAACAGCAGCAAAACAAGGATCAGAACGCCAACGTTGCCGAAAAGCTCTACACCGAGTTACCTGAAACCAGCTTCACCAGATCCATATCCAACCCGGAGGCCGTCATGAGAAGGCGGCGGCAGCAAAAGCTCGAGCGGAAACTGCAGCAGTTCCGGAGCAAGGACGGAGGACCGGACACTGGCGGTACCCTCAAGATTTACGGAGAGTCTCTCTGCAAAGATGTGCCTTATAAGACTTTGCTCTTGTCCGTCAGCGACACAGCGCAAGTTGTTGTCAAAGAAATGCTTTCAAAGTACGGCCTTACCCAAGAGGATCCTAACAACTATTGTCTTACTCAAGTGAGTTGGGTTTTTTATGTTTCTATACAAAAAATTATATACCAAAATTATATGCTCCAGGTATTCAAAAGAAATGAAGATGTTAAAGAAAACAATAATCACCCGCCAAGTAATGTGGAGTACATTTTAGATGACGACGACTGCCCATTGGCCATTCTGATGAACTGTCCTCCATCACAAGGTAATTTAATCTTTGCTAGAAATATAATGTGCGTTTCCCCCCTTGATGCCCATTAATTTGTATTTGTGAAATATGATATATAGTGCCCATGCAAATGATTAAAAAAATAGAGTTGTTTATTCATAAGTAAGCAGACCTTTTATACAAGATCAGTTTACGGAAACACCATTTTAATTAAAAATAATAAATAAAACCCAAGTTAGCAACCCCAGAGTAAAAACTAAAACTACTTTAAAAGAATGAGATGTTTAGTGAATTCCATAAAAATTGTGGTGTGACTTTTTTATATTTTATGAGGGTGCAAATCTTGTTAAGCGAGTTCTTTTTTTTAATATTTACAAAAAAAAAAGGAAAGATTAGAGTGGAACTTGTTTAAAAATTAAGAAAAGCACTGACTTGGGTGGCTATTTTTTTGCAAAATCAATGTTGACTGACATTTTCTGCTGAATTTTTTTTTGCAGCTATTTCTCTTTCAAACAATAAATTAGTTTTTCTTTCTCATTTAATTAAAGGTTAATGTAGAGCTAGAAAAGTCACCCCTATAATTAAATCCGAACAGCAAAGGTCAAGAGAAATGTCAGAAGTTTCGCAATAGTAAGGATACCTGTGGCTGAAGTGGTTGCATGCCGTCCCATTCATTTTTTTTCCATTACACGCAAGCCCGATTCGTATCCCAAATTCGGCACATTTACATAATCTCGATCAACCTTGAATTAATTGCAAAATAAATCGTGGGCCGCCAACGCATTTGCGGGAAATGGCGTAATTCGTTGGCGGCGCGAATGAACGTATCTCAAAATAATCCGGCTAATGGTCCGCTGACGTTGCCCTTGGGGCCGGCGATTGATCGGATTGATCATGCGGCGACGCACCCTGTCCGCCCACCCACCCTGCGGGCACATGAATTAATCAGAGATAATGGAGTCGTAATGGGTCGAGAAATAATGTAAGAGGGAAAAAGAAGAGTGCGCATCCGAGCGACGGGGCGCATGCCCGCCATTGACCTGCCCGTTGGTTCCCGGTCGGCCTGGCAGGCAGTCAGTCTGTCAGTTCAATAGCACCATGCTTGACTGGGGGATCAGGCGTACGCAGCCCCGCACGGCCCTCGGCGGCCCAGAGCAAAATAAAAAATTAATTCCGGCTCGATTGTTTCAGGCTCGATCATGTTCCACATCCGGAGACGTCCAGCTGACATGCAGCCGCGGAAGCGCAAGAAGAAATTGTACCAGACGGCCAACAGCCACGCAAAGGAGCAGCAGCCGGACGAATCGGCGCCCTTCCTGCTTGAGCTCCGCCACGGTGGGTGTTGATTTTTGTTTGCGTAAGGACGCGCCGCGCAGTACCTTGTTAAACACACACATTTGTGTGTGTTTCTCTCGCCGAGAGTGTCCCCGGACGTGACACGAGCCGCATTTTCAGGTCAAGTGAGTGACATATGTTGCACGTCACTCCAAATATCGATTCGGGCTGAAATTTTTATGATGAGCTCTGAATATTTTATGAGTGTTTTTTCCTGCTGCGACCTTTGGGCTTTGTTTTAATTGGCTTTTCCATTTTTTACGTGCGACGCTCGTTTCGCCGCCGTTTGTTGCATTTTTTATGACTACAAAGAGTGCGCCGCTTTGCGCAAGCTAACCGCAAAGTGTAAAATTTGAGGGCGCTTTGCCTTTGAAATTCGAGTGCTGCCAAGATAAACGTCCTTCCGCTTGAGGCCCATTTCTTGCCTCCTTTGTTCTTCTTAATTGCGAAATGCTGCACTGCTTTTGAAAGCAAGAGTTGGCATTTAGGGGAAAATAGCTGCTTTAAAAGATCATTTTGTTAGCGTTTGTTTCGCGCCTTAATATTTTTTATAAGATCTTCATTTAGGTCAGCTCTTGCTTACGTTAGCGCGTTGCATGCCTCTAAATTTATAATAAATTTTATAAATATGTCATTTTGATAAGCCAGGACACTAATTGATTGAAAATGAATATTTTCTGGCCTTCACCTATAAACTCGGTCCACTTCTTGATATATATCAAGTTTCAGAATTTAGAATATAAAATAACGTATGAAAAATGCAGTTACAAAATATTGAAAAGAAAATCATTACTTCTCTACGAATAAATTTCAATTAAGATCTTTACAATCATTGATTATTTATTAATAATTTTCCTCTGGGAAAGCAATATTTATTTTCCTTAAATAGTTTCGATGATCAAAAGTATAAAGAAAAAATATATATATTTTTTACATACTTGCATTTCTCTTTGGAAATCAGCATTGAAATGAAACAAAAAATTATGGTTTCTTTGGTAAAAATGAGTTCAGAAAGAGGAAACATTACCTGGAGGATTGAATTACAATAACAAATTCCCATGCAAGCACGAACCGGGGTGACCCAATTCATTTTATGCCGCTGCCTTTTGCTTTGACATAGGAACGAACCTTTGTGCCCATATAATTCATCGTCACAAAAGAAACCTTTTCCAAACAAAGCGACTTTTATTCTGTGAAAAAGCATCTCGTTTTACGAGCTCTCGGCGCCAGTCCACTTTTCCGCTTTTCCCTGGAACCGGATCGATCGGCGGAAATTGATTCAGTGCGTCTAGATTTACCATGTTCATTATCACCGGTGCAGACAGAAAAGAAAAGACTTCTTGGTTGTTGAAATCGAGCCTTTCGCGATTATTTGATACGCGCTCGGGATCACGCCGAGCCGCCCCAGGCACCCCTATCGGCTTTCTCGCTGCGCGTCTGCTCGCTCCAGCGCCGACTTTATGGCGAATTTAACAACTCGGAACGCAAAGAGCACCTGACTTCTTTTTGCTTTTTGTCGTGACGTACGCGAGTAAACACTCGGCGGCTCCCTCGGGGTTGACGATTAGATGGCGGCGGCAGCTTTTCTCACGCCACCCGTACTTCCTTTTTGCGCCCTTATCTCCACTCTGTTTGTTTTTCCTCCAGGACTTGCTGTTCCGCTCCGGTAAGCACCTTTGCAATTTTCCCAAGGAGAAAAAGCTAGTAAAAAATTCTTGAGCTGCGAGTTTGCTTTTATATAAAAAGCAAGGCAGCGGGGAACCGTCTTTGCCTCCTGGTTATTGAATTTTCTGCGCCGCAACAAGAAGCGGCACGTCGAGTAGTTAAAAGTTAATTCTGCTCCAGACGCTTTTGTTCCTGCGAGAAAACAAACTTTGCCCACGCAGCGGCCGCCTTTTTATTAACTTGCAATAAAATGTTTCTGAATAGAATAGACGCTTCGAAGTTTCCTTCGCTGCATCAAAATTTTATCGCAGCCTTCGACCCAATTACATTGTTAGAGGTCGCCGGGAAATGAAGCTGCCAGTCAAACTCAAACAGAACCTTCCCCCAACCTCTGAACCTAATTAAAATTGTAATACTGGTAGTCTGGTGGAGGGCGGTAAGCTTGTCAAATAGACCCAAGCTCACTGCTCACCTGCACAATTTATTATAGATGGAATTTTCAAAATGATTCACGCAGACAATTTCCCGATAATGTCTGAACTTCATTTTTTTCTAATATCAGAAAAACTTGAAATTTATTATTGAAAAAATTAATCTCAATCAAACACACATTCTGCAGTCGTATTTCTGACAAAATTATTAGCCAACGCCCAAATTAATTTCATTTTTTTTTAAATACAGTAAATTTCCTTCTGAATTTTCTGAATCGATATTATTTGCCTCTTCAACAAAACTTGCTAGCCAAATCGAAAGAAAATAATTTGATTCCTACGACCTGTTATTTATCAAGGTTTTATGTTTTTATTTTATCTATTTCCTATCTTCTTCTGCTTTTAGACGGAGCTTTTAGCCAACGCCACGCTCTGCTTTACGACGTAACCGAGGCCGGCTCGGAACAAGGCTTGGGAATGCAAGTTTTCGGGGCAGACGTGCAGCCCCGGCACTGCGTCTTTGCCTCCAGTGGAGGCCTGGTCACCGTGACCCCATGCAGTCGCGAGGCAGAGACCTACGTCAATGAACAGCGCATCTGGGAAACGACGATCCTTCAGCACGGCTGCACCGTCCGCCTCGGCAGACACCACTTGTTCCGCTTCGTCGATCCGGCCACGGCGTCTGTCCGCAGAGACTCGCCTGAGAAGACTTTTGAGACTACTTTTGACGTCACTGGTCATGTTGAAACAACCGAGGCACCTCAAAGGTGCGATCCCATCTTGCCAGCTGTTCTGGAATTCAGGGAAGAAACGCGAGACGCGCTTTTGGAGACGCTCATCGGGTCGCTCGACACCTCGTCTGTTCACTTCAAACTGGCACCCACTTACGCCCTTTACTTGGCAACAAGGTAATATTTATTTATTTACATTAAATTATATATTACCTGATATTTTTTTCTTTTTTGATAGCCATGCAGTTTTTACTTAAAAATAAAAAAAAGTATAATATTTGATAAAAAGATAACCTTGGGAGATGGCCAGATTTTTTTAAAATTAAAACCAATTTTTCGATTCTGTTTAGATACCGTGCCTCAACGCACTACAGACCAGATTTAACGCCCACTGAGCGAGCCCAAAGGTTAAGCGTCCTCCTTGAGCAAGTTGCCTCTCAGATCCAGCAAGTTGTGGTTGAGAGACCAACTGAAGCAGAGTCCCTCACTTTCTGGATGGCCAATGCCAGCGAACTGCTGCACTTCTTGAAGGCAGATCGCCACATTTCCGCCTTCACCCTGGACGCCCAAGACATTTTAGCCGAGACTGTTCACAGTGCATTCAACAACATGGTGGCCATCGTAGAACACGAACTGGCGGCCAGCATGCCCTCTTTCTGGCTTGATAGCGATGACAACGAAAATGCAGCCGCAGCTGTAAAAAAGTCAAATTAATTGAAAAAATGTATCTTAACAATAATTTTTTTCCAGATAATTGTCACTTTGATGAGTGCGATGGCCCTAATGCGCCGCTGTCGAGTTAATGCAGCTCTTACCATCCAACTATTCTCTCAACTCTTCCACCTTCTGAACATGTGGATTTTCAACCGACTCGTTTGCGGTCCTGACAACCGTTTCTGCTGCCGCAGGTGGGGTGGTCGAATTCAACTAAGACTTAGCCACGTAGAGCAGTGGGCTGAAAAACAAGGTTTGGAGCTGGCTGCAGATTGCCACCTTTCGAGGGTCCTCCAAGCAGCCTATCTTCTGCAGGCGCCCAAGTACACGGCTGACCAGCTCGCAACCCTTAGCTCCACCTGCTTCAAACTCAACTCGCTGCAGTTGGCTGCCCTCTTAAAGCGTTACTGGCGAGCACCCAATGAACCTGAAGTGCCACCAGAGTTGGTGGAAAATGTGGTCAGGGTGGCGGAAAGTGTTGCTGACGAGCTCATCAGGGCTGACGGACGAGAGGTAGAACTTTAAATTTAAACTTTTTCCCTATGCTAATTTTTATTTTGCCACAGGTTCGTCTTGACGAACAACCAGAACTGCAGCTGCCATTTCTTTTGCCAGAAGACGGCTACAGTTGTGATGTTGTGCGTGGGATGCCAGTTGGTCTCCTTGAACTGTTGGGAGGTCTTCAGCAAGCTGGTCTTTGCCGTTTCACTATTCAGCCGACATCATCTGGTTTGTGGACAATCTACATGGAGCAGCAGCAGGGCACTATCCCTAGACCCAGTTCTCAACCCGAAAGAGCCGTGGTCCAGCTAAACAAAGCAGCTACTGGACTTGGGCTTAGTATAGTGGCAGCAAAGGGTGCCGGTCAGGACAAGCTGGGCATATATGTCAAGACGGTTGTTCGAGGTGGAGCAGCTGATATTGACGGCCGTTTGAGAGCAGGAGACCAACTTCTGAAGGTTGATGGTCAAAGCTTAGTTGGCATCACTCAAGAAAAGTAATTTTACTACTTCATAGAATCACCTTTAAATAACTTACCGTTTTTGCTAACAGGGCAGCTGAATATTTAGTGAAAACTGGACCTGTGGTTACTTTGGAAATTGCCAAACAAGGTGCTATATGCCATGGACTAGCCACTCTCTTAAGTCAACCATCCCCTGACATGGGAAGAAGTATGTGTAAACCCTATATAAAAAAAATATCTCTACTCATAAATTCTATTCTTAGATTCATGGCACCACCCTGAGCCAAATGAAGCTAGGAGACCAATGCAGAGTTCAAAGTCTGTGCCAGCTCTAAACAATAGTAAGAATATTTTGCTGTTTACTTAAAGAAAGCTAATTTTTAACTGCAGGTGATAAAGCTGGACCTCCAGTAGCCACTCATAAAGCAATACCCACTTCAGTGAGTTTCTCACATGATGCTATAGCAACGAATCACAGATCTAAGTAAAGGATTTCCTGTCTTTTATTTTGAATGTAGACTGACGTGTTATTTTTTTATTTAGCTCGAGTAACAGTATTTTGGATAGTCTACGTCAAAACTGGCAGAGAGAAGAGGCTCGCCCTCCTGAAACAATTCACCGTCCAGAAATGTCCCACAGACAGGACTTGCCTCAACGAACTGAAATGATGCGCCATCCACCCGAGATGTCCAGGTCGCAAGAAATGATGCGGCACCATGAGATGAACCGGCAGTCAGAACTGATGAGAACCCAAGACATATCAAGGTCATCGGACATGATCAGGGCACACGAAATAGCAAGGTCAACAGAAATGGCTATGGCCCGACCATCCGATCTTTCAAAGTCGCAAGAGATGCCACGACCAATGGAGTTGATCCGATTGCAAGAGAGCATGCGTCAGTCTGAAATGAGTCGTTCCCAAGAAATGACCAAGCCCTTGGATCGGTCACATGAAGTGTCTAGATCTCTAGACAGGTCCCAAGACATGTCTAGGCAGTTGGAACGGAATCAAGAAATTAACAGGCAGCTGGAGAGGTCGCACGAAGTGTCAAGGCAGCTAGAAAGATCGCAAGAAATAAACAGGCAGCTTGAACGATCGCAAGAAATAACAAGGCAGCTAGAAAGGTCGCATGAAATGTCCAGGTCAATGGACAGGTCGCACGAAATGTCAAGAGCCATGGACAGATCTCAGGAAATGCCCAGACAGCCGGAAATGATGCGGCAGCAGGAAATGATGAGGCACAATGAAATGATGCGAGCGGATATGATCAGAGGCCCAGAAATCCCTCAGGGTCCACCCATGGCTGAGGTGATGACCCGCTCCGTGACCTTTGTTGACGAGCCAAAGAGCCGAAGACATGACGAAGTGCCAAGAAGAGCCGTTTCGTTCTCAATGGACCAACCTGAACCCTCCAGGAAGGATTCTCCAACCACCCCCACTTTGCCGCCTCCCTTACCGTCCACATCGCCCCCAAGGGACACGCCGGTACCTCTACCCCCAGAGAGAAACTCTTCGTACGTCGTGATGGCGCAGCAAGGACATGATTATAAGGAAGAATCTCCTCACAGGTCATCCTATTATGACACAGATTCAAGCGATATGTACCCTAATGAGGACCCAAATGTAAGTTTGATCATAATTTGTACAGAGAATTTTTCTTAAAAATTGAATTTCCTTGCACAGAGTTTCATCAATGAGGCTGAAATGCTTTTGATGCACCACCCATCAAGCGCTGACAATTCTGGCGTGGGCAACACTCCAGGCGTAATTGGAGCACAAGAAGTTTACAAGTAAGACTTTGGTCAAGAAAACTCCTAGGGTCAAATTAAATTTCAATTTTTCAACAGAGATCCGCGCAACAAGCGCCTGGCAGAACAGCAGCAGCAAAAGCAGATGGCTAGTCGCACTGGACCAGAAAAGTTATCCTTCAAAGAAAAGATGAAGATGTTTGCCATGGAGACGGGCGAGTTTGGCCCTCTCAAGAATAAGGTGAGCAACTCCAGGGCTCAGCGGGACATCGAAAGCCCACAGGTGCCGTGACATTCCAATTAAATGATAGGCAGCGTGAAATTAATCTATTTTGATAATATGATATAATCAATTAAGCATGTGTATTCCATGGTGATCGAGCATATCAAAAGTTTGTGACTTTTATCGGAGGAGAAGGGAGATGCATATTTTGTAAAATATTGTATTGGGAGCAATTTATGTCGAGACTTTGGAACCAGGCAACACCAATCATTTGATTGATATCTATATCTACATTTACTTGATAAACGAAATATAAAAAAATAAAATAAATAGCAGTCTATTTAGCAATAATATTCAATGGCCTTTTATTCGATGATTAATTTTATCTGCTGGTGACGACGTTCCTTAGATTACAAACTTTCTTACATTGTACAAGTGTATTGCATTCACATCTCTCCCGCAGACAAAGCATAATATAATATTTCTTCATTAAATAGTTTTTATATAAACACATTTTGATGCTCTCCGGTTGGCACTGGCAGACAACAACAGGCACTTCCAATAACTAGAAACAACTTGCTCCTACGGCTTGAGTAATCTGATCATAGGCAATAAAATCAATTTAACTCTTGAGATCCAAAATTAATATTCAATATTTTGCTCGTTTGGTAAAATTAATTAAAAACACTGCAGCCGTCGGAGCATCTCAAGTACCTGCTGTCTAAGATAATAACAAGAAACACTCACTCTCGTTCAGTTAGTATGGTAGTTAAGCTAGTTCATAAGATTGCAGCAGTCGGCCGTGTTTTGGGCGTCCATTGGTGGAATACATTTCGGTTCAGTAAAACATAATTGAGCGTCAGTCTTTCACAGTTCAGTGGTGGTCTCGGCCAGGTATGATGAGAACGAACTCTGGTAGTTTTTGTTGTCGCGGAACATGACGTTGTCGTTGTTGGACGCGTACACCAGATTGGGCCCCAGCTCAGAGGCCCTGGCCGTGGTGGCCGCCTCCGAGCTGGTCGGGCTATGTTGACCCGTGCTCTTCGTAATGTAACTGACGTTGTCCAACGAAAAGGCGTGATTCTTGTGAGCATCAAAATCCAGCTGCAGGTCGTTGTAGCTGTCGGAATCGTCAATCGGCACGCTCATTTGCAAAACCTACAACAATTTAATAATTTCAATGACCTAAGAATTGACAATAATAATATAAAGTAAATAAATAACCAACAAAATTAATAGTGATTTTTATATTAATTAATTTCAACATTCAATGGAAATGAACAAATAAAATTATTAAAATTGAAATTAAATTCAAAAATAAATTTTAGTTCCTTGGGAGGAAATTTAATTGGTAAGTGAAAAAAATAAGCTCAATCCCATTGCTTATTTAAATTTTGTATTCATTTTATCCTTTTTTTCTAATATTTCTTTTCTTAATTTGTTTTATTATTTTAACATGGAATTTTAATTTTGCTGGTATTTAAAATTTAAACTTTCTAAGGAAAATTTATTATTTAATTTTTTTACGAAATAATTAAATAACATCAATAAATTAAAAATTGATTACCTGAGTTTCATACTCCTTAAGATTTGGTTCAACGAAAACTGGGTCATATCTGGGGACCACATACATTCGCTGCATCCGCTCTTTGTACGTTTTGTACCTACAAATTTATATAAAAATTGAAAGATTGTCAGAAAAAATATAATTCTCTCACCTGTGCCAAGAGACGCACAAATACGCGATGCCGACCACTCCGAGAACAAGTACGATGCATGCAATTGCGACCATGGCGTACGGGAAGGCGTCCCAACTGGCCGGTGCGGTGGCGGCCACGACCTTTGGCTTGGGCTGTTCCAGAGGCTCGCGCACCTCGGAGGCTGTGGCCTGCAGGGCTGCTGAGACGGCCAATTTGAGAGAGGCCGTCGCGTTTCTTCCCAAAACGTGTCTCTGCACCCGAGAGGCATTTCGAGACAGGAGGGCGCCGGTTTCAGGGTCTTGAGCATAGAACCAAACGTCGGTGGCCCCTTCGTCGACGGCCAGGGTGCCGTTGGGCGTCAGGTAGGAGTGGGCGGTGACCCTTTCGACGCCAACGGCCAGGCCTGTATGCGTTTCGATGGCGCTGAGGAGGCGCTGCTCGGCCGTCTTGACCCTTTCAGGTCGCGCGTCGGCCAAGACGAGGACCATCCGGTGCTGGGGCTCCAACAGGTCGACAGCCACCGTGGCCCTGGCCGTGTTGAATCCATCCTTAGCCTCAGGGTCGTCTCTCGCCTCCACTTCAAAACGCAGAGGTCCTCGAAGGGCCGCCAAAGAGCCGTTGGTGCGGAGGAGACCTGTGACTGCGTCCAGGGCAAAGGTGGCCGCGGCCGGTTGACCTGGAGGAATGCGGTAGCGCACCTCGCCAAAGGTCCCGCCGTCCTTGTCCTTGGCCTCCACCTGCAGGATGGGAGTGAAGACCTCAGCTTCACGAGAAATGGCGCCCATGTAAAGAGAACGCGGCGCCGGCAAAGAGGGAAAAATGAAGTAGGGAACGTTGTCATTCACGTCCAGCACCTTCAGCTTAATCTAGAAATTTAAAATAAAATTATTAAATAATTTTTACAAAAAATAAAAAATTAAATATGCATACAATAGTTGATGACTTTTGCTGATTCAAAATTCCACTAAGGGACTCCAAGGTGACTCTGAACTTCAACGCCTTGTCCACCTCAAAGTCCAGAGTTGTGTTGAGAGTAACCAAGCAAGTTTTGTTAGGAGTGATTTTTGCTGCAAACATGTCTGAAAAATGCATTTAATGTTTTAGTGAAAAAAATTGTAAAAAAATAAAGAACTGACAAAGCTCTTTAGCTGATTCGATTTTGCAGCTCAAAGGTGCGTTAGGGTGCGTTTGAGCGTTGATGATAGTCAATTCCTTAATGGCATCACCAACAGCAGCATTCTCATCCAGCTCCACGGTGTACGAGTCATCAGGGAAGCCAAGACCGCCATCAGCAGTGGCCGATTGCTCGTGGTGAACGCGAATAAAGAGCGCAATGCTGGACGAGAGGGAAGGCTCACCACCATCCCGCGCCTCCACATCCAACTCGTACTCTGTATCCGTTTCCTGAGGGGAAATTCAATATTGAAAATAGGGAAGTAGAATATAAATTTGAATTGAACACAATGAAAAATATTTTAATTTCTAAATAAGTAATTAATTCACTATTGATTCAAAATGTAACATTTTGAGTCCCGAAAAAAAATTAATTAAAATTTTGGCTAAAGCAATAAAATAAAAATTTAAATAAATTTTCCAGAAAAGGGGTCCAATAATTATTAATTACCTTTGTAAGGTCGTCCCTGATAGAAACCTGTCCACTGACTGAATCCACCGAAAAGTATTTTGCAGCTTTTCCTCTGCCGATCAAAGAGTAGCGCACTTCGTTGTTTGGCGCGGTGCCGTCGCCATCAATGGCCGTCACCTTTGCAACAGGATGGCCAATTGACGCCTCGGCCTCCACAGTCACTGGGCTCGGAGGCAAAACTGTGAAGACGGGTGCATTGTCGTTGCGGTCCTCTACCTTGATGTGAACCCTGGCCTCCGCGCCTGGTCCAGTATTCGAGTTTTCCAAAGTTCCGACGACAAGGACATGCTCATGAGCCATCTCATAATCAAGTCCTCTGGTTGTTCGGATGACACCAGTTTGCGGGTCGATGACAAACAGGTCTGTTGGGCCTTGACGTAGGGTGTACGTTATCTGCTGGTGCGAGTCCAAGTCCTCGGCCTGAATCAGTTTTATTTTTAATATAATTTCTGTTAAATATAAAAAATATATTACCTTCACTTGAATGACCATGAACTCAGGCATATTCTCAGGTACCGTAGCTTCATACATGGTCTGCTCGAAAATGGGCAGCTCGTCATCCACATCCTCAACAAGTACAGTGACTGAAGCCGTGGCAAGTCGAGGTTCTTGTCCACCGTCGGTCGCAGTGACCACAAAAACGTGAGATGGCTGTTTCTCATAGTCGAGCGCCACCTTTGTTCGAATTTCACCACTCATTGCGTCAATGCTGAAGGACACGTCCGGTGGCACCGAATAGTAGACAACAGCGTTTTGACCTTCATCAGCATCAACTGCTTTGACATTTCCAACGGTGACTCCAGCCTCACCTTCCTTGACCTATTTTAAAAAATTTGTTATAAATTTTATTTAAAAGATTAATATATTTCTTGCCTTAAATTCGTATGGCAAGTCGACAAACTCAGGATTCTTGTCGTTCAGGTCGGAAACCTTGATGTTGACAGTGGCTGTGGAAGCCAGGCCACCAGAGTCCTCCGCCCTGACCATCAGTTGGTACCTGGTCAGGTCTTCCCTGTCCAACCTTCTGATTACAGATATGACTCCAGTTTGAGCGTTGATGGAGAATTGTCGGAGTTCATTTCCGGCCACAATGCTGTAGGTGACAGGGTCATCCTCAGGGTCTGTCGCTGTTACAGTCAACACTGTTGCGTTCAGGGCAGCGCCTTCACTGACCTCGGCCTCGTAAACAGTCTGGGTGAAGCGCGGCCTGTGAGTGTTGGGTCCAGGAATAACAGTGACCTCCACAATGCCCTGACTTGAGCGACCACCCTTGTCAGTTGCCTAAATAAAATTAAATTAATATAAAGTTTACATGAGAGAGAGAGAGAGTTTTTAAAAAGCTATAATTTATGAAATAAAATCCTGGTTTACCCTCTCTTAATGATAATTATCAGATTGCTTTATTTGTTATTTTTTTCTAATTAATATTTTCAAAATTAAAAGCTTCCTTTCTAAATTATAATTCCAAAAAAACTTGCCTGAACCGTTATGCTGTATTGTTCACCAGCAGTCAGTCTTCCGAGGGACTCGATGACCCCGAGTGCAGGGTCAATTCTGAACTTGTGACCTCCGTTGTTCGAGACGTGATAAATGGAGTAAGTGATTTCTGCGTTTTCTCCTTCATCTTTGTCGGTGGCGTTGACTTTGATGATGCGCCTCGATGCGTCTCCCGCTTCCACCGTAACTGGCGGAAGGTTTGGCAGACGCGGAGAGTTGTCGTTGACGTCCTTCAGGGTGACCATCAGCGACAACGGGGCAGAGGCCGCCGTTCCCCCTTTCTCTCGAGCGACGACCTGAATGAGACGATTGAACAGTCAAAAGATGACCTCACAAGTAATATGCAGTAAAATATAACTTGCCTGGAAACGGAAACGCCCTGGACTAGGTGGGTCTCTGTCAAGACCCTCTTCGTTCACAACAAGCCGCCCGTCTGACTCCACCCTGAAGAAGGTGGTGGTCAGCTCAAACGTGTAAGTGGGTTTCGGATCACCAGGACCCTGCAAAAAAATAAATAAAAAATACAAAAATTTATGTTTAGTTAGAAAAAGGAAAAAAATGATAGCATTTAAAAAAAAATTAAAAAAAAACTTACCAAATCAGGATCATGGACTTTGAGGACGATAATTCTCCCATCCATATCCAAAACTGGCGTGCCAATTGGTGCGTTTTCCGCAACCACCCCTTCGAGGGCCGACGCCTTCAGCACCGGCGGATTACTGTCGATGGGCTTAACAGTGATGATTAATTTGGCGGTGGCACTTCTCTTGTTCGGCGAATCTTCCTCCGCCTTCACCAAAAGCTCGAATCTTTTCGCCACTGAAGTGTCCACTGGTCGCGTTTGCCTGACGGCGCCGGTGCGAGGGTCAATTTCAAAGTACTCCCTGAATTTGGGCGGCGTTCCATCCACAAAAGAATATTGCACCGGACGCCCCAGGGAATCCATGTCCACGGCGTGTATCCTTTCCGGACGTACCGAAAGCACGCCCGAAAGAACCCCACTGGACACTGATGCGTAGTACTCGGGGTTGATGCACGCTCCGTCCATGAGGGTGCAGCCCCTGTAAACGAAACTGGGGTCTTGGTCGTCATCGTCCTGAATCTGGACGATCAGGGTCGTTGTCGAAGACAATCGTTCGGATGAATTTCGGGCTCGGTCCTGTATAAGTAATGATTTTAAAACTGAATTAATTTAAAATTATTGTAAAAATTTATAAATAATAATTTAAATTATATGAATTTTTTAGTCTACAAATTAAAGCATTTGGTCTCGTATTTGCTGAAATGTGCTTCAGACTAATTAAACAGCTCATGTGAAGACTGTGTGAAATGTTCGTTAATTTGGCGTGAATAATTCGCACAGCGTTATCACAGTCACGGTTTGTTTTTCACGCATGCCTCTCCTATCTAGAAACAAGTAAGTAGCTCTCCGAACACCAATTTTCCGCTAAATACCAAATAAATAAATTCCATTTTTTCCTGTTATATAATTTCTCAGAAAACACGCACGCACGCTCTAGAAATTTGAAGCAGGATAATCCACCTCATGCTAAGAAGCACCAAAAGTTACAAACAGGGGCGCATCAAATTTTGAATGCATAATTACAAAACGGCCGCCCATTCTCGATTTCAAGGCTTGTGCTATAGACAACAAGACAATCACAAGGCTGACGATTGCGAACGTTATCAATTCAAAATATAATAAAGAAAAAACCCACATAAAAAGCAAGGTTCTCCGCAAAAGAAAATTGCAGCGATCGGTATAATTAACCACAAATAAATTATAATAATATGGGAGCAAAATGCGCAAGAATTATATTCCGGCTCACGATTGATTTCGGTTTCGGTTCAATGTGCTGAATGACGCGATGATTGGCCGCCGCGGCCGCAAGGATGGCCGCTAAGGCCACTGCAGAAGGAAGCATGCGAACCCACACCGTCTGGCCAACTGCCAGTTTCCGTCTGAAATCCCTTCCAGCAAATCCCCACCTACCCATTCATTTTTTTCTCCCATTTTCAAATGAAAAAAAAATTATCTCTACGTACATATAATTAGTAAAAAGAAACTTACAGTCGCTTTGAGAGTGACCAAGTACTTGGTTGTGCGTTCGTAGTTGAGACTCTGGTTGACAAAGATGTTGCCTTGGTGCGGCGCTCGAATGGCAAAGTACCCGTAGCCGTCGGCCACGCGGCCGCTCGTCTCTTGAGCCATGGCGGCCACGTCCGGGCCACCGGGCACAATCGAATATTCGACCATGCCATTGACGCCTGTGTCAGCATCGACGGCCTGAGCTTGGAAGATTGAAGTTCCAATAGGTGTCAACTGTAGTAATAAAAAATTTAATTAATGTAAAAATTGAGAAAAAAATGTTATTTTAAATTTTTTCTTACAAATTAGCCAAAGAAACAACTCCTGAAAATTTGGTTTCTTTGAATTAAATCAACACAGATATTACCGTTTCTAATTTAATTTGTATTTAAAAGTTTTCTAAAAATTAATTAAATTATTATGCTAAGTTTTTTTATGAACTAATTATTAAAAATAATGCAATTTAATTGTTTCTAACAAACAAAACCAATGCTTAATTTTTTTATTTTTTTCCAGAGAATGTTTTAATTCAAAAATAGAGTTCCTGAATTAGCCATATATAAAAAACCACAAAAATCTTCTTACCTCGTTGACTGTGGCCTGGTAAGGTGTGTTGAGGAACTTGGGTGCGTTGTCGTTAATGTCGGACACCCTGACTATGACTGGAATGTTTTTCCTTTTCTGTGTGGTTTTGTCCTGGCAAACCACCTGTTTTTCAGATATAGATAGTTTTATTTATCAATAATAGTGACTAATTACGTCGCATTAGTTTTACCTGAAAAACTACATGGCTGACGTTGCCGGTGTCTCTGTCGATGGGCTGGAGGAGTCTCAACTTTTTTCCGTCTAACGCAAAAAGCTGCCTGTTTTGGGGAAACACGGCGTCCAACTGGATCTGCGTTCCCGGATCGCCTACTATTGGAAGTTCCGCCGGTGACGTGACTTGGTCAATTTCTAAAAAAGAGTAAAATTCAAATTTATTTTTGCTCCACAAAATATTTTATATTATAAAAATTAAATGCGCTTCTTAGCTGCACAAAAACTTTTTTAAATTAATTTGGTTAAAAAAAACAGCAAAATAATTAGAGATGGAAAAACGCCTAATCAACAATAAATTACTAATTATGAATTTCCTCAACACTGCTTCAAAAATAATGAAATTTTTGTATGTTTGAATGAATTATGGAAAATCGAAAATTTACTCGGAGTAAAAGTCATCTTTTTTTACAATTTTCCTCTCTTTAATTAAAGGAAATCCAACATTATTAATTTGTAAGCATCAACCAAAGAGTTTTTTTCTAATCACTGTTTTAAAATTCCCGACAGTCCATTTTGATCATTTCTATCCAATTTATGTGACACGTGATTTCTTCTTTAAAAAAAGCAAGAACAAGATAAAGTAATTGATTAAATTTAAGAATATATGTATTTATTTTTATAAATCAAATCTATACAAATAAAACAAAATAAAAACAAAATAAAATAGTCAGCAATTTTCAGATTCAAATCCATTATAGTGAATTTTTTTTTAAATAATGCGTTCCGAATTGCCTCGAAACTTAATTAAGGTGCTCCGATTTAAATTTTGAGCAAACCATTACGCATAATTCTAATTGTTTTTCTCAATTAAGGGGTCAATAGTGGTCACCTACATTTTCTACTATTTAGATCAAATGAATGTTTAACAACATTGCGTTTGGAAATAAGAAACGATTAATAATATTTTGATTTTTGCTTCAAGCAAATCATAATCGACCAGTGGAAACACCAAAGTTAATGCAATTAATTAAATTGTGCGCGATTTGTTTTGAGGGCTATCAATTAGCAATTTCCCGTCCGGCCGTCACAATAACAACACTTAATTGCTTACAAACGAGAGACGAAATTGCGCGCCGACGGCGCCGCTCTCGTCGAGCGCCCGGCTGTATACAAATGCGCGTATTTCAGCAAAAGTAATTAATAAACACGCGCGAGAGCGGTGTGCTCATTAGAAAAGCGAAAAGGGGGTCAGTGCACCACGTCGCGCAATGAATAAAAAAGCGTGTTGTGTCTCCATTGAGCCCGAGCAATAACAATAATAAAGGCAAAAGCCGCCGCTTCTTATTCTCATCACAAGCGACGTAATTAAATTCACACAGAATTTTATTCTTTATATCTCGGTGGGAAAATCGAGCCGAAATTAAACGGCGTCGTTCTCACACAATTAATGCGATCCTCGCTCCATAAAATCGGACTATTTGTATATGCACTTGGAGAATTTTCATAATTATGCAATTTATTTTTCTTTTACTCCGAAAACAGGAAACGCGGTGGAAAAAGATAATTTCCTGAATTGTGAACAAAAACAAAAATAGACAAAAAACGTCACTTACGTTCTCCTCGGCTTTCCTCGATGTCCAAGATAATGCTCGACTGTCCGCTTTCGACCTCGCACAAACCGCCTGTTGACAAAGACGACATGCAAATTAACAACTTACTCTCCATGGTCTTGTTCCACTAATTTGTATTGTAATCGAGGGAGACTGAGAGGCCTCGTTCACGGCGCCACATCATTAATTTTACACGTGTTTCTCTTTCTACATCATAAGCTTCTTACATAGATGCTTAGCAATTATTGCCTGTAATTATTTTTACATTTACAGCTGATTTTGGTTTCTCATATTCTAAATTTGAATAGAAAGTTGTAGCAAACAAAGAACACTTTATAAAAATGGAGTTTGGAAATAATTATAAAAATTATCCTGCAATTATAATTATTGAGCTTTGTTAATTAAGAAATCAAATTGTAGTTAAAGTGAAACAAAGGATTTTTGTAAATATTATTAATTTAAACTTTGATGTTGAATGTGACTGATTAACTATTATTCAAAATTAAATAATCGAATGTGTAGTAATAAGTAATTTTCAATCAATCATAAATAGTTTAAGAATTTTGTATAATTTGCTGATTCAAAAAATGAGATATTTACCTTTTTTGTATCTATTGTTTGAATTTGGGTACTTCTCTACTTACTAATTTTAAATTTTTACAACTTTAAGGCGTTTGATATTAGCTGTGGCAAGTTTCCATAGATACTACAGGTAAACTTTAAATTTATACTATTTTTTATTATAATATTACAATGTACATCAGCACCTTCAATAAATTTTCTAAAAATTAGAGAAAATTAAAAATAATTAATTTAATTATACTTTCTTCAAATAATGTAAAACTGATCCTCTTAAAAAACTTTTTTATCTTAAAATCTCGTAATGGGACTTTTTCATTACAAGCTTTTGTTTTTGAGTATAAAAAAGTTAGCTTTGTTTGGAAAACTAGACTTTCTCACAAGTTAAATTGTGAGTATAGATTTTCAGCGAATCTAAAATTTGCCTTATTTGGAATTTTGAATCAATTTATATTTATTTCATTAAAATTGAATAAATCAAATTAATATTTGATTGAAATTAACTTACTGGCATGAGCCGCAAGGGCCAAGAGCATCAGCGTCCACGTCCTCCACCACATGCTGGTCTCTGCAACAAATAGAAATATTTCTATGTAATAAAATCTTTCTAGACTGTCACCCCAACTAAATTAACCAATTTGCGCCCTGTCGAGTGGAAAATTGAGTTGCTTGACAGAGAGAGTTTTCTTTCTTTAGTTTTGCCGCGGGGCCCTCATTAGCCGGGCGAATCGCAAGAGAGAATTCGGGCGCGTGCTGGGCGTGAAATTTGTAATAGCTCATTTGAATGCGCCTAGCCGAGTTTTGAGGTGCGACCCAAGTTATAGAAAGAAGACGTGGCGACGCTCGTTTTTGGGCGTCTGGCACGCAAGTAGTACAAACATATCAGCGAGGAAGAATGTTGCCCAAATTGTTCCCTACGACTGACTGCCTAACAATTGCTCTTTTGTTGAATGGCACGAATTCCAAAATAAATTGAAATGCTGCTCGCCTCGCGGACATTTGAAACCTCTCCAAAATTGCCTGCGAGAAGTGCGTCGCGTTTTACAACAGAGCGTGTGGTTTGGATCGGCTTAGCGAGAGTTGTAGAAAAAAAGATGCTTTGAGAAATTTTTTCAATGCTGCATACGTTTTTTATTTTATTTTACTATAATATCAGTTATATTTTGCAATTAATTTTTTAATAGCTTTGCATTTTTTCAATTTTTTTCTGAAAATGATCAATTCTATATTATTTAAATTTTTTAATTTTTCCATGAGATTCCCAATGCTTGAGCTCATCAGGTGTAAAATTTCAATCATCAATTTTCTAGACAAAGGATCAAGCTAATCCATAAATCCATTTAGCATTTTACTAATTATAGCTTACTGTTTTCCACTCAATACATATATATTTGTTAAAATGATCTGCATTATTACTTCTTATTACAAATTAAACGATTTTTTATAAAGTTCAAAGGAAAAAGTATATAAAAATTAATAATTTAACAAAATGTTGGTATTTTTAAATAATAATAATAATAAAATATTTAGTTAAAATGCACGTTTATAAAAAGTTAAATATAAAAGAAATTTAAAACTGTTAAAAAATTATAGCTGTTATTAATAATAAACCCATAGTTTCTAAAATTAAAAAAACCCAATAAAACCTGAATTTCCCAAACCCTAATAATAATTTACAATATTATTCTGGATTTTTTAATTCCATTTTATATAAGATTCAGTTTTGTTTTTGTCATTGCCAATGTGGGCCACCAATATAAAGAAATTAATGGCAAAAATATCTTTTCATGCCATAAGTGAAATAAATACATGACTTTTAGTTTCATGAAGGAAACCCCGAAATTAAAGTAATTAAACTGCACTCTGTGTCCCCAAATAACTGACGAAAAATAAAAAAAAAATTGAAAGGAAATTGAGGAGATTTCAATTTCTATATTTAAATTTATAAAAAAAAAATTGTTTCTATCAATTTTAATGGAAAGAAAAAGGGAGTGTTATTTAATTAGCAATCTTGATGCACTTTGTCGGAGCGTTGCAAAGACGCATTCGCTGATCGCAGATTGCGAGCTCTGGTTTCACAACATTGGCCATGGATGCAGCAGAGGTAAAAACGTCGGTTTCACAAACTTTTCTGGCCGACGCAATGCCTTTTTGCTCTGCTCATTAATAATCCCGTGTCACCTGGCTTTGCTTCGAGTACGTGTTTCTCTGCAAAGTAAAAATGAAATTTACACCGTGGAAACTGGTTCCGCCATGAGAGAGCTCAAAACCATCTGATGAGCGTTTCCAGCCGCAACAAACCACTCTGTCTGCCCTGACTTTTGCTCTTGAAAAGAAACACTGCTTTATTTATATAATTCGCAGCGTGGATTCGCGTTTAATGTACTCTTTTGAATGAACCGAAACCGCACATCTCTCTCTGCGCGTCTGTAGCCTTCGGCGCCGATTCGCAATTTTCACCGCAAGAGCCGAATTTCGCCCGCAATTTGGCAATGAAAATTTGATACCTGAGGGAACACGAACTTCTTTTCAACAAGTTGATGCACCAATTTTTTTATAGACATCATTCGTATCTTAGTTAGTCTTCCAATATCTAAATTTTAAAAAAAAAATTAAGATGAAACAACCACAAATCTGATATAATTAGAAAATAATGATGAATATAAATTACTAATTCAAAAAAATTTTGCACTAATAAATTAACGCAAACGAGAATTTAGTTCTGCTATTAGAAATTTAATAATAAATTTTGATGTATTATACACAAATAAATCCGTATTTCTATCCAACTCACCCTAACAATCAGCAAGGTAAAAAATTAAAAATTATAAAATTTTTCAAATTTCATTCAAAATTTTAAAACACTTGGCAGGATTCAAGGTCCTTCCGTATTTTACTTATGGTTAGAACAAGTCGTATCAGTACTTATCAGTTTGGGTGGCTTTTAAGATTTTACTATTATGCAACCATAGAAAACTAATCTTAAAAGCTTTGCTTTGCACCCTAGGAAGAACTGAATTTACTTTTATTTATTTATAGTACAATTATGGAACGGGAAGTTGGTAAGTTTATTTAGATACAGACCTGAAGATGTGGAACAATATTACAAACAAAAAAATTTTGATTTAATTTGTTCATGTCGAACGATTTTTGTGAATTACACGTTAATTGTATTAATGAAATTTGCATGTCTTACAGTGTAATTTAATTATAATTATAACAAAAAATAAATTTCCAGAAACTTAAACTTTTTAAATAAGCAGAGAATTTTAGAAAACTTTTAATCAAGAATGTTTTTATTGGTTTTAAATTAAACTAACGAGAATTCTTGGAATATTGTTAAAATCATTGACTTTTATGGACATTGGTAAAAGGTTACAGGAAAATAAAGTTACAGAGCACAACGCTTATGCTGGTTCACATTGAAAGCTGTTTTACAATTAGATGCAAGCAATTATTTCCATAATAGATTAATAATTGTGATTAATAGGAATGAAAGGAAATATGCGGGCGTTATTTCTTTCCATTCTGCGCACTGGCTTTAAAATCAGGTTTGAGCCTCGAAGGAAATACAAATTTACATGAAAAATTTAATGTGTGTGCAGAGTAATTATTTGATTTGTTTTTTTTTTCTTTTTGTAAAAGAGAGGCAAACCGGGACTAAAAATTTATCTCCGTTTTAAATGTATGCAAAAAATTATTATCAAATTCGAATAGCTTAAAATTATGCTTTTTTCAAAGTATTTTTTAATAATATACTTGTTTTTCGTGAGCATTTTAAAACCTCCCACAGTATATTTTCAATGTGCTAATTTTTTTCCAATAATCACCCTATTATCAACTTTTTACTCAAAACCTGTAATTTTCACTCTAACGCGCTAAAAGGTGCCAATTTTCTTCTCTCAAATGAGCAACAATTATTTGGCAATTTTCACTCCCGACGCCGAGAGTATCAATTCAATTCCACACGCAAACAGAGATAAATTGCGAGCAGTCTCTTAAGTGAAGTTGTAATTGAAAAGTGGTGCAATTAATCCACTTTCAATTGCCATAGTAATAAACTTATTGGCATCTCTCGCGGCTTTTCGCACAAGCCGACGATTGTCTCATGCCAACTTCCTCATGGAGCCGAAATCGATTGGACTCTGCTTGTCGCGCACTCTGCAGCAAGATTGCTCCACATCAATATTATATGAGAAAGTGAAAGGTCCAACTTGTTGAGCCGCGAGAGCACGCGGCCATGTAAATGCAGCCACATTATACTTTTTATCGGCGGCGGGCCCGTAATCACTCTTGGCGCTGTTTTCGCACGAACGCGCGTTCCCATGTCCTCGAGCGGCCTCTCTGATAGGGGGGCCGCGCTTGCAGACTTTTGATATTCAACTCTTTTCGTACACCGGAGACTGCGACGCACGAATTTTTTATTTATTCGAAAACGGACGGAAAACCGCGAAGCGACTTCTGCTGTTACGAGCTGTAGAGAGTTATTGCAATTCGATACGGGAGAAATTTTCCATGAGATTGAATTTATTTTTATCTGTGCGTCTAAAAAATATACATTTTTGCTATATTATTGCAAGATGATGGATGCGAGTGTCGTCATGATGAGATGACTTTTGATGAAATTAAAGATCGGCGCTGTAATGAACTTTCGCATTAGAGGAGGCCGCCGAGAATTTATTAGAGTCTCTGGATTTCAGAGATTTCATCACGCAAAATTGTGTTGCGATATCGCAAAGAAAGAACTATACGGTCTTTAAAACGATTTTCCATTACTCTATCCTTGAGCGTGGCCGCAATTACTGCTCAATCGGCCGGCAAAGCTACAACTTTAGCTACAGTGCAATTAAGGAGTAATTTAAGCCAAATACAAATAAGCACTATTAAAAAAGAAAAAAAAGTTTTTTTCTTACATATTACATATTTTTGTTGAAAGTGTTTTAATATTATGTCATTTAATTTCATAAAAAAATTAAAGTACAGTATTTAACGAAACAGTTTGTGATGTGACCTAAAATTATTCCATTTCCAAATATTATTGTTTTCAGCTCGAGACAGGCCGTGCTGAATTGCTTAGGAAATTCCTATACCTTTGAAAAGCCAAGAAAATGCTCAAAAAATTAAATGAAAAGATAAAATGTAATATAATTTTCAAGATTTTATGCAGTTTTATGCACCATCCCAAAATGTAAAGAATAGTCTACACTACATGAGTTTTTAATCAAGTCATTTTGCGGAAATATGTCCCTAACTATTGTGGAAAATATGTTATCAAAATGCAACAAACTACTTTCTCTAAATTCCTGCGATTAGTTTTGGAAAAATCATGTTTTAAACTATTGCAAGCGCGCTTTTTTTACATTAATATGTTTGGTTTTAAAGTGGTTTTTCTTCTTTTTTCTCTATTTTAATGATCTTAATAATAAATTTGATAGAAAAAAATAAGCCGTTTAATTAGAATTTTGTAATGTTTCATTTTTAAATTCTACAGGAAATTGAGCTACAACTTAAACAGTTATAACTGAAAATATTTAAATTTACAATTTTTCTCCATTCCGAATTTTTATTCTTTGTATACATGTGATAAATTTCAAATATTATTTTCCGTTGATATCCCCATATAGTTCACAAAATTTCAGAATCGCAATTTCAGAAAAAAATAACAAGCAAAAAAATTATGCCGCGCTAAAAAGCTCATTATGCAGAATTGAGGCCTTACGCGCACTGCACCGCCGCTGCTGCTGAATTACCATCAGATGCGAGAGACAATGAGGGAACTCTGACCCCGACACGAAACGAGGTCATTCCCAGAAAGCTGGCACCGAGAGCGACACATACACGATTTGATATTGTTTCGGAGAGAAAAAAAGACGAGAGCCTAATTGCAACTCTTTTGTGAGACTTACCGTCCGTCGGTCACGACTCGCGCGCGCATTTTTTCGGCGTCAGCAAACCTTGGCTGCGAAGCTAATCGAGCGCAAAAATGTCAACAGGGCGTGATGGAAAGTCTAAAATTTGCCACAGAAAGAATTAAGGAAGCGCGAGCCGCAGCACAATTTCAAGTACGCAAAAACAAAAATTATAACAGAGAAAAGCGACGTTATCTCTTCTGCTTTCAAGGTGTGAGATTGCGATCGACGGTAAAAATAAAAAGTTGTTAATTAAATAAGATGCAAATTAGGGTGGAGTTGCAGCTATGTGAACGTCATTAAAGCTTGGGTATATTTTAAAATACGTTTTTACAGTGCAATATTTTTTACCAAAACATTTTTGAATAGATAATATTAAGGTGAAGCTATGCTTTAATTTTATTTTTACATATAAATTAAGATGAGTATAAGTTGAATTAATGAAATATTTTATGTATTTTGTCAGCCAGATTTGCAGCAATAATAATTATTTTAGAGAATTCCATTAAATTAATTCTAATTTTCATAAATATTAAGACTTTTTAAGTTAATAAAGAATTTAATTTTGCTAAACTAGTTGTGGTGAATTTAAGAGTAATTTTGTACAATTTTAATTAATTTAAATCACATTTTAGACGGATTCTGAGTGCTCGAAAAGGATTTAAAAAAAAATTCATTCTACCTTGCAAAATTTCAGATATATAGGTTATTCATTGTTAAACTGAAATTATTTTAATAAAGAAATAAATTTTCTCGCCGAATTTTAGCTAATGTGACTAATTAAAATGCGCGTACAAGATGAGCAAAGAGCAGCCAGTTCTCTCTTTTGAGAAGCGGCCCCGAGCGAAAAGCCTCGTCGGTGCACCTGTTTGCCGAATGGATGACTCGTTCCTTCCTCTCCGATCGCACGTGAATACATTAGTACTTACTTACTTACATAAATGAAAAGCACGGCTGGAAACGCACATTTCGTATATATACGATCAGTTGTATGAGTGGTGCACATTGAAAGAGAGAGATGCTTTCTAAAAACCAGTCCCCGATGGCTGCAGAGAGTATGAGTGAGAGAAATCAAAAAGACACTTGTTGTTTTGCAAGTCAAAAGTCAATGAAACCTTAAAGGCGTGACCGTGTCTGACTCAAAAGAAACAAAAAAAAAGTGAACAAGCAGACCGAGCTAAACAAAAACATCACGGAATTAAATTAATTTAATCTTTCAGAGTAGAACCTGTTTTTGTACATTCTTTCAAACAAGACTGAGAGTGATAAAAAAATAATTGAGAATAATTTGTTTTGTATATTAAATATTTAGCATTGAAAGTAAAGATATCTGATTTTTTTCTAGTCAACAGTCCCGTTTTTTAAAAGAGGTAAATGCTGGACTTAAATTAATTTAAAAGTCTCATATGAATATTTCTAGTATAACTGATTTTTAAATTTAAGACGAAAGAGAGAAGTTTAAGTCAAAATTTGATACAAAAAAATTATAATTAAAAATTTGTAGTTAAATCAAATGCCTCGAACTGTCCAAGAATAAAATTCGTTTAGTGTAGTCAAAATTGGAATCAAAATGACAAATTTCAATATATCCATTAGCAGAATGAATTTTGTAGCGAATTAAAAATATAAAAATCCTCTTTCAACCAGTATATCTGATTTAATTTAGATAAATTTTGACCGGAAATGGTTTTATCAAAAAATTTTGGCATTACAAACAGAAAACAAAAAGCCCCTCTCAGTTTCTAATATAAAATTAAAGCGCGATTTATGTTATCGAAAGTGAATGTGGAACGTAAAACAAACAAAATATTCGAATCGAAACCGGAAAGGGTTAATTGGGGCGACGCGCGGAAAACAATAGGCGAAAATCGGGTGTTCAGCGGAGCCGCGAAAACGAGAGCGCCGCTGCGACTGATAAAGAGTGAAAATCGAAAATAACAGGAATTCCGACAAACTGGGTGACGAGGAAGCGATTAGAGCGTGAAATGCCCGTTGGATATTATTCGGCCGGTGCGGGCAGTTTAGAAAATACAAGTTGAATAAATCATGAATAATTTGGATTTTACGCGCCGATGCAATGAGTGGTCCTTGACAAAGGGCGTAAAAATACTTTTGGCTGAATTCGGACAGGGTGAACGCTCCACTGCACTTTGGCCATTCAATGGGACTCTGAAGGCTTGTGAAATCGAATCTGGTTTCAAATTACATTATTACTCCAAGGCCCATGTTGGTCGCGGTGACCGTCGAATGACGGACGAATACGCTAATGAGACGCCGGCCCGATCAGTACATGGAAATTAAGAGAAATTGGGTGCATGACACGGGTGCGTGGAGCCGATAGGGAAATTTCGCGCAATGATTGTACAAAATGCAAAAGTGCAATGATCTCTGAAACGCATATGTTTATTTGCTTACAAATCGTTGGAGAAAGCAAAGATGTCAAAAACTTGAAAATTACAATTCTTAAATTAATTTTATTCAATTTAAAGAGCCGTTTTCATATCAGTTTTTATTATTAGAATGGTTGATTCTTATAAATGAAATGAATGACAATTTGATTTTGAATGAACTTTTATATTCAATAAGAAAAAAATATTTGAAATAATATATTGTATGAAATTAATTGCTAATAATTAGTTTCATTAGTTTTTATAATTATAATTTCTGATATCTTTTTTCCGACAAGAGTAAATTTGGGTTTTAGTAATGTAAGCTTGAATGTAAGAATAATTTATACATATCATTTTGAATCAATATTAAAGAAAAAGAAATCAATAAATATTATAATAAATAATAAAATAGAATAATAAAATTTATATTTAATAAAATTTAAACTCTCGTAGTACATAAAATATAAATTTTAGCAAAAATAGTGCCTTGCACAGTTAGAATAAATAACAATAACAGATTTTGTTTCCCTTGCTAATTATTTTAATACTCAATATTTTTCCATTTTTTTTTCTTATTGAATATCAAAGTTAATTCCAAATCAACTTGTCATTCATTTCGTTTATAAAATTTTACTTAATCAACCATTCTAATAATTAAAACTGATTAGAAAAGGCTGTAGAAACGCGGCTTTAAATTGTAAAAATTATACTAAATTTAATTTATTATTTCATACCAACAAAGTGCTTTGACGCGTTCACCTGGAAATCTGTTTAAATTTAATGAACCTTGGATGATAAAATCTTAGTAACAATTGTACCTTTAAAAAAGCCAACATTAACGAGCAATTACTCTCTCGACTTCCTTTTCCTTTCCTTCATTCGCGACAATTTGAGTGAATAACAGTTACATGTCCATGCGCTTTTCTTCTTTTCTCACAAACTCTTTTTATCTTCTTGCAACTCGTTCAAAGGCAATGTACGCTGAAGACTGGAGACTAAGTAATTTTTCTCCAAAAAAACATTTACTTGAAGTTTCTTGTAAGATTCATAATTGATTTAGATACTAAATTTTATCAAACTGCATACAAGTGTTTTAGAATTTAAAATATATTTAAAAAAATTAAAATTAATCATAAAAAGTTTTGAAAAAAAATAACTTCAAAAAAGTACAAAATAAAAATATTATTAGTCGCTTTTATTGAATCAGAATGACAAAATTTGCGGTGCTATGTTATCAGAATGAATTTTTTAAGCAAATTTAAAGAAAATCAAAATGGAAAGATTTTTTCTCTTATAATATTACTTTCATCACCAATTTACTCGTTTATCATTGAGTTTCAAATTTTTCCAGTCAGTTAATTTCCTCCTCAGGTTAGAATCGTATTTTGAGGCTCAAGACCCTGACAACAAGTGGAAGCGCGAAAGCAAAAAGTCTTGCGAGCGCGACAAAAGGTTGGCCCAACATTGCGGAGGCGTATATGAATGGAATGGACGCCGCCGCGCCGAGGGATTTAATAATTTTCTGTGTGTGTTACCGTTATTAGCATCAGAGAGGATCGAAGGTAGGTAAGGTAAGAAGCAAGCGAGCAAGTGCACCTGACGTGCGACGTTGCCGCTCCGCGACGGACTGACCTCACCTGTGGCTGGCACATCTCTCAAGAAAATCATTTTCACTATTGAAACCAGCGCCGAAAAATATTAAAAGATGCGTGTGTGTTTGTCTGGCTGGGCAGCAAAGCGTGCAAATTGCCTAAAGACCGAGACGCACGCAATTAACTCAGCCGGCTGAGATTTGCAAAAAAGGTCTCGTCCGGAAAGAGACAAATAACTAATGTGATAATCACGCGTCGAACAAGGAAAACACGAAGCGCGATTCGAATCAGGGTTGCTTGTTTTTCGTTATCACCTAAAACATTCAAGGCAAAAAAAAATCAAAGTACTTTGATTTATAAAAAAGGTCGCGATTAGAAATGCTCATGAGATACTCGCTGAAGTTGCGCTCGCCCAGAAAAACCTTCCTTTCACCTGACCCGCCCCACAGAAGTCCGCCGCCCCCGCCGACCCTTTGGTTTTTTTGTTTGAATTGTCTTACCTGAGTGTGGTGCCGGTGCTCAGTGTTCCATATCGTCCGAGGGTCGTCCTTCACCCTCGAAGACCTGGGCCAGCGACTTCGGCCTGTTGTTCGAGTCAAAACCGAACCGACAGAAGAGACCGACACACTCTCTCAGGGTATCGCGACCTATGCTCAACTGACGAACACAGACCGACCGACTCGCCTCCGTCGCACGCGTAACCTGCGGCCAGGGAGAGAGCAATAAAGCCTGCTGAGCGTTGGGCGTGCACTGTGGCGCTGCCCGGCGGTCAGGACGCAAACTGCTCAAGCTGAACGAGCTCAATAAGTTGAAGTCGAAAAATCTCGCGGCAGCGGGAAGAGAGTTTTTCGCGCAAATGTATTATCCCATTAAATTTTTGTGTTATTGAAAGCATTTACTTTTAAAATATCAAATTATTGTTTTTTTTTTCTTCAGAAATCCAGAGACCTGACATGTTCTAAAGACAAAACTATTCTTAAAATAAAATTAATACAATTGAATATTTAGTTTTATAATTTTTTTTTTTTTTTTAATTTTATCTAAACACTTTTGTGCCCATCTTATAAAATATACAGGCTAACTTAGCCGCACCTCAGATACACTCGTCATTTCAATTTCAGGTTGATAATTATTGGTTGTAAAAAAAAAATACTTACGTTAGGGCAGCAATTTTGCCAATATGATAAGAGAATCAATAATAAATTTTTTCAGAAATTTACCCCATTTCCTTCTTGCATGATCTCTCAAAGAATGAAAATAATTGCACTGCTATATTGTCTTAAATATCAGCTGTTTGGAAAAAAATTAAAACGGTGCGTGGCTTGCTCAAGCTTATTGTTAGAGATAATGTTAATTGAAATTAAAAAATTTATGAACCAATTTCCGCAAAGATGCCCCCCCTCAGAATTTTATAGCGGTATTGAAAATAATGTAGCCTTAACAACATACTAAAATTACAAGATGATATTACTTTTAGTTTTATAGATCATTTTAATTGAACATTAAAGAGCATTGAAAAAATGTTTTCTTATTATTTTTTGAGTTCAAAACAGTGAAAAACTTGCAATTTTTAGTAAAATTCAGTAAAAGTAGCGTAACTAAATTAAATTAAATAATCACAATGTACACGACTCAGCAGCTGTATGAAAGTAAATTATTGGAATTGTTTCCTTTTAGCACCCTTAAATCTTAACTTTTTTATAAGAGTTCTAAACAATTTGAAAAACTAGAATTTTTAGTATAATAAAGTACAAGTAGCGTCACTTAATAAAATAAAATAATCACAATATGTACGACTTAGCGGCTATGAAAGTAGATATGAAAGTAAATTTTTCGATGCCTCCTTTTAGCATCCTTTAATGGGGGTCAGCCAGTACACGCTATACTTCTGACAGGGCGCTATACCTGATTCTGCTCATCGCTATGCCAATAGGCAATATTGATAATTAAAAATTAAAAAAAAAAACGACAAAATGCAATCCAGGGATGTAAAGCTTCACATAGAAATAATTGATAAAAATACAATTGCATTATTATTATTATTATTTATTCTACTCAAGTCATACAGAAAAAAAATTGAAATTGGAAAAATGAGCAGAAAGGGTATCACAACTTTAATTAATGCCATTAATGTTTTGTGTTGATGATTTTGATATAAAAAACAATTTTATTATATTAAATCAAATTTTCAGAATTAATTAGAAATGTGAAATGCAAAATACTTTCTAACAGAGCTGCTTAGAGTGAAGAATAAGCTTTCAACGATATAATCTTAATTGACGAAAATAAAAATTGCAAATAATAATTCTGCTCACGCTCCAATGTTAAAAACCTAACTTTAAACAGGCACCGAACTTACTCAAGAAGTTCAGGTTTTGCTAAAAATAGCGCGCATTTTATGTAACATACACATGCGTTGAGAGAGAGCCGTGCTATTCGCGCTGAATGAAAATCATGTTGTATATAAATAATATAAAAGCGAGAAAGAGCACGTGACGGCGGCTGGAGGAGGACGCGATGACCACAGCACCCTGATCAGAGATTCTCGACGGCACGCATGCGTCCTCAGCGTCTTAAGAAGTGAGCACCACCGCAGATCTGCTACATTCGCCTTCCGGCCTAACCATGGACACGACCACCGGTGCCAACGGGTGCGAAAACTATCCGAAACTTAAAGTGGCCATCGTCGGAGGAGGACTTGTGAGTAAATTCTTTAATAAAAATAAAATAAATAAGCTGCAAAATGTATTAATTTTAATCTTCTCTCCGTGCCGTTTATATCTTTTCATTTTAATCTCTATCTTGAGCCATTAAAAATATTGAAGTTTTGCATCTTTTACTTATGCGTTTTGATATTTTAAATTGATTGACATTGAACTTCATCGGCAAAGGTTAACAAGTCAGTCGAACTGTTTTAATTTATCACTCAACGCTATATTTTTTGAAAGCACGAATCTCAAAGAATTCGACAAAATTTTGTAAATTCAAATTTGAAGGTCGCATAACAATTTTTTATTTATTTGATTGGTGACGCTTTAAACGAGCTCGGTGTCTCTTGGTACAGAATTGTTACGTAATTTAGAAAACATTATTGGCGATTAGCCAAGAGTTAAGTTTAGTCTAGAATAATGAGACAACCAAACAAATAAAAATATAAAGTTTCCAGGTCTGAAAACAATTTATAAAATTTTCTAATTATATAATTATAATTAAAAAAAATATAATATCAAAATTCTGTCATTTTTTACCAAACCATGCAGTCTAACTTCAGCCACGTTCACCAACCAATTTTTGAGGAGAGAGACTTTGAGAAGCCTATAAAACGCACGTCTGCTTCTCACATTTCTCCCTCCTGATTAATACACCTTTTTTGCTGTTTGACATGTTTCGGTAAAAATTTAAAGAGCTGCAAAAGGATTTATAATTTTTCAACATAAAATAATTCTTTTATTTAAATTTTCCAATTTTATTGTTATAATCATTTTACTCAAATTAGAAAACATACATTGAAATAAAATGTTTGTCACTATAAAACCTTGTAAAAAAAATATATTGAAACAAATTATATTTTTTATTCTTAATTTTGAGTTGCATGTTGCATTTTAAATAGGTCGGTACCCTGAGCGCGTCATTCTTTGCAAAGAGAGGTCATGAGGTGCACTTGTATGAGCTTCGACCCGGTAATATTAAAAAAAAAAAAATTTATCAAAATTAAATTTTACTCCATTTTTTTTTTAATAAGACATTCGCCACTTGGAACACGTCCCTGGCCGGTCTATCAACTTGGCCCTCTCGATTCGCGGCAGGGCAGCCCTGAAGGAGGTGGGCATCGAGGAGCAGGTGGTTCAGCGCCACGGAATCCCGATGTTCGCTCGCATGATCCACAACCTTGACGGCACCACAAAACCGATTCCGTACGGCAAAAAAGATCAGGTTTGTTTTTGTGACGAAATTTGAAATTCCCGATTAAAAATTCAAAATTTCCAATAGTGCATCTACTCGGTGGGCAGGCGCTTCCTGAACGAGGCTTTGTTGACAGGTAACTCGACACCTAACCCCGGCCGCAATGGTTTGCACGTGACTCCGCCGCGCGTTCTGTTTCAAGGATGTCTCCTTTGCGTGTCACTCTTAATCTCTTTCCAAACCCCATCTGACCACTTTGATATATGCGCTACGATCCCGCATGCTACATAACACTTTGATTAACAATTAAAAAAATAAACCAGCACCATATATATATGAAATTTCAACCTAATTGGTCTCTTTTGCGGCGCGGCAGCGTGACGCTCAATTTTTAAAGTTTTATCTTTCTAATTTCTTGGTAATATTTGTTTCAGCCGCTGAAAAATACTCCAACGTGCATTGTCACTTTAACGAGAAACTGGTGTCGGCAAACTTGAACCAGGGAAAAATGACATTCGAGAGGTAGGTCTGTTGTTCATTATTTTGCAAAAAATGATAACAATTGCTCAAATATTTCATTAATCATGATAAAAAATTGTGAACTCTCATTCTTGGCATTGTTAAGTACATTAATTACACTTTCAAAAGCAGATGAATAATGAAACGAGACAATGATTATTTTTAAATATAATTTCATTTAATTTGGTGATTTTTCTTCTTCAAATATTCTTAAATTAAATTTTTAGAATCCAATAAAAGGAATATTAATGACTTGGTGTAAAATCTTTTTGATAGAGAAAATACTTTGCTTAATTACTTATATTCAAATTGTATTTCTGGATAAATTCAAAATTTAAGTTTAAAAAAAACATAATCAATTTTTTTTTATAATAATCATAAAAGTCTATTAAAATACTAATTGGCTATATAAATTTTTCTCTGAAGACTCAAGTAAATAATTGGATTTAATTCAAACTAGGCAACCAAACAAGGAAGTCCACAATGTGGAGGCGCAGCTGGTTGTTGGTGCGGACGGCGCCTTTTCCTCCGTGCGCCGCCAAATGATGAAGCAACCCCTGTTCGACTTCAGCCAAACATACATTCCCCACGGCTACCTTGAGCTCTGCATTCCGCCCCTGTCAGACGGTTCGCACGCCATGCCCAAGAACTATCTGCACATCTGGCCGCGCGGACGCTTCATGATGATCGCCCTGCCCAACCAGGATGGTTCCTGGACGGTCACCCTGTTCATGCCCTTCGAGGAGTTTGGCAAACTGAGCACGCCGGAGAAACTGCTCGACTTCTTCCAGCAGTACTACCCGGACGCTCTGCCACTGATTGGAAAGGAGAAACTTGTGTCCGATTATTTTGCCTACAAACCATCGCCCCTTGTGTCCGTCAAGTGCGGTCCGTACAACATCGGCGACACGGCCATCATCATCGGAGACGCTGCCCACGCCATGGTGCCCTTCTACGGGCAGGGCATGAATGCGGTAAATAATTTGTACCAAATGGGAAATTGATGAAAAATAAGAATTTAAAAATTGAATATTTAACATTTATATTGAACTGGAACATTCTTTTTTATAAAATAATTGGTATATTTGAATTTAAAATATAAATTATCTCCATCTGGATTTAAGGGAAAATAAATTAAATCAATCGCACTTTTTTGATAGGGCTTTGAAGACTGCCGTTTGCTGGACGCGGTGCTACTCAAACACAATTTCGACCTAGGACCTGCCTTGATTGAGTTCTCAAAGACCCGAAGACCAGACGCTGAAGCGATTTGCAATTTGGCCATGTACAACTACGTTGAGGTAAAATTAAAAAAAAAAATTCTCGAAACATATTTTTAACCAACGAATTGTTTCAGATGCGTGATCTCGTAAACCGAAAGACATTCCTCATCAGGAAGCACTTCGACAACCTCCTGCACACCCTGATGCCCGACCTGTGGATCCCCCTCTACACTTCGGTCACTTTCTCTCACATGCCATACGCCCAGTGCATCAAAAACAAAGAGTGGCAGGATAAGGTGAAATTTACAATAACAAAGCAAATCCCAAATTAAATCTTAATTAATTTCAGATGGTTGACCGATTTTTGTCCACGATGGCAGCTGTGGTGGTGGCCATGATAGCCTACTTTGTTTACTCGTTTGCTTTTTAAATATTCCAATTTGAATCTCACAAAAATTATAAGTTTTTTGATAAATTAAAGTGCCGATTTCTTAAGAGATACAAGAGTTTTTTATTTAACATACAAGCCCTTACTTCTTTCCCTTGCCTTTTCCCTTAGCTGCGGCCTTGGCGGCGGCGTTCTTAGGATTGGCGGACTTCTTGCAACGCTTCTTACCAGGGTAGACGCGGCCAGAGCGGGCAGCCTTTGTCTTCAGCTTCTGGTAGACCCTAGTGATGATGCGGTTGCGAGTCTGGCGGGCACGGCCCAGCTTGAAACGGTCGAAGTCCGTGAGCGCGTCTCTCTGCAAAAGAAATCAATCATATCTATTTGTAAAATAAAAATCAAACACAGAAAATTTACTTTCTGATTGACAAGAATTTAAAATCAAAATGCAGATCCTCACCCTCTTTCTCGCAGCAATTTTCTGAGCCCAACTGCTCTCTGCCCACTTCTCGGTGATCTTAGCATCTTTCCAGTTCTTGCGGACAAGTCTGGTAGGAGCAGTGTAGGGAAGAGAAAACTTGAACTTGGTCAAGTGCAGCTGCTTGAAGCGGACAGCTGTTCTGGGGACTCCGGTCTCGGGGCCATCGACCAATGCCTATAAAAAATAAATAAATGTTAATTTCAAAATATCCAGTCTGCTTCAAATATCAATTGAAAGATTTATATTCAGATTAAAGCTTATAATCATTTAACGATCAGACGGCAATTCCTATAAAAAGGTCTCATCATAATGAATTGACAGGACTTGAGTGACATGCTCGAAAATGGAACTTACTCTGCTTTGATCGATGACGTCCACGATGGTGCACAGTTTGCCACTGTGATCGCCATCGGCGATGTAGGCCACTCGGCCCGATTCAACGAACCTTTGGAATGGCTGAAATATGAAAGATCGTGTTATTTAGGCAAAAAAATTCGCATGCACATTGTTTGGAGAAGTGTCATGGCACTGAAGCCTGCTCAACTTCATAACAGATTTCACGTGGTTTATGGTATCAAGGGGTGAACAAAATCAAGCCCATTGCAAGCAAAAGTTTAAAAAAGACAATTAAAATTATATTTCAGCAGCAAACTCATAAAATACGGGTAAAAATGCAAGGCAAACTGGAAAATCTGGCACAAACAGGGACCTGTGCGCAAACCACGTGGCAAAGCGGCGTTTTGTTTACAGGTACCAATACAGGGTACGAGTACAGATTTCCCGGTGTAGAATTATGTAAAGATTATTAATTTTAAAATTTGTGGTGTTTAAATGTCAATTTCAAACAGAGAGACTCAAAATATTGGAAAATTCATACCGCCGGCGTGCGCTTACCATTCTGTTTCGGATGACAAAGAATAATGGCCGACAACTACCACTATGGTCAAATGAGTTTTTGATAATTTTGCTTTAAAATTGATATTATTTGTTATTACGTGTAGCTACACAGTTAAAAAATGTAAAAAATAATTAATATTGTTAAACATTTAGTAGTGAGCTAATTAAATAAACTATTAAATTGATGTTTATGAGGATTGCAGGATCTTGACCAAAACGCCGCGCGGCAAAATTTGAAACTTGTTTGACAACTTGGCGCTTTGTTGTTTTGTACAAAGAGCTGGATGTGTATTCTCTAAAATCCGCAGTAAAAAGCGGTTAAATGGTGTTTAATACATTAGATAAGTGAGGAGAAGACTTTATAAATGGCTGAGCTAAAGCAAGATCTTCAGGAGTATCTCCTTTCTAAGGAGTCCTCGTCGTCTTCACTAAAAATTGAAATGCCTTCTCTTCCTGACGTTCTGACTAAACCTTCGTCGTGGTTTTCGAAAGGCACCTCCTCGTCCTCTTTAGCTGCAGAGCAGAGTTCCACATCTTCTTGCTTTCCATCGATGGTAAAGATTTTTACTCGATTTTAATTTTTAATATCCATCTTTAAATTTTACAGTCCCGACTGCAGCGGATAATTGGATTTGCTTGCTGTTTGGGGATGGGATTGTTTTGCTTTGGATTGTCCTTGCTCTACTTGCCAGTTCTTGTGCTGAAAGCGAGGAAATTTGCTTTGCTTTTTACCATGGGCAGCGTCTTCAGCATGGCCAGGTAACTGAAAATACATTAATTTTATACAAATCTAATATTTTATGAATCTTTTGAATAAAATTGATGATGTGTCATTTAATTATTTTCTAGCTTTTCCTTTTTGTGGGGATTGACTGCCCACTGGCATCACTTGACTTCTAGAGAGAGACTGCCTTTTTCAGCTTGCTACTTGGCCTCCCTCATAGCTACAATATACTTCTCAATGATGGTCCAAAGCACTCCGTTGACGTGCTTGTGCGCTGTTCTTCAAGTGATTGCGCTTGTTTGGTTCCTCTTGTCCTATGTTCCCAGTGGTCACACAGGCCTTCAATTCCTTTTTCGACTTTGCACAAGTTCCATTGGACGGACACTTCCAGTTTAATTTTTAAGCTAATACGATTATAAATTCACTTAGTGATTGTTTCAAAATATTTAATTGGAAAATTATTTAACATTATTTACCAATGAGTTAAACAATTGTATATTTTAAATATCAGATGTGTTTATATTTATTGAGATTGTAAAATGGAAAAAATATAATTTAGTTGATGAGTATACGAATTTTTTACAGACATTTTCTTGGTAATATTAAATTATGTGCTTGATTAACGGAATTTAGCATCTCTCAAAAATTCGGTATAAGTCTTCAGTTCTTGCCACTTGAAGCAAATGGTGCTTTTCTAGGATACTCTTCGGTGGCATAAATTCTGTCCTCATTGCTCTCATAACTACACTCTCCATCACTGTATTAAATTCTATAGTTCCGTGCTCATCTTGTTCCTGAAATCGCAATACAAATTAGATCTTGAAAAGTTGAAAAATATTTTAAATTACCTTAACACTGACTGTCTCTAAACCAAGCTCTGGATGTGCGTATAATGAAGCAATTTCTCGGCAAACGCTTTGGAAACATTGTCGCTCCTCGTCCCACTCAACGTCAGTGGCAAGTCTTACAATCAGCATGGGCAGCTCTCCAAAGTTGGGCACATAGTTGTCCAGCAACAAGGGGAATGCCAACATTTTCCCCTCGGCGTCAATAACAATGCCAAAGTATTCTTCGAGCATGGCCCGCTTTTGTGTTAAGAAGGCTGAAATTGCCGAGGCAAGTTCCTCTTTTGGCCCGTGACTCTCTTCCCATCCACATTCCTCCAAATTGAGAGCTTCCAGAGCTGCCGATTGCAGATCCAAGGGGGTTTTGAATCTCAGCTGACCAATTTTGGCAAATTGATTGATGAGCAACTGATAAAAAAATTCCGAACAAACTTCTTGCACTTGAAACATACACAATTTGGTCTGGTGCTGAATAAAAACAACCGCCTTTTGCCAATCTCCTCCAACATAAGTGTGTGTGCTGAAGATGTCCTGAAATAATGAAATTATTAAATGCATACAATCTTATTAAAAATTATTACTTGTAAATCAGGGCTGCACAACTCATCAATCTCTTTCCTCAGCTCCTTGATGCTGTCGAGATCACAGCTGCTCCGTTTAGGGCCTGACGAATTTTTTGATGTTGGCTTTTTTGCCTGTTCCTGGTCAATGACAAGCGCCTGCACGGGTTTACTAGGTTCGACCAGCACCCCCTGGCTCTTGGACTTGTGGTTGGCGTTCAACTTCTCTTTCAGCTCCTGTCCAACCCTCTCGATGATGGCCCGTTCGTTGAGGAATTCTACACTTTCTTTGGTTGGATGGACATTGACGTCTACAAACCGCTGGGGCATTTCAAGACTTAGGTACACAAAGGGGTATGATTTTGACGGCAGATGCTCCATATAAACCAATTCCACCAATTTTTTTATGCTGGGACACTCAACTAGTCGGCCGTTGATAAAAATAATCAACTCCAAGCGCCCTCCTTTGTATCTGTCATAAAAATTCACATTTTTAAGCAGTTTGAAGACATAATATTAGTTTTACCTCCCACTGGTGGCATGGCCTGTTAACTTCAGTTTCAGATCGTTGTCCTCAGCATTTATTTCAAAAAGTTCTTTTGCGATGTCAGATCCGTAAATGAGCTGAATGTTGCTTTTAGCACTCGAGCTCACCGGAGTGCTGACTGCCGCCGTCGTCTCACCTTGCTTCTTCAGGCTGAATGCTGTTTGTGCATTTTGGATTGAGTATTTGCTCACAAGATCACAAATTCGGCTGAACTCTTCACTCGGCTTTAAAGCGTCTCTTCGTGTTTTCACATTGTAGAAAAGATCTTCAACCAAAATTTTAGTCCCCTGGTTTGCTGCGCAAGGCTTGGGTTGTCCTTGGATTTTCCCATCAACGTACGTTGCCCTGATTTAGAATAATTGAAATATAACCACATGTTAATTAAAAAAATATATTAATATACTTGAAGGCACATTTAGCATTAGCTGTCATTGTGGTGATCGTTACGTGAGCCACATGACTAATGCTGGCCAGAGCTTCTCCTCGAAAGCCATAAGTTCCCACTGTGGCCAGGTCCTCAAATTTCCGCAGCTTGCTTGTGGTAAACCTTTCGCACACAATGTCCATGTCCTTGAGCCGAATTCCAGTCCCATTGTCCAGAATTTGAAGACTCTTGATGCCGCCATCCTTGACCACAATCTGAATGCTTGTCGCCTTAGCATCCAAACTGCAAAAAAATAATTTATTAGGTTCTACAGATTATGAATAAAATAAAATTGTTTGAAAAAAAAATGCGATGCTAAATTCGAACCTGTTTTCCAACATCTCTTTCAATGCATTTGAAGGTCTTTGAATCACCTCCCCTGCCGCAATTCTGTTGATGACAATGTCATCTAGCTTTTTGATTATGCCTCCTTCGTTCATAATGATTCTGCACGTTAGAAAATTAAGGAAAACATTCTAAACGCAACATTAATCATCGACAATTTCACATGGCGCGCTTCATGTTTATGGTCATTTGGTGGGCGTGGTAAGTGGGCGAAGCCTCCCTTCTCCCTTCCGTTGTTCCCAGGTTGTTCCGTCCCGTCAACAAACTCGACAACACAAACAACACAGCGGCAAATCGTCGGCATTTTGCATTTAAACCGGAAAATTGGACAATTTTTTTTAGTTATACTTGAAAAAAGTTCAATTTGTGTTAAATAATCGTGAGAATAATCGCGTAAAAAGATTTTAATTCAGCTGCATTGCCTAAAAATTTCTTGACCACTTAACCAAAACCATTCGAAAATGACTCGTGGATCCAGGTTTGTTAAAACATTTATCTTGTATTTCCAAAATGAGATAATATGATACCCCTCGTATTTGTGAATATATAAATTTAATTTCCATGATGTTTTGCATTATGACCAAATTTCAATTAATAATCAACAGGCGCTCTAGGAGCAAAAGTGTCTCTCCGGAGAAGAAAAAATCAAAACGTTCTAGAAGTCGCAGCAAAGACCGGGAAAAGCCCTCTCGTAGTAATCGCCACCGCAGAAGTCGTTCCAGAGACAGAGAAGAAAGACACCGGCATGACAGAAAGTATGGATGCAAGCAATATTTTAATTCTTTTTTTGACTTACGAATTGCTTTTTGAATTTTCCAATTAGGGATGGCAAACGTGAGAGGTCATCTAGGTCCAAAAGATCAAGATCAAGAGATAGAAACAGATCCAGATCAAGAGGGAGGGATTATAGAGACAGGGACAGGGATAGAGAACCAAAGCCTGAGGCTAAAGAACCTGTTGTTGATCCTCTAGTTTCAAAGGTCATTATCTTTGCCAGTTCTCAAACTATGACGTATATTCAAATAATTAAATTTACTTTCAGGAAGAGGAACAAAAAAGACTTGATTTGGAGATGATGAAGAGAAGAGAGCGAATTGAAAAATGGAGAGCGGAAAGAAAAAAGAAGGAATTGGAAGATGCCAAGTCAGAAATTTCAAAATGTTTGTTAATATATTATTTGTTTCTATTGGTCACTTATTATTTTATTCAAACAAAAATAGCAAATTTGGTGTTGCCATCCAAAGCTTGGACACTTGAAGATGACAGTGATGAAGAGGAAGACAAGAACAAAGTAAAACAAGAAGGGGAAGAAGATGGTGAAGAGGCCGAGGCGGAGAAGAAAAATGGTGTCGCTGAAGTTCAACCTGAAGCAGAAGAAGTAAAAATGGAAGTAGCACCGGAAATAAAGGAAGAGGAGGAAGAGGACGATGTAGACCCTCTGGATGCATACATGATGACCGTCCAGGAGGAGGTGTGTAAAATAAACAAAGTAGGTAAAGTGCAGGACACTAAGGAGAAACAAAACTCAGCACAATCGGGCGTAGTCATCATGACAGGAACGGCTAAAAAGAAAGACAGCAGCAAGAGTAAGGGTGAGCTCATCGAGCAGAACCAGGATGGTTTAGAGGTAAAAAAATAGCTTATATTTTCAAAATACAAACTCTTAAATCTTCCTGATAGTATTCTTCAGAAGAAGAGTCTGAAAACCTGCAAGAGACTGCGGCTGGACTGGCAGTAAAGCAAAAGAAAGAGTTGGCCAAGGTAGACCACTCGAAAGAGACGTACAAGCCATTCAGGAAAAATTTTTACGTCGAAGTTCCTGAGATAAGTAAGATGACACAAGAAGAAGTAGATGCTTACAAGGAGGTAATAACTCTATCATAATAATTCTTCATTCATTCATTTCCTTCGATTTGCAAATAGGAACTGGAGGGAATTCGCGTCAAAGGCAAAGGATGTCCTAGGCCAATTAAAACTTGGGCTCAATGTGGTGTCAGTAAGAAGGTCCTTGATGTCCTCAAGAAGCAGAACTTCGAAAAGCCAACTCCGATCCAAACTCAAGCCATTCCTGCTGTCATGTCTGGAAGGGATTTGATTGGCATTGCCAAAACTGGCAGTGGAAAAACCATTGCATTTTTGCTACCTATGTTCCGGCATATTCTTGATCAACCTCCCTTGGAAGATAATGATGGTCCCATAGGTAGTTATCTTCACCTCTTTTTCTCTCTCCCTAACCAATTTATAAAATTTCCAGCAATAATTATGACGCCAACTAGGGAGTTGTGCATGCAGATCGGAAAGGACATAAAGAAATTCAGCAAGTATCTGGCACTGCGCGCTGTTTGTGTTTACGGTGGAACAGGTATTTCGGAGCAGATCGCCGAGTTGAAAAGAGGTGCAGAGGTCATTGTTTGCACGCCAGGAAGAATGATCGACATGCTGGCAGCTAACAATGGTAAATTCCTAAAGCTTTTTTAATTTGAAAAATATTGACTTGAAAAAAATTGTAGGACGCGTTACTAATTTGCGGCGTGTGACGTATATTGTGTTGGACGAGGCTGACCGCATGTTCGACATGGGATTTGAGCCGCAGGTGATGCGAATCATGGACAACGTCCGGCCTGACAGACAGACTGTCATGTTCAGTGCCACTTTCCCCAGGCAAATGGAAGCCTTGGCTCGGCGTATCCTCAACAAGCCTATTGAGGTGCAGGTTGGCGGTCGCAGTGTTGTTTGCAAGGAGGTCGAGCAAAACGTTGTGGTGCTGGAAGAGGAACAGAAATTCCTAAAACTTTTAGAACTGCTAGGACTGTACCAAAACAGGGGAAGCACCATTGTGTTCGTCGACAAGCAGGAGAATGCGGACATTTTGCTGAAGGACCTCATGAAGGCTGGTTACAACTGTATGTCTTTGCATGGAGGAATTGACCAGTTCGACAGAGACAGCACCATTGTGGACTTCAAATCGGGAAAAGTCAAACTGATGGTACGTCTCCCTTAAAAGTATAGTTTGAAATGTGAAACTAAACTTATTATTGAACTTAGATTGCTACCTCCGTTGCTGCCAGAGGTCTTGATGTGAAGCAGCTGATTCTTGTTGTCAACTACGACTGCCCAAACCACTATGAAGATTATGTTCACCGATGTGGACGTACTGGAAGAGCTGGCAAAACTGGCTTTGCCTACACCTTTATTACCCCGGAGCAAGAGCGATACTCTGGTGAAATCGTTAAAGCTTTTGAACAGTCTGGGGTAGCCGTTCCCGAGCCATTGCAGACTTTGTTTGACCGTTACAAAGCCAAAGCCGCAGCTGTAAGTTCAATTAGTCTATACTTAATATTCTTACATAGTTCTAAATAAAATAATTAGGAAGGCAAGAAGGTGCACAGTGGAGGAGGTTTTAGCGGGAAAGGCTTCAAATTCGATGACAATGAGGCGCAGGCAGTCAATGAAAGGAAGAAACTGCAAAAAGCTGCTCTTGGTATGACGAGATGTTTAATTTTATGAAGTGGAAAATATTTTGATCTTTTGTCTGTAGGTCTCCAAGATTCAGATGACGAAGATGTGCTTAATGATATTGATCAGCAAATAGAAACAATGTTGGCGCCGAAGAGAACCATTAAGGAAATCAAAGCACCGGTTTTAGGAGGCATTGCATGTAAGAATTTATTATTTTATGTGTAATCTGCCATCATCATTATTTTTTTTTTATCTTTCAGTAAACATAGCAAACCCCACAATGGCAGCCGTGGCTGCCAGTGCCGCAGCAACGGCTGACAAACTTGAATTGGCCAGAAGGTTAGCCTCGAGAATAAACATCGCCAAGAATTTGGGAGCGGAACATAAGGTCGCCTCTCAAATGACTGCCGAGGCTATAATGAAGGGAAGCAGTGGACTGCATCCTCTCATTACTGTAATGAAAATTTGGTTCTCGTGATCCATCAGTTCTAATTTTTTGTCTTCTTTAGGCTAAAACTGTGGCTGAGCAGTTGGCTGCCAAGCTGAACACTAAACTAAACTACCAACCGAAGGAAGATGAGGAGAAAATTGATGAATTTGGAGACCAAGAAATATTCCGCAAGTACGAGGAAGAGCTTGAAATCAATGATTTTCCTCAGCAGGCTAGATGGAGAGTCACTTCAAAGGTTTGTTTGATTATTGCAGAAACTCTTTAGATTTTACAAACTTCAATTAAATTTCAGGAAGCGTTGGCTCAGATCAGCGAGTACTCGGAAGCAGGTATCACAGTTCGAGGAACGTTTACACCACAAGGAAAACCGCCACCTGAAGGCGAAAGAAAGTTGTACCTGGCCATTGAGAGTACTAGCGAGTTGGCTGTCTCTAAAGCCAAAGCTGAGATCACTAGGCTTATAAAAGAAGAACTCATCAAACTGCAAAGCACATCTCACCAGCTCGTCAACAAGTCTCGCTACAAAGTTTTGTAAGAACTTCAATTTTGAAATCTTTAGAGGTAATTGCATTTTGATTTACAAGGAAACATTAAAGAGAATTGTAAATATTATTTCAGACACAATTTTTATTGAATATTCTTAACTTACAAAATGAATTTTTTAAATTCTAAATACACTATACCACTATAGAGTTATTTCAAAATTTACTTCTTTTTTGTTGCTTTAGTGGGCCCCTTTTTCTTTTTGAAAGGTCCCAGGCCCTTGCGTACCATTGTTCCTCTCCACCAAGCCTGTATTTTCGTTGCCATTGAATTCTCGTAACGCAACTTTTCCAAAGCCAGCTGCCTTTTGTAGCAAAAGTCTTTCCACTCCTTCAGTGCTTTCTTGTGATCCTTGTACTGGAAAAATCGTTGAAGTGTTTCAGTTTTTTTTTTTTACATAAAAAGGCCTTACAACTGCTGCCAAGTTCTTAAGCCTATCAAGATTTTCATCTCGTCTCTCCTGCGCCTGCTGCAACTCCTCATTCTTTTCCTTAATATCCAAATCGTATATTGCATCCCAATCGGCTTTCAAATTTTCTACTTTCTGAAGAAAGGGAAATGCTTTGATTTAGAATAATTTGATTTTAATAGAATAATTACTAGAATAGCTTTCTCCAGCGCTAGTTGTAATTCGGAATGCACTCGGAGCTCATTTGACGTATCCTCGTTGACTTTGTCCAGTTGGTCCTCGATTAGTTTTTCCTCTTTTTGAAGAGCCAGACAAACCTGCTCAACTCGCGCTTCTTCCCAGTTTGCCAAATACGCCAACTGCACCTTTGTGTCATTTTTTATCCTTGCCACTTTGTCCTGATAAAAGTTGCAGTTATAACTTTATTAAATATTTTATTTTGATATTATACTTGCAAAGTTGCCAATTTCTGCAAATTCAGGCTCAGTTCCTCTTGTGTTCGATGCTTGGAGCTGGCAAGTTCTCTTGTTAGTCCTGGCGCGGTCAGCCCGTACTCAGCCAGTTCTCTCAGCAATTTCCTCTCTTCTTTGTGTTCTTGCGTATATTGAATCACTTTGTCGTTCAGTACATTAAAAGTCCTGCTCTTTTTCAGCTCCAGCAAACTCCCTTTCAATATACTTTCTAATAGGGCTCTAAAATATTTAAATAAAAATATGTAAGATGTACGAAAATCCAAACTTTCCTTTCTTTTTGGAGTTTTAGCATATTTGGATTTTTCACTCGCAGGTGAGGCAATGGCTTTTTAGCAACTTCGCTCCCAAATCTTGAATTAAGATACATATATAAAGTCAATTGCTAAAGGGAACTTTTTTAAAAGTGACCTCTCTTCCAACGATTGATATTCTCGATCTTCCGCCGGCATTGGTGGAGTTGCTAGGGTGTTACCAATGATTTCAAGTTTGCTGATACAGTCTGTCATGATTGAAATTGCTAAGCGAGCTTCGATTTCGTCCAAAAGTGGATTCTCCTCCGGTTCCTCTGTTTCCATTGTGATGAGATGAGATAGTCAGGAGATTAACAGTAGGCAGCTTTGCAAAAAGCTGAGGATATTTTTAGCTTATTTTTTTTCTCTGCACCCTTTACACTGTCATGGTTGCCTAGGTGATGTTTGATAAAATATATTTGTTAACGCATTGTTCACTTTACAAGGCAAATGGGTGCTGTCGTTTAATTAATGCATGTTCGTGCAAATTATATTTTAAATATTTTAGAGTCAAAATCTTTAAAATCTGAAGTACTTGACTATTATAAAATTGGAATTGCTTGTCAATCTTATCAATTAGGTAATACGAAAATTAAAATTTTTTTTTTTTTTTTTGCTCATTAAATTACCAGTCTTCTATTTTTAACAAGTTTCTATTATGTTTTAATTTTGATATGATTTTTAATCAGCTCATAACGTATCAAATTAATTTAATTAATCACATGTAATTTAATAAAAGATCAATGTGACTACAGACAAATGATAATGCTAGTTATACATAATATAAATGGATTGAACGAAAATTTTGTTTATTGCAGTTAAGTAGGTAATTAACTGGTCAAATTTGCTGTCAAATTCACTGCAGTTGAACAAAGTCTCTCAAAGATCATTGTTGGGAAAGTCATCCAAGTCAGTGTGCACGTAAGAACTATCATTTTCACCATTATCCTCTAAAATCACTTTGAATTGGATTCCGAGGCTGTTTGTCACAAAATCAATGAACCGCTTGTCTTCATTGGAAAACTCTAACCCATACAAGATGAATTTAATTTTCTTCAGATATGGCGAGCGCAATATCAGTATCTGACAGATCTGGAATGAGAATATTTTAGTATTTTGCATTATTACATCTAACAAGTGCTTTACTTGGATATCGATAGCGATCAGTTCTTCCGAATTCACTTGAAACCAAACTTTTTGCAAGTCGCTTAGGCAGGTAGTATTTTCCTTCAAGGTCTGCAGAAGAAGTTTGGCTGAGGCTAAATGCGACACCTTTAAAGTGCGATCATAGTTTTCTGATCCCAGCACAAACATTTGATATATTTTGAGTAAAACTGGAACTCCCTCGTCAAAGGCCCCTTCAAAAGCACAATTGAACCCTTCAATTGCAAACCTATAGAGATCAATGATGGGATGGATAGAAAACAGTGATATTTTTTTTCTTAATTAGAAGCCATACTTTCTCCAATTCCTGAAATGCTTCAGAGTCACCTTTGAAAAACCGTTGCCTTCCGCCAACTGAGAATTAAGGCTGTTTCGGCGATCATCGTAGGGTACGCCCACTGAATTTGCAAATATTTTGAAAAAATGACTGCAAAATATTTCCAACAAATTTTTCTCTTTTATTTGCCCATTATAAGAGCTTTTTTGAAAATTTTTTCCGACTTTTCCGGAAAATGGCTGAGTTATAAAGGGGTTTGCTTTTCCGCTTGTATCTCATTAAGTATAAGTCCTACGTTAAAAACGAGCATATATTCTGAATGCTGATAAAATTTCCAATATTTTTTACATTAACAATTATTTTCTATGAAAGGGTTAAGTACCCTGAAATCAGGGTAAAAATACTTCAATGCCTGCCCCTGAAGGTATGCAACCGGAAAATTAAATCTGAGATAGCCAAATTTTGACGTCACTCATAGGCACAAACTTCCCCAAAGGAAATTAGTTTTGCATTTTCCATTTTTGAGAAAATCCAAAATTTCCCAAAAAGGGTCAAATAGGGTTGGAAAATGCGGGAAAGCCAAGAAAGTGTGGTCATATGGCACATTGGCCGATTCGTTATCACATCCTTAATACGTGTCTAAATTTTCAGAAAATTTCATCTGCCCAAAAAAAAGTTACAGCCGATTTTCAAAAATAGCCCTATCTCGGAAGCAGGAAAACTAACAAAACCGTTTTATATCCATCAGCCAAAATTTAAAAAGGCAAGAAACATATCGTTTTTATGGTCTCATTCGAAAGCTATAGTGGCTAACTTCACGTTGGTATGAAAAAATTTCGGTTTCTTCTGACAGATATTGAGATATACCGGTTATTGTGTAATAAAAACCGGTATGCAAGTTCTAATTTCACCAAAATTTGGACTTTTTGCGACGAAAAACATGTATATTGTATAAATTTAGGTTTGTGCATTAGTTTATGATGGAAAAATACGATATTTATAATAATACCACTCCTCAGTCCAAAATTATAAGCATTTTTCAAAAATATTTTACATACCGGTATTTAATTAACTATTCAGAAAACCGGCCTAAAATCACCGACGTTGTGTGGCGCGATAATAATATTTTCAGAAAAAATAAAAATATTTACAATTCTTCTGCGCCGCATTATCGTAGAAACACCCTTAAATGCACGGTAGTAGAGCTCTTCCAAGTTGGGACAGAGTTCGATCACTCTGAGCAGATCTATTTCACCTAGTGCCGCAAATAATTTTTAGTTAAAAGGGAGGGTTTAAAATTTTAGGAGTTATTTTGTGTGTTAGGAGTTGGCATTAAATTTTAGCTGGAGGAAACTTTTGGTTGCATACCATGATCGAGATCCAAGAAATCAACGTAATCTGAATCTATGAAATGAAGTTCTTCAAGGTGTGGTCCAAGTACTTCAAGGATAGGATAGATGTCTCTGAATGGGGTAACTGCTATTATGAGCTTTTTTGGGAAGTTAGGCATGGAAATCAATTTCTGAATTGTCCCTTCACTGAGATCTCCGTGAATTTCAAGCTCTTTGACAAGCAAGTTTTCTGGCCAGTCAAATTCAAAAGGTGAGCAGATGCTAAAATTAAAAAATAATAATAATTTCGCTGAGCATAGACGTTTATTTATTAATACTTACTTCAGACGAGGGGCGATCAGTTTTTTATTAGGATAAAACAAACCAAATGACTCGACAAAATCTTCCACATTGTTGAAGTTATCAAATGTGTCGTCAAACTGGAAGGTCTGCAAATTTGAGAGTTTCTCAAGACACTTCAAAATGAGATCCATATCAGGGCAATGTTCGTAGAAGATACTGCAACCGTAGTTGCATTTCATAATGCCAATGTCAAGGTGTTTCAGTTTTTTCATTTTAGAAAAGTACTTGACTGCCTTCGTAGAGAGAGTGTGTCGTGACAAAGAAACCTCCAATCCCCTGAAAAAGTTATTATTTAGTTAAATATTTGAGCCTCACAAGATAATTATAATTTACTCTAAATTTGGAATGTATTTTGAAATTCTTTGCAATTCCCTATCAGCGCACATGGTGCCCTTCATTCCAAAATATCTCAAGTTTTTCCATGCGAGTAGGTCTGCCTTTAGAAATTTTGCAATTTTAAGGAGAGGAACTACTCCTTGACAAAAGCGGCAGCAACATTTGACGATTTTGGTTATTTTAGGGCAGTTCTTGACCATGTGCTTGTAGTAAACTTGGTGAGGTGCTATAGATCCTCTCACATAAGGATTGAACTCTTGAGGATCAAATTCCGTCAGATTAGGGTTGAGCAGTAGAAGGACAAATTTCATCTCATCTTGCTTTGGAATTAGTATGTGTGTTGTCCATCTGTATTCTTTGATCAGACCAAGAAAATCCTTGATAATGGTGCCAGCTAAATAAATAAAATAATGTATTAAATAATAATTCAATAAATCTTCTAAATATGATTTAAAATTAGATTTAAAGTTAAGTTTTATACTTACGCAAAATTTCTAGAGGATTTCCATTTTGCTTCAGGAAAAGTTTGTAATTTGAGCATATGGCCTTGATTGCCAGCAATTTCAGGGTTTCGGGCTTGTCCACTGCATACCTTTTCCGCAGAATTTCTTGTGCAACACAGTCGCGCTCTTCCAAACTAAAAGTTAAGAGGAATTTAAAATAAAAATATTAACATTAGGACCCTTTCAATTCTTTACCTCATATTTTTAAAATCCACAGAGTCCATGATGTATGAAAAATACAAAAATAGTAATCCACGCACAAGTGTTATTGTTGTTGTTACGCCTTTTGCTTTTTTACGTTTCCATGAGAGACGAATTCCTCGATCACCGACTACCGATGCAGTGATAATGTGTTCAGTTGCTCCACGTTTTTCGAACGAGAAACACTAGACAAAAAAAGGCAATATATGTGTTATTATGTAATTATTGCAATAACAAAGATGATCATCCAACATAACCCAACACCATGCACAACGCAAGACATCAAGAACATTAAGAATGTGTTTTACTTTGCAGGCGCTTGCGCGTTTGCTGCGTCAGATCATGCGCGGAAAAAAAATACACCGCCGGCCAAAAATATCACCAAATTATAATTATAATTTATGCGTTTTATGGCTGATTTTTATTTCAAACTCATTTATTAGTCCATTTTCAATAATTCAAAAATTATAAGAGTTATTTGTATTTTTGCTGCACATTTTTAATTGATTTGACCGGATTTGACAGTAAAAAAACCTAAAATTAAATATTATATTTATTAATGATTCATTTTGGCGCTTTTTACGCTTACTTCATTTGCTTGTGGTTGTGTTGTATAGTGAATATACATTTTTTGCATTTCTGAAAACTAGGAAAATTTTTGAGAACTTAGAAGTCTCAAAATATATGCAAGTGACTGAAATTGGCTTTTTTTAGAATTTTTTTTTTAGAATAATGGTTTTTTTCATTAAATTCTCAACGCGTTGACAACTTTTGAAATATGTTATTTTACTTCTTCTTACAATTAGTTCAATTCATACAATTTTTCACTCAATATTACTAAAAATTATTGGCAAAAAACTGCAAAAAACTAAATATTCCTGAGGGAAAAAACATCTATAAATGTTCCCAAAATTACCTATTTTTGAAGATTTTTATGCCAAGTAATTTGCTTAATGTAAGAAATGCTTAGCAGCACGGAACATTTCGTTAAAATACAAACTCTATTTATGTTGGAATAAAGATTGCAATTTATTACTAAACTTGAAACCCAAAAACCTTCTTAAAACAAAAAGCCCAAGAAAATGAACAAAAATCTGATAAAGTTTACAAAAAAATAATAATTAATTAAATTCGCCGTATTAAGTTTGCAAGATTCAATACATTTTTCCTTCTATTATTTTGCAACATTAATAGAATTTAGCAAAACATGCAATGTTGGAAGAAGGAATAATAAAAATTAGACAGGTTTTATTTGCTGTGGATACGCTAGATGTCGGGGGCTCGAGGTGCCGGCGGCAGAGGTGCGCGAGCGAGAGCCGCGATCGGCGGCGCACAAAACACCGCAGCTGGTGTCGCTGGCACTCTGGGTCGGAGTGCGGTGCTCGCTCGTCAGTGTGCTGCCCGGGAGCGAGGTCGGAGGTCAGTGTCAGCTGCGAGCCCGCCCGGTGCGCGCAGCCACTGACACCGACGACATGAACTCGCCCAAGATCACCGAAAAGATCTGCCGCAGCCTCAGCAGGAAGCACCAGAGCAGCACCTCGTCCATCAGCAGAAAGGGCGCCGGCAGCGACGGTGACATCTCGTCCTCGCAGGTCAGTTTTGTTGTCGCTCGCTCGCTGCGGTTGCTATGGATTTTGACTCGGAATGCGGAAAATGTGTGTCAACGTTATTTTTCTGCGAATAACTTTTATGCTCGCAGCTCGTTTTGATACAAATTCTTTGATAAAAGGAAAAAGGGATTTTTTTTTTTTTTTTAAAGGGTTTTTTATCCAGAAAGAGAGAGATCTTTTTTGACAAATTGATGTGACGAGAAATGTTAAAAGTAAAATAAAACACTGAAGCGAAGAAGTTATACATACTATATTTAATTTTTTGTTTATCTTACTTTTACCTAGCTATAATTAATTAGTTTTTGAATTGTAATAACTAGATTACGAACAATTTATAAAATAAATATAGCTTCATTTATTTATATTGAAGATCTTGAATATTGAGAAAATAAATAGCATTTAAAATTTCAAATTAAAAAAAAAAAAGGATTAATTATTGCCTGGGTGGTATTAATAATTTTCTTAATTTTATATAATTTTTAACACAACATAATATTGAATATAAGAAAACAAAATAATAAAATTAAAAAGATTTATAATTATGGATATATTTTAAATTTATTTAAATAAAACATATTTCGATTAAATTTATACAATTTTACTTTATGCATATTTAATGAACTTTAAAAAATGTTATTAAAATTTATTATACATACATTAATTTTGTATTTATATTATCTTTCTATGTTAATATTATTTTAAAATTTTATATAATTAATAATGTAGTTTTAAATTTGACGCTTTTTATGTTAAAAATATATATAAAAAACTGATATCTCTTATAGAGTTATTACATTGCTGTAAGGGCTAGAGCAGAATAACAATCTTAGTTCTGATTTGTTCTATTGTGATATAATAATAACACAGCATACTGAAGAATGATGCCTACTTTTTCAGTGTCATCATTATCACACAAACGTAGAGTGAACTGTAAATCTCTGAGCTTTTTTATACAAAGAAGTTAAAGTCGCCGACTGCAGATTGCAAAATGAGGCTAAACCAAGAATGTAGCGACGCGCGTTTATATTATATAAAAGCAGAGCGAAAAATGGGTTGGAATAATAGCTCTTTAACGTCTCTCTTTCTGTCCAACATTAATCTCTCCCAGGCTCAGCCAGATATAATACAATAAGTCAAAACAATCTCCAGAGTTTCCCACCGATATGAAGAGCACCTCTAGCTCTAAACTAGATCCCAGCATTGCCTCGTCGCGACTCGTGAAAGCTGCAACAACTAAACTGCCACTGCAGAGAGCGGCTTTAATCCTTTGATACATAATATGAAGCCGACGACCGCCTCTTCCCTCTCACAGTATTACACAAGAGCAGATTTTATGCGTGCGTGTATAATATGTATTAAAATATTTATATAATATTTCGCGGAGAGAGGCGACGCACGTCTCTGTATATTATATTCATGACGCAGATGCGTTTGATATAAGAAGCCGAGTTTCATTATTAATAATTAGCGCATTCGGAACAAAACCGGTGAGAAAAGTTTTTCTGTGTACATTTCAACTTACTTTGGGTGCACAAGTTTGGCTGCTCTTCGAATTCCCGCGAGAATTTGGGTACCCAGCTGCCACCCTTCACATTACATACGCGTCGTGTTTGCAACACCCTCGCGTTAAATTTGCAACAGACACCAGCCGCAAATTTTACCGCTTGTGGGAAAAATAAAAAGGAGAAGGGAGGAAACTTCAGGAACATTCGGAACTAGAAAAATTAAAAAAAAAAAATATCTTATTGTGTTTTAATAAAAAAAAATTCAAAGTAATATTAAGTCTGCTCATGTTAAAGAGCGACAGGGGAGCGGAAAAGTGAGAGCGCGCCAAGTCTGAAGATTATGAACTTTTGGTTTATTAAATATCAAGCATAAATTTAATTGATCAATCCTCACAATCAGGTTTTGTTTCGATGGGTTTGTTCATACTCAAAATTCTCTTTGTTGATTGAAAGTAAACTCCCCAAAAATATTAGCTGATCGATTGCCAGTGACATTTTTCATAATTAATTTTTTTGAAAATGTTGATGTTCATATTTTGCGTTTTATATTAATATCAATAAAAAGCCTCATATAGATATATTTTTTAGGTGTTCACTCAAGTATTTTTCTTGATTTCCCATGAACAATATTCTGACCTCTTCTGTCAGGCTGACAAAATTGCATAAATTTCAATTTTCAAAAATTGCATCACGTTCTCCTCAAATGCAGGCCATAAATAAAATTTCCCGCTTTTCCACTGCGTTATTTTATTCGCTTGGGTCGGAACCCTTGGCTCGCTCACACATTGATCTATGCCGCGTCAGAGGATTATTTATTCTTCCGCCCTTTCGCATTTGACGCGCTCGATCTGTCAAGAATCGGAGTTAGATGGAGCCCCGAATAATAAAGTCGAGAGAGACCCTTTTCCGACCGAGTCGGCGGAAAAGTTGCTCCCTCGTATTACTTTTGCCGAAGCATCAAAGCAATATAAACTGCATCGGATATACTGCACGGCTAGATCTATATATTTATTTTACGCCCGGGCGTAAACACTGGCGCGGCCAATGGCAAAGAACGCCGATATAGGGGTGCCGGCCGTGCGGATTAGGCTTCGGATAGGTAAATATTGCACTTGGGAAGACACGCGTGCTCTTTCTTTTCTGGTTCCTGAGGGGGGCACATTTACACCGAAACTGGCACGATCGCTGAATGAACCCGACAGGCCAAAAAATATCCAAGTTAAACCTGGCTAAAAGTAAGTTCAGATCTTTGAAATTGTGAGCGGCTCACTCGGTCACACAATATCAGTTGAGGAAAACCCAGAGGAGCGAATATATGTGATGTGGTTTTTGAGCATGATAATTATATAATAGTAATAGTCAATTTTGATCAAATGATCTTTTTTAAAATTTCCACCATGAAATTAAAAAAAAAATATCAAAATTAAATTGAAGTCTCATATGGAGTATTACATTAATCCCATATTTTTAATGAAGACATTTCTATAAAATCTAGATCCATTTATTTCAACATTTCATCAGTTCCACACTGTTTATGTAGATTCAAATTAGTTATTATATTAGACATTTATCTTACACGAATTAGATGTAGATAGTTCTCAACTAAATTATTTAATCACCGTTCAGAAATTATTAATGAGAAATTAACAAAAGTGTTCATAAATAAGTTCGCAAGTATATATAAATTTCAAAGTATTTATTTTTAAAACTTATAATATAAGCTTACTTTTCTTAAAACAAAAAAAGTTATTGTATCACTATTCCTAATAATTATTATTGCTGTAGTTGTGCATTAAATGGTAACAATATTTCTTTGGCATTAAACAGTCCTTTCCATGAATTTATGCTTTTTAAAGCACACCTGGCGCTACCCACAATAATAATAATAATAATAAAAGACTGAGCATCATGGTATATAGAGAAAGCAATTTATTTCTAAACACACACAAAATGCAACCGCAGCTGAGCTGTTCTGGCCAAATTTATGATAATGAGACCTCGAGGGCACATTTTGTTTACTTTTTTTTGTCTCATTACGTCGCACGTGTCCACGGTGAAATCGCGTGTTTATATGAAAAATAAACAATTCTGGGCCGCGGTTACCTTCTACCCACAGATAAGAACTTGAACTCTCTCCAGCCAAAAAAATTTATATCAACTATCCAATCTTTCATTCTAAAATTTGAAACACGCCAAAAAAGGCATTAAATTTATTCATTACGAGCTGGAATGTCATTTTTTTTTTAATTTTCGTCCATTCATTGACGAATTTTTGGCATTTCTCCCATTCATGAAGTGGCAGTTGATTTAATCAGCAATCTCAATTAAGCGTCGGAGTGCCGAGTGTGCATTCAGAGGTGCATTTTATTAAAAGGTTTTTTTTTGCTCTCAAGAGAGAAAAAGTGTTGGTGCCATTCAGCTGCAGCGCATTTCAAATGCAAGCACGAGTCTCTCACAGCCAGAAACTAGTTCAAGAGAGCGCGACACACACGCTTGCTGTGCGCGAGATAATGACAGCTCAAAGTTGCACCATTACTGTGCCCCTTTTTGCCTTTGATTTATGCAACGCCGCACTGTGCGGGCGAATGACTGCGGAAGAAGTGCCTCGAGGAGAATAATATAATGTATGTGCTGAAGCGTAAAGAAATTCCCAGGCATCATTTCATGCTCTTGCACCTTGCTTTATATTGATATTAATTATAATTATTTTTCTTTTTTCAATTAAATTTGGCATCAATTATTGCTGACTATAAAAGAGGATTGTGGAAGTTACTTGCTTTTTTTCTATAAAAATCTCGATTTTTGCAACACTTCAAATTAGTCAATTGTCAAATTATTTATTTAAATTTCATCCCCTTTATTACAAAGTAACATAAAAAAAAGAAAACGTATGCAGGCCTCTGATATAAAAACGGAAAAGGAACTGTGTATCTCATGCAAATTTGCCCATTCTATATATTTATTGTAGTGCTTTTGTTTGCCTCAAACTTCCCCTTTTATTTGCACTGAAGAGGAAAGGAAGATTGGGCACCATTTGCAGAAATAATCAGTCCTGCAACATCTCTGAAGCGCGTGTTTACAAAAAAGACGACCAGTCGTAAAAAGAAGGGGACCGAGTGATCTTTTTATGTTTGACTGCACTGCCATTCAATAAAATCGGCTTCCGACCTCAAAAAGCCGTTCGCAAATGGAAGCTTTTGCAAATTTCCTTCGTTTTTTATCAGCCAAATTTACGAGAGGTCTGATTGATTGCCAGACAAAGTAGGGGGCCATTTTTTTTTGCTCCAGAGGTTCCAAATCATTTTTCGCGACAGACGCAAATCCACTCGTCTCGGCGCTCCGCACGAATTTAACCCTTGGCTAGGACAATCGATAAGGGTCTCTCCTTTATGCGAAATATTTTACACTGGCAGAATCATCATATGTTATTCATCCCCCTGTGTAATAATCCAGCTTGCTGCTCGGCTCGCCGGAATAACGAATTGAGCCGAAATTACTTTCAGGGGCTTCCCAGGCGGGAATAAGCCCTGTGCTGGTGCGCGCGCGAGCCAAAGCCAAATAATAATGATGCCAGCCACGTGTTTAACCGGGCAAAAGTTTGCAGATTGAATTGGTGCTCGTCGATTTCAGTCGGCGCACACGATGAGCGAGAACGCTTTCCGGCCCAATGAGCCCGTCATTATCTGATTTGAAGCTGGCAAAGTTTGAGCTTTGGGAGTTTGAGAGGTCCTTTGGGAGTTTGAGAGGTCCTTTGGGAGTAATAGAATAATTTCAGCGTACTTCGAAATTCGCCAAATTAAGTTTGGAAACTTAAACAAAGGGGATATCCACGGGATTGATCTTTTGAAATAACCAAAGTTTATTTTAATACTATAGACAAATTGAAAATTACAAATTCTGTGAAATTGAGTATAATTAAATGCTAATTCAATTAAAAATTTTAAACAAGGTCATTTTATTTAATTTAATTTTTTTTCATCAAACCTATTTCATCCTGGCCAGTATTTTCAAAGAGTTTTTGACAAAATCTAACTCTTTCTTCGAAGATTCCAGTCGCATAAAAATCAATTTGAATACTGCAGAGGAACCTTAAGAAAACCGAGTTAATCCTAATTGGCTGGAATATTTATTAATTAAGTCTTGATTTTATTTTTAATATACATTTCATTTTGCCAAACTTTAAACTGGTAAATTTTACGTCTTAAAAGCTCAAATATTTGCCTGCGCCGGAATATTCAGGAGTCTAAATTGAGCATCAAGTTGAGAGAGAAACATAAAAAAGGGCAAAATTGCCCGTATATCTTGCAGGGTAGCATCCCCAAGTCTCTCGCGCCTCTATTTACGCAACCCACATTTCGCCGACACCGGCAGTCAACTCGGAAATTTATTCGCACCGCCGTGGACGACAAAAACCGGCGACGGCGGCGGCGTCTTTTGAGGAAAAAGACCCACGTCAGTGAATAAGGACAAACACAATATTTGCATATGCACACATACACGCGGGAGTGCTTTTGCGAGAATATGCGTCTTGTGTCACGCTGCGGGCTTCTTCTTTTTGTCATGCCACATTGCGAAATTGTCTTAAATGATCGACCCTTGCATTTTTTCCCATAGCCGAGGGCGCTTCTGGTGCTCGGCCAAAGCGCCAGTCGACTCTGCGCTTGTCAGCGCAATTTGGCCACTTTGTTTCTTTTTTATTTTATTCATCCGCGTTGAACATTGCCGATTTCAATTTGCGTTCGAGTGCCTCTCCGTCCTTATCTTGTATCCACGAGCACTTTGCTTCTTATGAGAAAATGTTTCAGTCCGGATGTTGCTAAAAGCCCATTTGCTTGATGACCAGAGGACCCTTTTAGAGAGTGATTCTTTAACAACTTCTGGGAGTTTGCTCAATTTTCAAAGGGAAATTTTGATTCAATGAACCAAAATTTTCACAGAGTGTACTTTTGTTGATTTATTTTTAATTTTCTGCAGAAATAGTTCAAGTTTTAGTAAACATATTTCAAAAAACGTTCTTTAACAAAGAAGTTGATTTTATTAAAAAAGATCAAGAACTTTTGTTCATATTTTAAGGTCTCTAAATTGTTATCAACTTTGAAAAACATTACATTAAATTTACAATGTTTTTAAGTTTATTTTACTTACATTGTACAGCTCAAACCAGAACTCGCTCAAAATAATTGAGTTGTAAGATATTAAAACGAAGCCAAGACGGAGTGAATAGGGCTGGCAGATTTAATGATGCGGTCGATCTTCATTCTCCATTCACAAAAACCTCTGGTCTTTCGTTTGCGGCGAAATAATAGAGGGTGGCAGAGTATGCAGGGTGCGCGCATCAATATACGCCGGGCGCCGAGAGCTGTTCATCTCTGCTTGCAAATTGGCCCACGCGTTTTGACAAAAGCGCCGCGCTGCTTCAGTGCCGTATACGTAAAATCAATTTTGCCTTATTGCCAGGAGTGTTTATATTCTCTCGTTGCGAGGCGGAATTCGCTCGCACGCGAGCACCAACGCCACCGTTCTCGCATTCCTCGCACTTAATGGACCAATTAATTTCTGTGCTCGCAGGGCTCTATTCTGGAGAGGGTGAAAAATGACAGAGTCACTCCGTCAAGGTCGGAAGAGGACCGCCACCGCAGGACCATCATCGTTGAGAGGAAGAATGGCACCTTCGGATTTACACTGCAGGTAAGATTTTTTGAAATTAAAAATAAGTAATTTTTAAAAATAAAATCGTAAAATTAGGAACAAAATTGCAGATATTCTGCTCTAATATTAATTATAAGCCAACTAGATGAAATTTTAACCGGAATTAAAATATTGATAAAATAGTTCACTAGGAAATACGTTGGCTTGTAGAATCATGGTAGAGCAAAGATTAAAAATGGTTTAAAAGTTTTATTTTCAAGACTACAACGTTTTTCAGAAGCAATTTGAAACTAAAGGATAATTATTAAAACAAGAAGCAACATTGAACATTATGATCAACGTAGAACGTAAATTTATCAATAATCTGGGCAATGTGTAGGTTACACACACAGTGATAGTTTACAATACAAAATTATCCGTTATGAGGTATTGTTGGAAATGAAAGTATTAAAAATAACTCAAATTTTAATAAAAATATAAAAATTATTTAAAAAAATCCTTTTTTACTGCTGATGATGATTTTTTAAATTTAGTTTTAATTACTAAACTTAAGTTTTTACAAATTCCTAAATAACCAGTATAAAACTCAAACTTCGATGACACGACCCTTCATTAGTCTGCCTCCGCCATCATCCTCCTTCAACTTGCTTCATCTCTTTCATTTCCGTAGTTCTTTTTTCTTCTAAATCCCCGACGTCCATTAGCCGGCGCATAATAGACAGACGGGCTCACCTGCTTTGATCCCCCGCCGCAAATTTGCATAACGCTTGGCCACGTGGATGCAGATCTGACCTAAATCCCGGCTTGACTGGCAGCGTAGGTCGGGGCAAACAAAAAGTGGAGCTGCTGACAATTCGCTCAGCTCGCGCCAATAACTCGCCGCGTCACTCGCACGTGGTGTTTTCTCGCCCCGATCAGAGGGTGGCTGCGCTGCAGAGATCTTGTTCGCCGCACGCCAGGGTTGTGACCCAGACTATGCATCTGCTCCTGGGCTGCAGACGAGCAAGACTGACCCCAATTGGTGCTCTCGGAACAAACCAACCTGCATTTAATCATTCGCACACACTAGCTGCGGGCAGGAGGCTAATGGAATTACACGCGCGTACACAATGCAAACCTTCTTTCCGTTAAATTCGTTTGCCGCCGTAGTTATTGATTTTGTTGCAAAAGCTCTTTTTGCTGTGTGCGAAATAAGGTTAGTCAGCTGGCGGCTCGTTTTATGCCAGCACATAAAAATTAATTAGATAATGCGCAGGGAAAAAGTTGAAAGCCAGTTTTTTATTCCGTTCTCGCGTCGAGTACGATTGGAGGCAAAATGAATCAGACACATACTGATGACGAGTTTTAATGAAATTTGCAAAAAAAAAGCCAAAGACTAGATAAGAGTTTTATAAGCAGATGAATTGTTTTTATTTTGAATATGAATTTTACGTTTGAAATTTGAAATTTGGGCAAGAATCTAAAAATGCAAAATATTCCAACATTATTAACTAATATTCGATGGATTTTTATAGCTGAAAATGTAATTGTTTTAATTCAAAATCTTTAAGAATAATACAAATTTTTCTTGAAGACAAAGATTAAAGCCGACCAAATAATTTTAAATGAAGATTTAATTTTGAAAATTGTGATTACTTCCCTCATATAATCTATGATTATGAAGAAATTGACATTGTCCTATTTATTGTGTTCTCTCCTTCATCTAACGTTTGCTTGGTCAAACATCAGTTGCTGATAAAAGGCGTGTTTTTTTTTTTAAATCATTGATTTTTTTATCATCTGAAAACAACAGCTACTTTTTCGCAAATCCCTCTTCCCTTTTGAAAGGTAGAAAGGAATTATTTTTAGCGCATTTCTGTGGGTGGATGTGACACAATTGTCTGAGAGAGTTGGCTAATGACGCACAAAACGCGTTTGAAACGCTTTTGCGGCGTTGAAGTGCAAAGCGGCTCGGTGCGTGGGCCACTGACAATTAATCAAGCAAGGGCTGCAAAAATTGCCAGGCAGCTCACATGGACAAACAACAACCCGGCGCACTCTAATAAATCACGCTGGTCTGGGAATTCTCCAAAAGAAAGGATCGGCGAACACAAATCCATGGCCGGCATAGGAACTTTATCATACCATTTTGATATCTTCATAATGACGAACTAATTTATCCCTTTGAAGGTTTGATGCTGTTTGCAAATTAATTGATGGAAGAAAAAAAACAGCTGCAGATTAATTATAGCTGAGAAAGCTAAATCTTAAGAAGGAATTAACCCTGGAATTGACGTTGCATTTAAAAAACAAAACAACGTTTTTAAAAAATGTCATTTTATTCTAAAACAAATTTAATTTTTATTGATTCTGCTTTTTTCAAAACTATTTGGTCATTATAATATATATATTTATTTAATTATTTGTTCAATAAAAGGTATATTTTATTCATCATAATAATTTATATACGTTAATTGTATTTTTCTAAATAATTATTTATAAATTCTATTTTTTTTTATATATTCGTTATGTAGAATAACATCTAATTTATTCACCTTATGTAAATGAATTAAGACGAAGTAAGGGTTTTTTTACTCAAAATCTGTATTGATAAATCAAATAATTTTAAATCCAAAAATTGTGGATGAAATCTTTTTTCATAAACCACCCTTAGTTAATATAATTTAGCTAGTTTTTCTCCAAAGTGAGATGGATGTGTCGGTGGCACACACGTGACGCTGCACGTCATCCAGCCTAATGCAGAGCAATCAGCAAATCACCAGGGATCGTTTTAACGGGGGGTGACGTTCATCGAGCGCACACCACAACAAAAGTCGTAATTCGGGCAAATGCAACAAGACATCTTGTTGGGCAAATGGGTCGCACCGCCGCCCAAGCCACCCCCAGACACGCTCAACAAACAGCAATTAGCCTCTCCTGCGGCGGCCGTTCGTTTCGCCTTGCGGCCAATTTCAGTTCAGGCACAAACCCGAACTGTGCGGTCTAAAATCGCCCTAAAAACTTCAGAGGAGTCATAGAGACGCAGAATTATTACTTGAATTTTATCGGTTTTTCGGTTAAAAAAGGGTACATTTTCAAACCTAATGAAAAAAATGTCATTTTTAGTATGGTTTTGAGAAGATTTAAGTTAATTTTGTTTACAATAAATAGCGCAACAAATATGGTTTAAGCCTGCTGGCTTTAATTTTTAATTTCCAGTAAAGGCTCCATCGTTGTGTAAAAATCAAGGCAAAATCATAATTAAATTTATCTCTAGCTAATTTTTTATGTTGAACAATCAGTAGCAATAAGGACACTGGAATCATAGGATTTTTCACCTTTTGTTACGAAAGTGTTGTAGGTCAATTTGATTGATTTTCTATCCTAAAATTGGCTTTTTTTCTAAACAATTTGTATTATTGTTTTTTAAATTATAAACTTTCGTTTTTTTTTTAAAGTTTTTGTCGTTTCTGTCGATTTTAAGCAAATGCCAAGTGGTATAAATTCACTTGCTTCAGGAAAATGCGCATTTTCAAAACGTTGCCATTGACGTAGAAGAAGTCTATGAAAACAAAAGGTGCGCGAGCCTTTTATTATGACTCGACGAAATTCCCAACGGATTATGCGTGCATGCATAAAAAAATTAATGTATACTAATGGCCAGCGGCATGAGTAGTTTAATTAAGAGCGTACGTCTGCGTGCGGCGGCCAGACAATCGATCGGGCGGCAAAAAGTTGCGACGCTAATTAAAAGCCTCGCTGATAGACTCTTTGCTCGCAATGCAGGCGAATTAATGAAGAGTCACTGTTTAATTGGCGCGTCGAGAGCCGGAGAGATTTCGTGTCAGCAATTGCCACGAGTCGGCGATTTGCGAGCGCATAAACTCTCGTTCGCCGGTGTGATCGGTTTGGCCGGGCACGTCATGAATATGGAAATGTAATTTGAGCAGATTGGGGGATTTGGTTTCTGTGATATCGCAGGCAATTCCAGTTTGCAAAACACGAATTTCAATCAGGTATAGGCTTAAAGGCAAAAATGTATTAGGATTTTAAAATTTTTTAAATTTTGGCAGGTTTTTTTAACTTTCTTCACTTGATTTCCTTTCAAACTTCACGACAGTATTTATCTTTCATCAAAAAATCATGTTGAAAGAGGTTAAACAGCTCAGGACTGCAAAATAATTGTTAAAGACTGTTATCTTTTAGTATAATAAACATAGCAAGCATTTTGATGAAGTTAAAATATTATTTTTAGTTTCCGAGAAAATCAAGCTTATTTTTCTATTTTTTATTTTTTTTTATTTTTCTAGCATTTGGCAATAATTGATTTCTGCAAATAAATGATAGCAAATAAGTTTCACGATAGCAAATGACATTTTGGTCTGCAAAATGGAAAAAAATTTCATATATTCTTAAATTCCTGTGTTATTGTTGGAGATACAAAAGTGTTTAATTATAACTGCGCTGCAAAATAAACTGGGCGGAGGATTTTTTTTTAATATTCTCGCTGCAATTAAGGTTAGAATGAACCTAGCGAAAGGTCAAAAATAAAATATCTACCCATTGAAATTCAGCAATCTGAACACCAACCTTGTGATAGCCAAAAGTAAGATGCAATGACATGTTAAACATTGTTTGCTAAGCCGTTTACGGATTGTAGTATAAAAATGTCTTGACGCTCAATTCAATAATCAGGACTTACTTTTAACACTGCAAAGTTTATTATTGAGTTTATTAATACTTAAATATAACTATAATAATTATATATTAAATATTAAACATAATGATTTCAAGTTTTTGTTTTATTTATTTCAAATTTTTTATAATCTTCTAATATATAATTATATCAGGTTTTCATTTATAAATACTTTGTTTTTTTTAAACATGTTTTATAGAATTTTATTAATTAGAACGGTTTAAATTAATAAATTACAAAAAATAAATAAATAATGACGCAAAATGATATAATATATCTTGTTATAGTTAAACATTTTGTTCCAATGTTCGGTTGTTTGTTTTGGGATAAGTAATAATTATATTCAAATAGAGTATTATCAAAA